CTCGATCCCATCATAGAAGACGGATTACTGAGATTAAGAGGGCGCATAGGAGCGGCGTCCATACCAGCAAGCGCAAAACAGCCCGTCATCTTGGACGGTCGGCACGCGCTCACGAGATTAATCGTTCTTCGCGAACACTGCGCCGCCGGCCACGCAAGCAGGGAACGCGTAACCAACGACTTACGTCAGCGATATTGGATTATACACCTGCGACCTACAGTGCGCACAGTGGAACGGAACTGCGCACTCTGCCGCATACGCCGAACGAAGCCGCAGCAGCCCGTCACAGGAGACCTACCACGAGCCCGCCTGGACCCATTCTTTCGACCGTTCACTAACTGCGGAGTCGATTATTTCGGGCCGATGATAGTTAAGGTGGGTCGACGCCGAGAGAAAAAGATGGGGCGCGCTATTTACATGCCTCACATCGCGCGCCATACACTTAGAAATCGTCTCATCGCTATCTACGGACTCTGCAATTATGGCGTTACGACGGATGGCTGCGCGACGAGGATGGCCGCGCATCATGTATTCAGACAACGCTACGAACTTCAAAGGGGCGGACCACGAACTACGAGCCGCTTACGAAGAATGGACGTCGAGCCTGCACGAAGAGGGACTACGACATCGCCTCGAGTGGAGATTCATCCCTCCGGGCGCACCTCACCAAGGCGGAGCGTGGGAGCGGTTAATTAGATCAGTCAAGACAGCTTTAAACGCCGCCCTCACCGAAAAGACACCTACAGAAGAAGTGCTACGAACGTTGCTGACCGAGGTGGAGTTCTCCGTTAACGCACGACCACTAACTCACGTCAGCGTTAACCCAGCGGACCCGGAGGCATTAACTCCGAACCACTTCCTATTGGGCTCATCGACGGGACTACCCATCACCGGGACGTGCGATGCAGCGGATCGACGGGCCTGGCGCGCATGTCAAGCACTCGCCGATCATTTTTGGCGAAGATGGGTGCGAGAATACCTACCGACACTCGCACCACGCGGAGCGTCTGAACAAGGGAAACGACAGCTTCAAGTCAACGATATCGTCATAATTGCAGATAATACGTTGCCAAGAAACGTATGGCCTCTGGGGGTAATTACACGCACCTACCCGGGACCCGACGGAGGAGTACGAGTCGCCGATGTACGCACCAAGACGGGCATCTTTAAGCGCCCCGTTAGCCGGCTCGTCGCTTTGGGGATTGAAGAGGCTACGCAAGCTGCGCCGGGGGGAGAGCTGTTAGCGACTCAAGCGGCTAACGGATCGCCTAAGTAATTTACAGAAGAAAATAACAAAGTGTCGCCTAACACACCGGTTGAACAGCCACATCGCGTCAAGCAACAGTTCGTCGCGCGTCCTACCAGTCAACGGCGGAGCAACCAGTCGCAGCGAAATCACCGCTTGTCGAACCGCCCTGGGTGGCGCCACGGCGACGGCGGATCGAGGCTGTGATTGGTCGACGCCCGAAGATTAGCTTTTAAACACTAGTTAATTGTCATACCACTGTCAGTGTATATATATGTGTAAATAAAAATTTGTACGATACGGCTCAATTGTAATGAAGAATAATAAACGTCTAAAAGGAAGAACTCTTTTATTGGAAGAACATTCAAAATTAATACAGTCCACTACATATATATATATATATATATATATATATATATATATATATATATATATATATATATATATATATATATATATATATGTATTCGATTGAGTAGTTTTCACGTGAAAGCGTATCGAACAAACATTCACATTTATAATATATGCAGGGATATATAAGTGAATGTGACAGATGTCATAGACGTAAGAGATGGAAAGAGATAACGATCGTATTTAATTGCAATCTAATGACACCAATTGGTTAAATTTGAGTGACTCAATTTCAGTGCGCTATTGCCATATTTTGGTTATTCTAAAGATAGTTATCGGATTCTCTACCATGAAGAGCATGACATCTGTCAGCTTTCCTCTGTTTTGGAGTTATAGCGTTCCAGTTTCGTCACAGTTTGTCAGTTAATGTCTTTTTAATGAAGAAAATTATTAGACTGTTAAGAGATTGGGTGGTACACAATAATATACAATCGACTGGTACACAAGCTGCTCCTTGAATTGGTAAATGACAATGTAATGGTTAATTAATATCTCAATCAGCCGTTTAATTTAAACACAGTTTAAATAGACTTTGTCAGGTTTACATGAAGTACCAACATATTAATTTTGTGACCAGTGACGGTATCTTTAATTGATAAAAGTATAATGTTTTTTTGATATAGGGAATGTAATATCAATGCCCATTATATATGACGGAGAGCCAGAACAAAAATGTCTTGAATTTACAAATACTGACTTTCTGCCATTTGGTTATAGCCGGTACAAGACATACTGCGGTCAATCAGGCGGTAAAACCGGTGTCTCATATCTAAGTGGTAAAAGTATTAAGAAATTATTAAAAAAGGAAGTTCACGATATATGAGCTTGTCTTTCAATACCTACCATGTACTTATAGTAAATAATGATAATATCATTATTCATGTTCAATCATTATAGTAAAACGCATGTAGTAAACGGTAATTCATATACAGGGTGGCTTTTCTAAGTGTATCCATTTTCTTAATTAAATTCTAGACGCAAATAATGTTATTTAAAAATGATAAATATTTAAAATCACTCGTAAGTAATTAATTACCTACATTCATTTAAACTTATCTCAAAAAGTGCGTGATTTATACGCAACTCATTTATTTTACGCGCGATCATTCATAACTAACACGCACACAAGTTCGTGCACAGTAAAATTTAGGTATTTATGAATGACTACCGCATTTTCAACACGTTCTGTTTTTTAGGGAATAGAATGTAGCATTTGTTTATGGAAAAATAAAACTTAGTTTTTTATTTCAATAAACTATTATACTACCGAGTCTGAACCTCCTGTGTAAATTTGGGCACTTCTCAAAAAAATCTCCCTGTATTTATTCGCTTAACCGTGAAACCACAAACACTGCAATACCGCAATTGGATTCGAAACTGGATATGGCAATTATTGCAGCTATTAATATCTGCTATAATATTAAAGCAGTTCACCGTTATCACAATACTAGCAACCAACTGCTATAATTAAAGTTATTGTTTTAAATATCTCTTAAATCACTATTTGCTTCTATATACTATTTTCGACGTTAAGTCGAAAAAGGTCTTAAATATAACCAGGTCAAAAAAGATATGGTCGAAAAACATGCTAAATAGCAGAAACCAATTTGTTTGTTCTAAAAAATTGCACTTAACAACGGTAAGAATGGGAAAGATTATATCAAAAATGGATGTTTATATCAAAACAACTATAATTTTACATTTACTTATATAAACAGAGCTAATGATACTGGGGTCATCACTTTTGGGCAAGTTAACAACTAACGCGCTAATGTTTTTCTCAAAAGAGAAAAAAAAAACATCAGTCGTAAATGAATCGAATTGTTCAAAATCTGCCGCATATACGACTCCTCTGTATGTGTTCCACTTTATTATTATCGCTTATTTTTTAGCAGTTTCTAAATATCATCTATTATAAATAAATATATGATATTTAGAAACTCGGGAAATTTTTCCAGGCTTCATCTTTTTATATTATAAAGACATATTTGTTTATATATAACGGATGATTTCAGAAACCAATCTGGCGATTCTGAGATATTTTTCAGAATATTTAGCAAGTTTTCAAAAAAAATAGTATTTGTAAATAAAGCTGAAGTGAGGGTTTATTTCATTATTACACAGTGGAATAGGAAATTCCGGGTAGCAAGATTAGATTTATCTTCCCATACTTTGAGAATTCTCGCTCTGACTCATTTGCCAGGATCTAAGTGCTCATCCATATCCAATTCGTACATTGCATTCGTGATACTTTTACGATTTAAATAAATTAAATTTTATTTACTTGATTTACGTTACTACAAATTTATGACATGATTTTTGTTTCAGTTTTTTCTTCACTTAGGACGTATGTTTTACCGACACTTAAAAAGTAACAGCCTATTATGGTCACGGAAAAGATTAAGCTAATTTTGGAAATTTAAATTTAAATGATATATAAAACGCGATTAATCTTTAAACATGTTGTATTTAGTGGTGGTTAATTACATATTTTTTGCCTTTAATGTGAATGATATTCGTGATCGAATGATATGAGTGTATGAATGATATTTGTTAAATTTTATTTAACGAATATCATTCATTGAAATTGTATTTTAAACCTTTACGTGCATATCAATAATCATAGACCTAACATACTGCGATATAAAAATCGTACAGAATGTTTCAACACGGCCATAAAATGCTCCCGGCCGATAAATGCAATTCTCTTTGTATTGCGTATGCTAAGTCACTCGTCTTGAAAAATCTACCACACGTGTTCGTAAAGCAATGTTCCTGAACATAAGCTATATAAAATATTCCCGTGTAAATAAGGCATCAGCTTTTCAGCTCATGAAACCATGAACAATAAAAATTCTCATGTTAAAGTTTCTATTATATATTAAATATTATATTTATGTATAAAGTCACACTTTAACATGTTTAATTTATTAACCCACCAGTCCACTGCTGAACATAGGCCTTCCTCGCAGACAAAGATACCTTTATAAAAGTGTCTTTAACCGGGGTAAAATTTCTGTATTAGTATTCTATTAAAGGTGTTCTTTGTCGGTACGCCATAACTTGCATAATTCTTCATCAAATTTAATGATTCAAAAACATTTTATACACCATTTCAAAACCATATTATAAATCATTGCGCTATTGACGAAAAATGGACAACTGAGATAAAGTTACAAGGTTTTCATAAACAACTCTCGTTTAAAAAAATAATGTATGATAAAGCCATCTTTTTCATTTATTCTTCTAATATTCACCACCTGCTCCTTTACTCATTTGCCATTTTCTTTCATTTTTATGGGCCATAAATCACTGTACCATGAGAACCCTTTCATATTTCCAGGGTTAAGATGGCGCGTGTCAGCGTGCTTATCGTCATGCTCTGTCAGATTGTCACTCTGCCGATCCTGGGTGGTAGGGGACAAGACAGCAGCCCTCTTTTAGACATTGCGTCTTCCTTCCTACAAAACATGGCTGAAGGTGGCGACAACGTTAACGGTATGGCGGCCGTCGGGAGTATTGTCGGCTCCCTGATGCAAGGAGACAATGCGAAGAATCTTGGAGCGCTGTTTGGACAGACAGATGGTGGCAATGCCGGCGATATTCTCTCAGGTGAGGTTAAGCTTGTGACCTATACAGCCAAAAAGTAAAACGTCAACGGTTAAATAATGCTCTCGTCTCTTTGGATATGCGTTTGTAACGAAATATCGTCCGATTGAGATCTAAATTGATCAAATTGATCACTTATTAGACGACGTTAACTTACGGATTAGGTCATATACACACTAAATTTTTGCATTCGACGAGAGTCAATATTGTACAGTGCCATCTTCCGGCTAAAATGTACCAGATAGATATTTAAGCATCACTTCGTTTAAACCATCGTTATTTCCAGGTCTCGGCAGCCTGCTGGGTGGACAGGACGGTAAAATAGATCCCGCGTTAATGGGCTCCATGATATTGATGTTCGCCCAGCAGATGGGAAACGGGCAGGCAAACCAGCGACAGAAGAGGCAGAGCCAAGATGGGGAGATGAATCTCGATAGCATATTAAGCCTGGCCTCCGGTTTTTTGGGGAACAAAAACACAGCTGGCCTCCTACCTCTGGTCATGAGCACCCTCAACTCGCTCTCCGCTCCTGAGGCCGATAAGCGTGCGGAAAGTCACAAAGACCACGCGTCGTTCCTACCCCCCTTCTTGGAGAAGGCTCACCTGTATTGGGACTTGTTCATAAACTCTCAACTGGGCAAAACTATATGGGAGAAGTCAGGACTGAAGCGCATAATGAAGGCGTTTACTATATCAGACGGCTCGCTAAGCTTCGATCTGATGCTAAGAAACTTCGAGAACCACTCGTTCAGGAGGCACTGGATCAAGACCGCTGCTAAGTACCTCACAGATTTGGTTGTACACGTCGCCAAACCCGAAGTATATCAGAGGTAAGGATTTCAATAGAGCAGAGAGGCAGATGTATCACTTTTAATTAAAAAAAAGAGCGAACTTAATGCTGTTTTGCGTTTCTCTCTCGACCCGGGGCGTGGAGATAAATTTTGGTAGATGCAATAATTATATTCAATGTACATTTCGTAGCATGTTATGCCCAATTTGTATGTTATCCTAATTTGGATTGGATTGCTCGTCGGGTCTGCCTGCGGTTAAGCTAATTAATAGGCAGCGTTCAAAATCTCAACACTTAACTAGCGTCTCCGATTTCAAAGGGAAATAATGAGTCAGCTCCAGTGTTCGCACTGGTTTCACTTCATGTTATTTGACGATGATAATCACTTCTAGGCTAATCTTTCTTCTTCTTCTTGTAGGATCCGTAGCTCAAATGAAAGAAGTAGTGGACTGTATGAATGTATTGCGATATTTTAAGATATAAAAGTATTAAGACCGAACAGTAGTGCGTATCGTCGCCGGTAGGTTGATGTAGAAAAAAAAACAAAAGTGGGGATCGTTATATCGATTCGACGATGACGTTCCGGTTCGCGCGTGAACATACTCCCCGTGTTGAAGAGATCCAAATGGATGTGTTCAATAAATAGGTAGAGGGCAGATGTTATTATAGGCCCTTCGAATAATTCCCTTCTTTGTTTTTATTTCGGCAACCCTTGTGACGCCATCTGCTCCAGGAAAGCTTCGTACGATGCGTCCTAGAAGCCATAGAAGTGGAGGCTGCGTTTTATCACGGATGAGTACTAAGGCGCCTTCTGTAAGTGATGCTGTAGAACTGTGCCACTTGGTCTTCTGTTGAAGTAGACAAACATATTCAGAGTTAAAACGCTGCCAAAAATGTTGTTGGACGTATTGTACTCGTCGATATCGTTCCAACCGGGTGATATTGGTATCAGTCACTTGCGGATGAGGAACAGCGGTGAGTGGTCGTCCAATTAAAAAGTGTGAAGGAGTGAGAGCTGTGAGATCGCATGGGTTGGAAGAGAAAGGAGTCAATGGACGGGAATTCAGAATTGCCTCTATAGAAGTCAAACAGGTAGCCATTTCTTCATATACGAAATGAGTTAATTGTAGTAGTTTTCTTAAAGTTTGCTTAGTACTACGTACCGCAGCTTCAGCGAGGCCATTAAAGTGAGGGGCATAAACCGGACTAAATATGAATTTAATACCTTCTTGGGCCATATCCGAGGTAACCTTTTCATTCTCATTACTAAGAAAGAGCCGTAACTCATTGCAAGCACCCACGAAGTTGGTGCCATTATCAGATAAAATACTCTGCGGCTTTCCTCTGCGAGAAATAAATCGACTTACAGCCGCTATGTAACCCTCCTTTGTGAGGTCTGTAACAAGCTCCAGGTGTACAGCTTTAACTGCGAGACAGACGAAAATACACAGGTATGACTTGATGAGTTTGCATCCCCTACCCCTTCGATCTGCAATCATTAATGGGCCGGCATAGTCGACACTACAGTTTAGGAAAGGAAATTCAAGTGAGGTCCTGGAGGAAGGGAGCTGTCCCATTAAAGGTTGCACACTTCGAGCTTTGTTCCGAAAAACACTTCACGCACTTTTTAACCACAGATCTAGACAAGTTACGGCCGCCTAATGGCCAATACTTTTGTCGGATATTCGCTAATAGAAGCTGTGGACCTGCGTGTAGAGTTTTCTCATGATAAAATCGAAACAAAATTTTAGTAAAATGATGCTTACTACACAGTAAAACAGGATGCTTGATATTGAAGTCGTACGGTGAGTTATCAAGCCTCCCCCCCACGCGAATGAGATCGTCTGCGTCCAAAAACGGTGTTAAAAAAACAATTCTGTATTTTGGCGACAAGGACTTGCCCGATTTAAGTATTTTGTATTCGATTGGAAACATTTCTTGTTGAGCACTGTGTAATAAACATTTCATTGAGATGTCTAATTCCTCTACACTAAGAGGACCCTTTGATTTATTTTCTTTGTTTTTCGTGTTGTGGATGAATCGTTGTATGTAGGCTACTATTCTTTGTAAATGTTTCAAATTGGAGTGTTTATTTATTAAATTTTGAATAATTGTCAACTCCATATTTTTGCTAGAGATGTTGTCCGTAAAATGGCAGACGACTTCAGGTAAGTCAGACTTTGTGTTACTGGTAGGAATGACAGGCCATTTACTTTCATCATGCTGCAAGAATGAAGGTCCGTCCCACCATAATGAGCAATCTACAAGAAGTTGTGCTTTAAGCCCACGAGATAATATGTCTGCTGGATTGTCTGACGATGGCACGTAACCCCATTTACACCCGGCTGTACTTTCTTGGATCTCATTGACTCTGTTACGTACAAACGGTTTAAGCAAATTTGGTGACATAGATAACCATCCTAAGACTATGGTTGAGTCGCACCAAAAGTAAATTTTATTTATATGCAATGTAAGAGATTCCCGAACTTTAGTACACAGTCTTGAACCCAATAAAGCCCCGCACAACTCAAGCCGTGGAATTGTGGTTGGTTTGATAGGTGCGACGCGATTTTTCGAAGTGAGCAGTTGAATGTTTGCCTTAAGCCCATCGGAGGATCGTATGTAAGCTGCTGCCCCATAAGCCTTTTCAGAAGCGTCACTGAAGACATGGAGCTGTATGTCTACAGGTGATTCACAGACGACCCATCTAGGTATTCTTATTTTATTCAACAGTGGTAAGTTTTCAACAAAGTCAAGCCATAATTTGTGAATGTCAGAGGAAACAGCTTCGTCCCACGAACATTTATCAATCCACAATCGTTGCATTAAAAGTTTTGCCTCAACAATACATGGACATATTAAGCCTAAGGGATCGAAAACCTGCGATATAATGGATAGGATATGCCTTTTATTGATTATATTAGACGGAGTTATGTTAATTAAAAATAAAAAGGTATCAGTACGACATTGCCAATTGAGTCCTAAAGTTTTAGACATTTCGTTACTACTTAAATCTACTTGATCGTTCATATTATTATTTTTTGAAATAAAGCTCTTAAGACCTCGAAATTGTTTGAATGAAATTTTCGCAAATGAAACTTTGCAGACTGTAAAGTATTTATTACGCCCTGGCATAAATTAATGGTTTCTTCTATGGACGAACAACCAGAAAGATAATCATCAACATAGAAATCATGTAATATGGCTCTACGTACTTTCTCATCGCTACATCCATTAGCTAGCTGTACTAAGCATCTGGTAGCTAGAAACGGCGCTGATGCTGTACCGTAAGTGATTGTGTTTAGTGTATAGATTTTGATTGGTATCTGATTGATTAAAACGCCATAATATTTGTTGTAGCGAACGCTGATTCGGTTCTACTAAAATCTGCCTATACATTTTCTCAACATCTGCTGTCACGACATACTTGTGCTGACGAAATCGTAACAAAATAGATAGTAAATCATCTTGCACAGTTGGACCGATCATTTGAATGTCGTTAATGATTTACCTGATGTTGTGACCGCAGATGCATCGAAAACTACACGAAGTTTTGTGGTGGTGCTTACTTTATTCAAAACACCATGATGGGGAAGAAAATATTTAAAATTGTTTTCATTATTATAAAAAGATTTGTTTTGAGTCATGTGACCAAGTGAAATGTATTCTGATAGAAAGTCTACATACATTTCCTTTAGTTTTGGATTATTTATAAGTCGCTGTTCTAAAGATAGAAACCTACGTTTGGCCATACAATATGAGTCACCTAAAATGCCTGGCGACTCTTTTAAAGGAATGGTTACAATAAACCGGCCTTCGCTATTGCGTTTTGTGGTTTCAGTAAAATTTTCTTCACAGGCACGCTCTTCTAATGATAAGGTATGCTGTGGTGACACAGTATCAAGTTCCCAAAATCGTGTAAGATCGGGATTGGCATCTGTAGTAGATAAGTAATTACAAGTATGAGTTAATGACTTAGGTTGAACGCGTAATATAGGACCTGACACAATCCACCCTAATAAAGTTTCATGCAATTTCGGTTGCCCTTTGCCTAAATCAATAGTTGAATGACCTAAGACATTCCAAAATATTTCAGCTCCTACTAGAATGTCGATAACTGATGGAATATAAAACTTAGGATCCGCTAAATGAATTCCCTTAGGAATGGGAATGCTTTGAATGTCCAACTTTGAAGATGGCAAGGCTTTTGTTATTTCAGGTAATATTAGGCAATCAATGTCTATCCTGTAGTCACTGTATAAAGACTCAATTTTGAGTTTGCAAGACTGTGTGCTAAAGGAAATCTGATTATTAATACCCGATACCGTAGAGCTCGTGCCATGTCGCGACAAGCCAAGTCGACAGCAAAGATCTTGTGTAATAAAGTTGGCAGTGCTACCGTTATCCAACAAAATTCGAGCGTGAAGCTGCTGGCCGTCGTGGCTTACAACACGCACCAAAGCTGTGGACAGCAAAACAGAATGTGGTTCTATATTTGTCGATAAGGCTACACTGTCATGATTAGTGGGCATAGGATCTTGATAAATAGGCTCAGTAATTTCGACATGTAAAAGAGTATTGTGCTTATTTTTGCAGTACTTGCAATGGGAAAGTTTACATCTCTTTTCGTTATGCCCAGAACGTAAACAATTTAGACAGACCTTCAAATCTTTAGCCTTTTGAATTCGTGCTTCAACAGGTAAATTTCTAAATGCCTCACATGTGAAGAGAAAATGATTATTTGAGCACAAAGGACATGATAATGAGTAACTTTTTTTAATCGAACTTTTATTATTTGTGTTTGTTGCTACGATAAAACTTTTGTGAAAATTACTACTAGATTTAGATTGATTTAAATGGCTCTCCTCAATGGTTTCTAATAAGTCAGCCCTATTACTGACGAATGTACTGAACTGGGACATAGTGGGAGGCATAGATAACGTATTACGGTACTCTTCCCATTGTCTATTTGTGACTGAATCGAGTTTAGCAGATAGCATATAAATAAGAAGAGTGTCCCAATACTGTGTTGGTTCGTTCAGTGTTTTTAAGGCACGTATATTTTTATTGGTGATATCTATAAGACGACGTAAGCATTTACTAGACTCCCTTATAACGGGATTAACACTGAACAAAGCATGCACATGATTATTTACAAGAAGACGATTATTGTTGTACCGATCACATAACAAACTCCATGCCGATTGATAATTATCACTATTGAAGTCGAGATTTTTAATTATTTCGGATGCACTTCCTTTTAATGATGCTCGCAAGTAATGGAATTTGTTTATGTTGTCGATACTCTCGTTTTGATGGATTAAGGATAGGAAAGTGTCCCTGAACTCTAACCAGCCCAGATAGTTGCCATCGAAACGGGGTAAATCGATTTTGGGTAAGCGAACAAAATTATTATTAAATTTGGTACATCCTGGTATTGAGTCTGTGGAGCCTGCTACACCACCTCCACATTCGAGAAAACGCTCACTAGCTGCACCGGAATTCGACAGGAGTTGCCGTGCTCGGGCTACTAGAGTATAGTATTCATCCTCAAACTGCTCCCGCGCGGAGAATGCCTCCTCTGGTTTGTCAGCCATTGTCTCAACCTCCGTCTGTAATTCATCGTAATGAACATATAATGCTTCAAATTTTGAAAGTCGCCCTTCCAAATCAATTTTAAACAGGTCGGACAGGGTAGATGAATCATTAAATTTGGCTAAATAGTTGCTAAAAACAGTAAGTTTTCCTTTCATAGCACTTAGTTTCCTTTGTAATTTGATTTCGTCTGAAACCTGTGTAGTGGCACTAGCTTTATTTCCCGGCAATTCAGGCATTGTAAATAATTTGAAAAATTTATTTAATTATTTATGTTTAATGATAATTAGAATAATTAATGATTTTTAAAATACTAATAATATTAAACACTACTTTATAATAGACGAACTAGAGCGTGTAATACATTACTAGTAAAAATGATTTGCAGACACGTAGTAAGAATAGCTTAGCAGTATAAACGACCTTGACCGAGTAATTCGGCGGCAACAGCTAAGCTGATAAGACACTACGGATACGATCTCTGCAGATGTGATGATTTTAAGAGTGATTATATTAACATAAAGTAATCACTTACGTATATATATGAATTAGCAAGCCTATTATGACTTAAATAAAGGCGAAATAATGTATTTTTATGGGGAATAAAAAATAAAAATTGAATGTAGGTAGGTTGGGAAAAAAGTTGGATTTTTAGGAAAATAATTGGAACGAACTCACCCCCAGAACGTCTAATTCCCATCCAATAGCTTATATTTGATGTAATCCCAAGCCAAAAATCAGCACAGTTTTCTTGAAATTTTGAGGTCCGCCAACTGGTTCTTGCCACTAATTATGTATCGTCAACTTCTCTTAATCGGCGATTTTCTAGTTCTTCAAGACGGTGAAAGGACCATTATGTAGGATCCGTAGCTCAAATGAAAGAAGTAGTGGACTGTATGAATGTATTGCGATATTTTAAGATATAAAAGTATTAAGACCGAACAGTAGTGCGTATCGTCGCCGGTAGGTTGATGTAGAAAAAAAAAACAAAAGTGGGGATCGTTATATCGATTCGACGATGACGTTCCGGTTCGCGCGTGAACACACTCTGTTGTTGCGATTCAATCTCAAACTAAGCATTGTAACTTACTACGGTCATCTTTCCTCGTAGCTTTTGTCCGTCTCCATTTAAACTCAAACTAACGCCCGGTTTCTGAAACACTGAGCATCGTATATGTCAACTAATCAGCTGTCAAATGGCTGACCAAAAGGATGGTTTACCTCTTTGAATTGATCATTCTGATCTGATCATTAAGGAGATCATTCTGATTAATTCAGAGAGTTTAACCATCCTTTTGGCAACTAAAATGAAATTTGAAAAGCTATTTGACAGCTGATAAGTAGACATCTACGATGATTGGTGATTCAGAAACCGGGCATAAGTATTGTAACTTACTAAGGTCATCCTTCGTCGGATCATAGCTTTTGTCCCTCTCCAGGTACCTGATAACGGCTGAGTACGTCGTGAACAGCTTTCTGGACGCCCAAGGGTTCCCGTCAAACACCCACTTCGACACGAAGCGGCCGGCGGAGTCCTTGAGCGTGATGATCAACCACGCCCTCCGACGCCATCTTGACGTAGACACGGACGTTTCGGACTACGTCAAACCCGCCATCGATTATGTCAAGGTGATTGGCTGATTATGTCAAAAGTTTAATCCACTCTCGCATTATTAGCGTTAGAACGCCTTACTTCGTTGGCTTGGATTTTAATTTATTATTATAATAATAATAATAACTTTATTTCTCACCATACATCCATAATTACAATAGTTGAAATAAAAATAAAACCATTTCTTTAAGTTAATATATTTTTACCCCAACCATGGGCGTAGCCAGAGTAATGGGTTCAGATCCAATTTAAATAGGATTTATTTAGTATATAAATATATTTCTTAAATTATCTGACTTTTATTGTTAACATAATTATATTTGTTAAATTTCATTATCAAAAATCTAAATAATATATGTACGGTTTTTTAATATTACTCCACCTTATTTCTGTGTGCAGGTGCATACTTTTTGTTCTATTTTATAGACCCCCCCCCCCCCCCCCTCATAAAATAAAAAAAATAAACGAATAATCACTAAAATCTCGCTACGCCCAATCCTGACTGAAACACCCGTTGCAGCAAACGCTGAAAATGGCGCACGCCACCTCGCAGTCCATGGCCGGCCGCGACAGGAACTTGCTGGCCGACCGTCTCACGGACACCCTGAACCTGGAGGTCATTGAACCCGTTCTCCGGGTGTACCGCGCGTACAAACACTCCGTGGAGGCGCCCCACTGCCAGGAGCACCTCATGTGCCTCGTCAACCGCCACGATAAAGAGCAGCAAGGTCTGTGTTATTTAAGTTTTTACCCGACTGCGCAAGAAGGAGGGTTATGTTTTTCGAGAGTATGTATGTATGTATTTTTGTTACAAACGTTCTTCTTTATATTTTTTTTTTTTATAATGTTGACATTTCATAATTAATATTAATAATTTTATAAATACTTATTTAATAGCTAAATAGATATAATAGATAGCAAAACAAAATTTTAATTTATGCAATAAGTCTTATCATTTAAAATTCTATTCATGTTGTTTATTTAAGCATTAACTTTCGAATGCCGCATCTGGCAAACGTGTGAGCTTTTGTAACAAAATTAGACACCACTATATATAACTATGTATGTATGTATAATTGTTTGGCACGCTCTGCAGCCTGAACGGCGTGATGGATTTTAGCTTGAGAGGTGTCGTTAGAGTGGTATTTAATGTGAGTGACACGCCATGACACAGTTGTATGATTGACATGACAAGGTATTGGCTTCGGCGTCGGGGGTCGTGGATTAGATTACCACACGAAAAGACCATTTCCCACATAGTTATTTGGGAACATCTGGGTGTTTGTCCACGTGATATTTATGTTTGTGTTTAAACGTTGTTACAAAACAGGATAATGTTTTCCTAAAGTAAGGGCAATGTTTTAGTTTAAAACGATGCCCGAACTTTAGGATAACACTATCCTATGTTTTGTGACGTTCTACATACATAAGTTTCACGTGGCCAAACACCCATATCCGAAACAATTATTTGCGGGTCACGCAAATAGTTGTCTCGTGTGGGAATCGAACCCACGAACCCCGGCGCCAAGCGCTATTGGCTTGACAACTGCGCTACGGAGTCATCACCCCGAGGCCATGTTGATTTTCTATAATGTGGCCAATAAAATTCTATATACATATGAAAAAATAATTTCTATAGATAAAAAAATTTAAATTCTAAAATATAAAATTCTTGTGTTTTTCACAGTTTTAGTGTTTATACTCCTCCGAAACGGCTTGAACGATTTTGATGAAATTTTTTATGTATATTCAGTTGGTATGAGAATAGGTTTATAAATAATTTTTATACCCCTAAGTGTTAAGGGTGGCTCACCCTTAACACTTAGGGGTATAAAGGTATTTATCCCAAAAATTTTATTTTTTCATTTTTCGGAAAAATTATGGCAAAACAGCGTTTGCCGGATCAGCTAGTAAGATTGTAAATGAGAAACCTACGCGCCGTTTATGCTAATTGCGATGAATGAAATTATTAATCGGGCGTATATGTAATATGCCCGCGCCCTACTTTTTTCGTTTGAAATTTTATATTCACTTTCGCCGTTATTTAAAAAGCACGATTACATATTTGCATGATAATTTGTTAGTTTCGGAATCCGTGGTGGGTTTTAAATCTACATTAGGATTTTTTTCATTATTTATACTTTAAAATATAAAAAAGTTTTATTATGTTAATAATATTTAACAAATAAAAATTATTACATGTATAATATTTGTTAAGTACATATTTTTTTCGATTTTAGCTTTGGTTAAAATTTCAAATCTCTTGGTCATGATCCGAACAGATACAAGCAAGTAAAAACGTGATGATAATAAAAAAGCTTCTCGCTTTTTTTTAACCAACGGAGTAAAATTGATAGCGCACATTCCGATCTGATATCTCAGATTAAGATCGATGAATTGATTGAAATGTTCATAGCTAAATATCGAGTCAAATAAAATAAACTTGAATGATAAAATAAAAAAAATAAAAAACCTTACAGGTCGCCTGGGCAATGAGCCGTGACAGCTCAATATTAATTCAATATACTCTAGCAACGACTAGAGTTCGATTCCCGGTACCTCCACCAATGAAATTGTTAATTTTAAGTGCTGACTTATTGCGTGCTCAGCGAGCATACCTGCATATTTTCAAAATAATAACAAAAATAAAACATTTCGAAGATATTTGAAGTCCGCCAATCCGCAGTGGGGTCGCGTGGTGGACTATGCCCTCATATCATCTATACAAAGGACGCCTTTGACCAGCACTGGGACATGCAAGGCTGCAACTTTACTTATTTAACTTTACAGGTCTACCTGGCTTCAAAGCGGGTCTCACAAAGCTGAGTAGTCTGGTCGCTTCCGCAGCGTTAAGCTTCCAGAACGGGAAGGGATTCTGGGATCTGTACAACGCAATACAGAGCGACGTAAACTGTGAGGTGGGTGAAGTTAACTGTGGTATTTTCATATGCTATTCACCTGATGTTCCCACAGTAAACTAAAACATATCGGCTTCTGCCGAAATATATTTCGACGGTACTTACGCACATAGACATGTCATTTTTTTATTGCATATTGGGGTTTTAGGTTTTTATATACATACCTATATACCTACATTTAAAAAAAAATATTGTGTATTTTACTTCATTTACAAATCGTATAAGAGAACAAGTATTATAATTAGAAGGAATAAGTGTCGTGGATGCGGCTTTATAAACGTATCGTTTTGTACGGTGTTTTAAAATGCGCGCCAATCGGTGGAAAAGCGGTCTTGTCTGATGTTCGCGTGTTCTTGATACTTGTTCGCGTGGTGAAATAATTAATGTTTTGATACAGTTTATACTTGTGGTGTGTTTTTAGTTATAAGTATTCCTAAATAGCTTTCAATAATACTGAAAAAAATGAAAAGGAGCAGACCAAAGTCATTGGTGGAAATTGCAAACTTCAGAAATAATGTTTTATGCCTTTCTGAAGCACAAGATTTATAAATTTATAATAAACTATATTATAAATTTTCATAAAACATTTTATTTAAACTATATGTTAGACACAGCTTTCTTCTATCCTCTCTAAAAAGGTATCACAGACGTGTTTTTATTTTAAAATAAGCGTAGGAACCATCATCGGTTTTTAAAAGAAAAAAATCTGTATAAATACCATTATAAAGTTCCTAAAGCTAATAAAACATAGAAAAAAGTGTTTATTATTGTACATAAAATTATTTCTAGAGCGGTTTGAACATAAATAACGATCTCCTGTAAACCTCGGTTTTTGTTATGTCTTTATGTACGTAGGGACCGTCGATTTATTTATTTAAAAAATTATTGTTTACACCCAACTTAGGCAAACTTAATGCTAATAAGTATTCTATTCCAATCCACCTTGGGGATTACACACCTACAGAAAATTTTACTAAATTAAGAGTAGATAAATTTTACTGAATTTTATTGAAACTAAAAATTAATCACTCTGAATTTCTCATTCCCAGGCGAAATATCCGGCAGACTGCGCTTCTTTCCACGAACACGAACTTAAAGTCACTACAGAGGTGTACCATAATGAATTATAAAACCATGCTTGGTAAAGTATAGATTATGATTTCATTCTGCATAATAATATAATTAAACCGTTGACAAATTGTATAATTATTTAAATACGAATAATTAAAGATAATAAATAGCATTTAAGATCTGTTCCTTTGAGATATATTCTGTGCAAGTGAATAACGTAATAAAAAAAATAGTTTATAATTTTATTATAGGAAGTATTGATATAAATTCAAGTCGCAAAATACATTTTCATAATAGATTAGTTCATAGCTGTAATTAAAATTATCTGATAGTTTTTTTGTCTTTGAAAAATATTTTGTGACTTGATGTTTTAGAACGTATAAATAAAATTGCTGGAAATGGTGCTAAAAACTTTAATGCGTAGAACTTAAAACTTTAAAGCGCAGCTATTTCTTTGAACTTGTCTTCGTATTTGTTTCCTTCATCGTCTTTTGAAAAAAAAAACATTCTTTTATCATTTCGTATACATATTGAAGTTAACGTTTTATCAGTTTAGAAATAATTTATCTTTGACTATCTGTATATAACGTATCGAGGTTTCATAACATAAAATAAAAGAAACTCAATATGAAGTGTTTCATTTGTTTAATTACATCTGGAATAAATCGCTCCCTAATAACATTACCAGTAACTACAAAATAAAAACAGATACAGAGGCCTGTGTGTGTCAAACGATAAAGTACAATGGTGTCTGTGTTGTTTTAACTGTGGTAGGACCACGCAATAGTTTTCGCTGATGCACGAATGGGCCGGTCCGTCCAGGTAAGTACCACGACCTCATAGAAGAGCGATTTAAAGTCGAAGTGTCATACTTCTGTGTTTCGCCTGGTGATTGAGGTAGCCGGGGCCCACTTTTTTAAAAGGTGACAACGCAATCATCTGCAACTCTACGGGTGTTGCAATGTCCATGGGCTGCGGTTATCACTTAACATCAGGTGAACCACCACCTCGTTCGCCACTTTCCCACATAAAAAAAAATTATCTTGTTTAGTGAACATACAAAACGGATCTTGATGGTATTATATATATCATGATTCAACTATTACAATCAGGCATTTTATTTTCGATTAATCATTATATTGGACCTTAATTAATTATCAACGCATACTGTACGTCCTCTTATATCATGTCTAACTTCAACATATATAATTATATACAAATCGTCGTAACATTATTTGTGCAGTGCAAGCGAAATGAATCGTATTGAAATAGCCTTAAGAAGGATTAATTTAAATTGTCAAACATGTTTTTATGGTTCCGTACCCAAAGGGTAAAACGAGGCCCTATTACTAAAGCTCCGCTGTCTGTCTGTCTCTTAAGCTTTGTCTCATCAACCGTTATAGTTAGACAGTTGAAATTTTCCACAGATAACAAAAAATACTAAAAACAGAATAAAAAAGTTTTAAGTGAAGCTCTCATACAACAGACATGATTTTTTGACGTTTACTAGCACTTGGCCGGGTTTTTTGTTTATATCTACATTAAAATCAAACACAACACCGACTACAAAAAAAGCCTTCAATGTTAATGCATCATCATAATTTCTAAAGAAGTTTAGGCAACCTATTTTCTCAAACTAGGCAACATTATTTTAATGCAGTAGTTAAGGAAACTCACCAAATAATAAAATACATACATATTTTGTCCTATAAAACGTGGAAGTGTGGAGAGAGTCGAGATTAACAAACCCTCTTATAAATTCTCTTCCCACTAATTAAGTTTTTACGTCCTTATTTTTATACTTATGGACGGAATGAGTAAATCCTTATTAATAATGCAATCGTTAACATTTTACGAATCTAAAGTATATAGAAAATGTTTCTAAGTGTTAATTACTTAATGTTTGAATAAATTAATGCATATGTTCTGTTATAATAAAGACTCGAATCGTTAATTTTTCTTCGCAGGAATGTTCTTACACACCCACTCCATACCTTCCTGTGAAATAGATAAAAGTTAATCATTCCATTCTTAGCAAAATAAGGCATTGGATGGGTTTGCTAAGAAATTATACAGAAGACTACGGATGGAGGGTGTTAAGGCATAACCCCCACAAACTACTTATTTTAATAGCTTAGCTTATTATATAAATGACTGGGATAGTGCTCCACTTCTCCAAATCAAAAAACACACGTCACTGGGGACGTTGTGCTTATAAAAATAAAAAAAGTAAAATATCAGCCTATACATGTCCCACTGCTGGGCAAAGTCCTCCTCTGCACAGGGGGTATCAGGGCATAATCCACCACGCAACCCCACTGCGGATAAAAAATAGTTGTTTCTTAAAACTAGTAACTTAACATTAAATGGAGATATCAAAATATTATTTTACAAACCAAGTGTCTAAGAGATAAAACTTAGAAGAGTTCATTGGAATCTATCCAGTAGTTTTACCGTAAGGAACGCATAATGACAGAGCTTTATCATTTTGTTTATGTAGATAGTTTCTTGTGTAATCTTAGTTGAGAATGAAATATTAAGGCCTAAACATAAGTATCACGTGATTATGTGATGCGTGAACTCTTTTTTCTTCTGCCTCGTATTCCCGAGGAAGGCGGAATCTCCGTTCGATACACTAACGCGATCCCCCCTTCAATTTGGTAAGGCGATCCCATCCCCAGAGCAGTCCGTTTCCTTTAAAGAGAGACCTAGAGACGAGACACCTTCGCGTCATCACATTTCTCAGGGTCGATTCACCGGGCTAAGGGCTACTACTGGTTTTTGGTGGGCCGTGGCAAAACACACGAGAGTCTTATTGACCTTATTCGCGAGTTGGATTTGTCTTGTATCGATCCCTAAGCTTCCTTGATCACAATTACACTTTTGTAACGGCGTAGAAGGACGTGACGACAGGGGCCCTGGACACGTGCCCCCTGTGCCCTAATGGTAAAGGCTATACTGGCTCTGTCTAACGGAGGGCGGTAACAAGAGACGGTACACCTGTGTATCTATATTCGATAGTATTTAATATAAATTATTCCAACTATCATACAACACAATCAAGACAATTTCTTTATTACACATTACCTTAACACCAGTGCCGTCAATGGCGACGCAAGCTTGAATTTGCCACGTACGGTCCCTTATCAGGTGTAGCCCTAGATGCTGTGCTATTTCACTGGCTGGCAAAGCTGAAATTGTTAAAAGGACTTCAACATCTTCGAACTCCATGGAACAGTGGCCAAGGTATTGGCTTCGGCGTCGGAGGACGTAGGTTTGATTCCCACACGCAACAACTATTTGTTATCCATAGATAGTTTTTCCGCATCCGGATGTTTGTCCGCGTGAGTTTTATGTTTGTAAAACGTCCTTACAACACAGGATAATATTATCCTAAAGTAAGGGCAACTTTTTAAAGATATTTCACTTTTCACATAAAATGCCGCTTAACCTAACACCGTAAGCTTACTATACCATCAGAAGTTTATCTCATACGGATGTCTAATAGTTTTGATGGGTCAGGAGGGATCTATTAAAAGTGTATTGTTATGGAACAATAAAATATACAAAATAAAATATGGTGTAGTTACTGAACTATTGGTTTTGACATCGGGTGTCCTTGGTTCAATTCTCAAGCGGACCAAGAGATTGTCCAAGTTAAACGTGTTAGTTCATCGTCATGATCCTCCTCAAATGAAAATCATTTTGTTAATCGTATTGTTTAGGTGATTTTATGACTGGCCGTCTGCTTGACGACAACCCTCCTTGGGAGGGTTGTCGTCAACACCGGGATGGGTTTCGGTGTAAGGGCATTACAAATTATTATCTTATTGCTAATTTTTATACAATACAGCTTTTCAATGGAAAAGGAGACGAACGTGTAAGTCGTTCACCTGCCAAATACCATCGCTACCACCTCGATGGTTGGCAGTCTACTACTGTTCATTTTTCAAGTATCTTTCTGCCACGCACAACCAACTTATGGAATATTTAACTGCCAGCTGTATTCCCGGACCGGTACGCCTTAGGGACCTTCAAGAAGAGGGCCTATCCCTTCCTTTAAGGCTGGCAACACATTTGTGACTCCACGGGTGTTGCAAGAGTCCATGGGCGCCACTGAACACTTACCATCAGATGTCACCCCAGCTCGTTTGCTTTTCTTTAAGTGATCAACGCTTATGGAAATTCTCAACACGAGGCATATTATCAGTCTAGAGATAATTTTAACCATGCTGTATAGTCTCAATATGCAATAAGGTCGAAATTTAAAATGCTTTGTTGAGAGAATTATCTGATATTATTCCACTTAAATAGAAATGCATTTTACCTGTTGAAAGATCTTGCTTATTGGCGTACACCAATAACGGAACACCGCGAAGTTTATCATCCTGTAAAAGCTCAGCTAGCTCTAAGCTGGTCTCTTCCAGTCTGTGATGATCTGAACAGTCTACGACATATATCTGTAAATATATATGATCTTTTATCTGAACGCGGCATGAAGCAAAATCAGTATATAAACTTAATACATAATACTATATTTTGGTGTAAAATGATTATGATGATTTTACGATTTTCTGTATACAAACATCAGCTACATAACAACATCTGCTGTATAAATATGAAACCTCGGCCAGGGACCACAAAATCGAACTAAAACTATTCATAATTATGTGTTTTGTTCGGTGACTGAGGTAGCCATGTCTTTAATGTTCCTGGGCTACTCTAACAACTCAACAGTATTCCATTCGTAGAGAGTGGCTTAACTGTTATAGGAAACTCGCTATGAAAGGTTATTTATGAGTTCTGAATAATTAATGTCGATGAAGTTACGGACAATTTTTTCAGAACAAAAACTTTTAGCTTTTTGATTCGAACCTGCTTCTTCTGGTTTCACGCCCAGACGGTTTACCAATTAATCTAAGTGGCCAATGACTTCACTACGCGAAAATTTTGACATCTATCTACGTTCGTTCCATTGCATTTTTAACAATGTTTGGCGGCAACTAGTGTGCATCCTTTATAGGCTTTACAGCACACAACAACAAATAACTTTCAACAATGATTATTTGTAACGAGGGATGTCGCCATTGCTCTTAACATTTTTAAGAATAATTTCATTATTGAAGTTCTAGTCTCTGCTCTCAATGAAAATTTAATCTTAATAATATTTGACTCCGATAAAGATAAAAGAGATACATTTGGTAAAAATTTTGATCAGTTTCCGGGTGTTTTCGACTAAACTAATAACCAACTAATACCATACATTTAATATAGAATATTCACCAATATATCAGTGTTTTCAAAATAGTTTCTCCAGTACGGACGGATCTTTCTCTGACCACCAATATCCCAAACGTTCAGTTTGAAGCCATTTGAAAGAACAGATTTTATATTGAACCCCGCTGTCGGCGTTACATGAGATACATCTTCCGAAGCCAGTTGTTTTAGCAGTGTCGTTTTACCCGCATTGTCTAATCCAAGAAGTAGCAAACGCAATTCTTTCTCAGGATTCGAACGCAACTTTCTTAAAATATTCAAAAGCCCCTGAAAATTTATAGAAATTTAATATCGAGTTGGAGGGTTTTCGAAAAAAAAGACATCTTTGTCTCACCATCATGAATGATTATAAATTAAAAAATCACTTATTTAAGAACCTTTCACGTAATTACAGAAAGCACTAAGCTATTGAGGGTGATAGACATAATTATTTGTTGATATTGGTATTGTTACTATGGTTACAAAGTTACAATGCCATTCGGACAGAAGATAAAAAAAATCTAATGTATCACAAAATACTTCTAGACTTCTCCTAATCTTTTTAAACTGTTTCTTTCATTCTATTCTACTGCTACAATTCCTTAACAATAACAAACATTTTCTTGTACCTAGTCTTTTTTTATGTGAAAAGTTGTGAAGCGAGCAGGCGGTTCACCTGATGTTGCCCATGGACATCCGCAACAGCCGATGGCTTGCTGATGCGTTAACAACCGGTTTCTCTCCCTATCGCCCTAACCCTCAGCCGTTTTGTCTCCCCAGCCGAGGGCTTCCGTCTGGTTGGGTCCTATTTATATATGTATTATATACAACATTTATATGTATAATTAGGTTTATTTTTATCCATAATATTTATTTTATATATGCAATATATATCTATATTTTTATTTTTATTTATAAACCCCACCAGACGATAAAACAAATGATAATTAATTTAACATAATAATTAATTTTATCACATAATTATTTTCACCTAGTTTATGTTTCCACCATGTTGATACCTAATACAAAAAAATGGTGACTTGTTTTCATTTAGAAAGTTTCAGTGTGAATTTAGTGATTTTGGTAGGTTTTTTTGCTATATTTTTTTTTCTTTGAGCTATTATTACACTGTGTTATGTTTGACTGATATCATATCTTTATCTGTGCTATACTCTATCTAGAGTAGTAGTTGTATTGTCTGTGGCTTGTAATTCTGTAAAAAGTAAAAGACGCACGTGGGTAATATTGGTTATTTAAAAATATTTGAAAGATTTTCGATATGGGAAAAATAAAGCAAGAACCTGTAGAAGTGGATGATACAGCCGAAGTATCAATTAAAAGTGAACCACAAACATACGATGAAAAAGTTGAGCACTGCAGCGTTATTGCCAAGCCAATGGCACCGAAGAAACTTAGCAAAAAAATATATAAGCTGATTAAAAAATCAAGCAGTCATAAGAACTACATCAGAAATGGACTTAAAATTGTTCAGAAACAGCTGCGACTTGGTGAAAAAGGGTAAGTTGTAAAAATAACCAACTATAAAACAAATGGTTTAGGTGAGGTTAGTTATAACAGTAATATATTTTTGTTACAGAATCGTAGTGTTCGCAGGCGACATCTCCCCGATAGAAATTATGTGTCACTTGCCAGCAGTTTGCGAAGAAAAGGACGTGCCCTATTGCTACACTCCGAGCCGGAAAGACATAGGTTCAGCAATGGGAACAATGAGGGGTTGCATAATGGTTCTGATCAAAGAACATGAAGAGTATAAGGACTTATTTGATGAAATACGAGGAGAAATTAAGTTGCTGGGTCACCCTTTATAGAAATATAATATTAATGTAAGAAACCTTTTATTGATAAGAGACAATTATGCTAGTGTATAAATGACCAGAGTTATTCACCAGTGTCGAAAAATACTAAGTACCAGAACTATTACCTAATTTTAAGTGGGCTCAGTTTTATTCAAGACATAAATATCTGGAGTTGTTTGCCTTCAAGCATTAACATTATGTTGTGTTGTTAATGAGAAGTGTAGAAAGCAGTAACATCAACTTCGTTGTAAATATTTTGACCATGAAATATTAAATATTCCATTTTATACTGCAACACTTTTATTTTAAACTAATTTTTATTCTTATTTACTATTCTAAAACAATCAAAGCCAGTATAGGTAAAATTTTAATGTGTTGTGCATTAGATATCCACATTATGATTTATCTAGATATGAAAAAAGAACTAGAACTTTAGCTAGTGCATTCAAAAATAAATTTGCCTTTTCCATGTATTGCCATTGAATATTTACATATTTAACTTAGAGCCACTCCACACATCAGTTCAGTATAAAGTGGAAGTGTTTTACTTCTATGTTTCTTCTGGCAATTGATATAACCGGGGCCACTTAATTAAAAAGTGACAACACATCTACAACTTTACAGGTATTCCCAATGTCTATGGATGGTGGTTATCACTTAGCAGGGAGTGGTGTGCTCGCTTGCACATAAAAAAAATATTTTTAAGCTATATATCTTTTTCTATTATACCAAAATGCCATTTTACTACAATAGATACTCAATAATTATGTCCCTTTCAAATACACTTCACTTTTTACCCAAATATGGTGAAGCCATTAAAAGAGTTGTGTTACTATATCAGTGTTATCTTGTACTACTAAACATCTGAATTTATCTTTATGAATGAAATGTTAGATTGTTTTTTATGACTTGGCACTCACTGGTAAATTAAAGGTAATTAAAAAAAATGGTAAATTAAAGTTTAAAAAATCAAAATCGTAATTTATAATAATAAAACATGATATAAAAATAAAACATAATAATAATTTTTTCAAAGCATTTATTCATGACATTATATTAGTAAATTGTAGAGAATGTAGTCATGTAATAATTAAAAAAAACTGACATGCAGATATCTACAGTAGAAATAAAGGTCACTAATATTGCTAAATTGATAACCAATGGAGATGAAAGGTTCTCAAGTGGCAGCTTTGCATTGGTTATTGCAGTAGGACCACCGCCCACTAGATAGTAACTATTGACCATGGATTGTGCATTGTGGCAATTTGTAGAGGCCCATGATCAGCAGTAGACTAAAGGTCGAGATGATGATAATGATGACATTGTAGAATCACTTTTAATGTCAACCAACGGTGATTGACTTCTAATTATTATTAAATAATTATATCTTTTTAATTTAGGGGAGGATGGTATATTTAAACAATTTATTGATTACACATACATTTATTCCAACTAGGGTTACGTAAAAAATGGCAGATTGTCAGGAACTGACAGTGAAGATTGGCAAATTACATTAGGTATTTAAAGTTATGCGCTAGATCGCAAAAATGCCTAAGCTAAGAAGTCTAGGTGAACACTAAAATAGATTTCGCTTATTTCTAGATGTGTGCCAGTTTAATCCTACTAAAAATGACATACTGTCTGTTTATTATAATTACTAAAATTATGTGAAAAGTACAAAATAATCTGAAATCTATCCCACTGCTGTGATTGTAATCTAATATCAATTATTTTATCAATTATCAAGCAATTTTAGAGAAACCCTGCTTTTGAGTGCATTTTCGTCCAGATCAAAAGTTTAATGATGTTCAATCAAAATGCGATAAGAAAATATGGAGTTTCTTCATTGGACTGTCCCAAACATTGTATATAACATGTGTATAGTGATGATTATTTTGTACTTCAAAGTTCTTAGGTGTCAAATCCTTATAGAATATTAGAATAATTTAAGGAAAGCAAACTTTAATATCCACCTACACCATTCAGAGATAGGTTAAAAATCAATAATTAAGACATTCCCTGCGGGTAACACTTATGTGGTCAGTTTTAATATGATGTTGTTTTGTGGTCTGGCGATCCACCCCAATGTTATACTATGCAAAGCTAATACATAATTAGTATCATGGTAGAAATATACATATATAATATGTGTATGTAGCCCATATAATATGCAAACATATGGGCTATACATTTACAGTATTTAGGTACACGGGGCATATGTTAATTTTCATTTTAATGGATATATATATAAATACAGATCGGTTTTAAACATTTCCTTATTGATCTAAGTCTCGTTAGACATCCGCGTGTACATAAATAGAAAAATATACAACTAATGTGAATAAAGTGTGCACCATCTGTCATTAAATTTTTACCGTTAACACACACATTTTACACATTTTAGCAACGTTAATTTAATGACATACCAGAAAAATAGCAGAACAAAATTGAAACCATCAAGGAAACATGTGGCTAATTTATGCAACTTCTACATAGCACTAATAGAGACAGGCAATGAGCTTGTCACCTTTTACCGAGCAAGATTTTGATGCATATCCATAAATACGAAAACTCATAATTATGTCATGACATTATTTAAAGGCTATAATAAGCCTACACCAATGTGAGCAATGCATGTAAGTAGTTATCATTATTATAAACTAAGATTATGTAGGAGGTAGTACAAAGAGTGTTTGGTGGACTTTAATCGAAATCTACCAACTTCAATTCATCATGCCTCCATCAATTGTTTAAATTCAATACTATATTAAATTTAAACAATATCGAAATAGCTAGAATTAAATTCAATTGAAACAAATCACAGCTCCATATAACTATCACAGGCTACTTTTACAATGTCATATGACATATCCAATGCTTACTATATGGCCAGCGCATACTTAATTGTATACATAACTTAACAATAATAAAATTGAGATTTCAATATATGTAATAATGGGTACAAAGCAAATCTGCGTTTACACGCTTTAAGTATAGTGAATAGTAGTTGATTTGGAGCGCATCGCCATGCTAAGACACCTAGCGGACGCCGAGCCAAGTTATGATTAAATTAATATGGGAAGAATCAGAAATAAGACTGAATTAACAATAGGCTATACTCGAGCAGGATCTCGCGACGGTACGCTTAAGCTTAGGGATGTCGCGGCATGCTAAAGGACACCACAGCCTAACGTCTGTTAGCATACACTCAAATGTATTGAAGCATGCCCTGCCGTGCCGTTCCGCTAGTAGGTATACACCCTTACTGTCGTCCTCTATTATACATTTGTTTGTTTGTTTTTAAACAACATAACCCTCACTTTAGCATTACATTATTCTGTGTTCTTTTACAAACAAATTTCACGCGGACAAACACCCAAATGCAATACATATCAACATCTTTATACTAATTTATACCTGATTTATAGGTACATAAATAACCATAAAGACAATCAAAGAATTTCCCTATTATTGGATGAACAGCAACAAATGACCATCCATTTTACTAAATGACTTCACCACTCTTTGACGGTTATTATTTTCCTTATTTAATACTTAGGGTTAAGGCTTTGCATACAAACACATGAACTTTCCTAAATGGGAATATGGCCCAATCCCGGGAGATAATACATATTCAGCAAAATCATAAATTATGTCATAAAAAGTAGTGATGACACTTAAATTTGTCTTTTTTTAAATGATAGCATTTTAATGGACTTTTACAATAACGCAAAAAAAAAACTATTCATTGTAAGCAATTTTTACAAACGTTATCCTAGGAAACAATATTTAAAATGATATACTTACGTATTTCAATTGCGAAGTAAATAGCATCGACAGTACAAAAATAATAATACATTACTTATTTTTTAAGTTAATCCTATTTAAAATTTTAAAATACACTCTTAAATATTAATTGGTGAATTACTTTACTGCTAATATGTAAAATACGAAAATATGGGTAGTTTAGATATAAATAAATAAAAATTATTTAAAAACAAATCCTTTTTTCATGCATCATTAATATGTTCCAAAGAAAACATTAGAAGAGTGAGTGCTTGATACATTTTTGTTTTAATATTTCATATTTTTTTAGAAACTATCACATAAAATAATAAAAGATTCATTGACAGAATCGTCTGCTTGGAAAGCATTTTCAAAGAAAGTGCTATAGAATTTATGTTATAAGGTTTACGCTTAATGTCGTGCAGTAATCAAGGCGTTGACAGTCAAAGGGGTGTATTTATTCTGTTACGCGTTCTGTCAATGAACAATCCTTGGATCAAATAGTTTGATAGCAATAGCACTTTAAGTGGATGGAGAGGTTTAAACGGGTCACAGCACAAGGATAAAGAATCGATGATTCGGTTACGTACGTTATTAAAATGCGCTCACAACTGACGGGCAAAAAAACGTTTATCACATAAATTTTGTTTGAAATATTGGATACGATAATAAAATAAGGCTACGAGTCGGTCCGTACTTTAGAACGAAATATTTAGATTAGAACTAATTACTCATCGAACACACGACACAAAAAAATGTAACGATTCCATTCCACGCATGCACATTTTTAATTCACTTCTAGATTCTCAATACAACGTCCAAATTTCGCCCTAACCGGAAGAACCGGTACCTGAAAGCTTAGACTTAAAATAGCAGTCGTGTAAATTGTATATGTAAATTGGGTGCGATTGTACACTGCTGTTACAACTAGGCGGTGTAGAATTACGTGTAGACGTGGAACAGTATCAGTATGGTCAATATTGTGCTCATGAAACACATAGACACCGGCAGGAGTACTGCGATACGGAGGGACCTGTGGAAGAAATTTTGTGTTAGAGGAATAAATACGGTACGTAACCCTCCCTGAGAGTGACGTTAGTTCTAGAAATAATCCATACTAATATTACGCATGCGAAAGTAACTCTCTCTGTCTGTATCGCTTTCATGGTCTGTCTGTATCGCTTTCATGGTCTGTCTGTATCGCTTTCATGGTCTGTCTGTATCGCTTTCATGGTCTGTCTGTATCGCTTTCATGCAAAACTACTGAACCTATTTAAATGAATTTTGGTTCACAGATAGTCTAGAGCCTGAGAAAGAACATAGGCTTTACTTTTTAATTGGAAAAAACTTAAATATTTTAAAGAAAGATATTTATTTAAGGGCTTCAACGCGAACGAAGCCGCGGGCGAAAAGCTAGTCATAAATAATTTTATTCCCCCAAAGGGTTATAAACCATTTTGGTATGTTTTTTTATTTTTTTACATATTTTTACACAATATTTTCTAGTCCCAAACTAAGCAACGCTTGTACTATGGGTACTATAAAACTGATAAACATACTTAAATATACTTTTCTTTTGTAAATAAATACATATTATACATATATAAACACCCAGACACTAGAAAAACACTATGTTCATCACACAATATTTTTCCAGTAGTGGGGATCGAACCAACACCCTCTGTCGCAGGAGGCAGGTACACTACCCACTACGCCATTCGGGTCGTTTTGCCACGGGCTAAATAGATTGTATAAAATAATATGGTGATAACTAACTCTCAAACTCTGACTGTCAAAATGTTGTTAAATGTCATTAACGTAATGTTATATATTTGTTAATTTAAATGTATATCGCCCGGTTTCTGAAACACTGATTATTGTAGGTGCTAACTAATCAGCTGTCAAATGGCCTTTCAAATGTCATTTTAGTTGCGAAAAGGATGGTTGAACTCTTTGAATTGATCATTCTGATAATTAAGAAGATCATGCTGGTTCGGTTCAGAAACCGGGCGTATGACTGTGGTAGGGCCACGCAACAGACTTCTCTGTTGCACGAATGGGCACGTCCGTCCGGGTAAGTACCACGACGTAGACTGGTGTCAAGTGGAAGTGTTATACATCTGCCTTTCGTCTGGTGAGTCAGGCAGCCGGGGCGCACTTCATTAAAAGGTGGCAACGAATCAGTAATCCTACTGTGTGGCAAACTACAATGGGTGGCGGTTATCACTTAACATCAGGTGAACTGCCAGCTCGCTTTCTACCTTGCCACATAAAAAAAATGTTCTTAGATGACTCTCCAATTACTGAAGGGTAGGGATCAGGTCATGGTTTTCCAGATTTTGCGCGGTGGAAAACCTCAGTTGTATTACATATTTGTCATCATACAAACAGGGCTTTAGCTCCAATGGAACATACTAGTTCTCGACTTTTGCGTCAGTAACAGACGAAAACTTCAGTAATGTCCTCATACAAACAGTGCTGTACCTCCAATCTGCACCTAGTTTTCGATCTTTAGCATAGCGAAAAACGTCCGTCATAATATCAGCGTACAAATAGGGCTGTCTCAAGTATGTACACAGTCCTCGATCTTTTACGCGGAGGAAATCCTCAGTCATATCATCGTACAAATAGGACTGTACCTCAAATCTACGCACAGTTCTCGGTCTTTGGCGCGGCGAAAAACATAAGGCATATTATCGTGCAAATAGGGCTGTACCTAAAATTGACACACAGTTCTCAGTCTTTGGCATGGCGAAAAATATAAGGCATATCATCGGACAAATAGGGCTGTACCTCCAATAAGGCGGACGTCAGAGTGGCGGGTTCGGTTGCGGTTCGCTGCGGCACAGTGCAGTGCTGGCGTCGGCGGGAGTCGCTCCCGTCTCCGCCGCCGCCTCCGCTCCCGCTTCCGCCGCTGCGTCGTTCGCACCCGAGCTCTCGCGGCGGACTTTACCTACGACATTTTAGTTAACTTTATATAAAATATAAAGTGACTAGGGCCACATCAGGATTTTCTTCAATGGTACATAACACGAGTATTAAATAAACCTTGAGAAGTTGTACGGATATAGGACAAAGGCGACTCAAGGATATTTTAAAAGAATAGTTGGCAAACGAAGAATCTGCTTACTCGACGGAACTGGGCATTCGCAACAATAGTGGAAGTTGATTCGCAATAAATATATAATCATTTCGGATCTTTTTTTGCAATTATTTTGTAATTGGTACTTTTACTTTACTACTATTATCTACTCCCTATTTCTTACTTTTACGAGGATTGAAAGTCTATCGAATCTAAGTTTTAGGTGATCTAAAATGTCAAAGCAAACTGCAGCCTTTTTCAACCGTCAGTGTTTCACGTCAACTGTGTATTCTTGACTCGGGTTTTGAAATATATTTTTGTTTGTGCTATATAAAAGAGACCACACACAGTTAAGCTTGTACGCTTCTGGGTCTTATAAAAGAGCATTACCCTAGAGAGATGGTTTTGTAATTTGTCAGTCACGGTGAATTAATGTTCAGTGTAAGCCGTGAGCGTTCAGTGTCCGTCTTTTATTCAATATACTCGAGCAACCTGAGTTCGATCCCCGTTGCCGGCACTAAAGAAATTGTTAATTTTGATTTATCACGTGCTCAAAAAAAATATTTCGAGGATATGTGAAGTCCTCCCACCCGCAGTCAGCAGGGCCGCGTGGTGGACTATGCCCTGATACCCTTTGTACAGAGGAGGCCTTTGCCCAGCAGACATGTGTAGGCTGTTACTTTACTTCAAACCATGTTCACCTAGTAAATTACAATAGAAACTCAGACCGTATTCTATTTAAGCACACAAACACTAAACACCATCGTTGCGTGCTTTTCGAGAAATTTTTGGCCACGCATGACTACTTTTGCAGAATCGGCAGATTTATTCCCAAACAGACACGACTGTCGGACCTTCTAGTGAGAATGTATTTACAAATAAAAATATACTGACTGGTGAAGCAAAGGCACCCGGTTTGCTGGCTTGCTTGCAGAGAAGTTGTGGGTCGTATCTCCTTCTGTTCTTTGGACTGCTCATTGAGGCACTTCTGATAGTAGTCATACTCTTTCACGTACCTAAAAATTAGAGTATTTTTTTTAATTCCACAGCGGTCAAAAAAACATTTTAAGAAAAGAGATATATTTAGGAGCTACATTCCAGGCACGGCCCCAAGTTTTTGCGAAAGTCTCGGGAGCGATGACTTACGCCCGGTTTCTGAAACACCGATCATCGTCTATGTCAACTAATCAGCTGTCAAATGGCTTTTCAAATTTAATTTTAGTTTCCAAAAGGATGGTGAAACTCTAAACTCTTGATGTTCAGAACGATCCCTAAAAAGGGATGAAAATGGCGGAACTCCACTCACCAGACCGGGGGCCAGCGGTTGTCCGCTAGGTAGTCCCGCGAGGACTGGCTTAGGTGGCGCGCTCTGCACACCCTATCGTAAGCGCCGCATAGACGCCACGTGCACCAATTGGCGAGGCTGTGAGCGTTGTGCAACTGCCGTGGGGGAGAACAGCGTAGGAGATAAGCTACAATGCCTTCAAGTTGGGTAACAAAGGGGGGGAACAGCGTGGTAGTTGATATACGACGCCCTCAAGTTGGGAAGTTTTTTTTGTTTTTATATGAAAAGTTGCCAAGCGAGCATAAGTGAATACCGCCGCCCATGGACATCTGCCACACCCGAGGGTTACAGATGCGTTGCCACCCTTTATTAAGTGGGCCCCAGCTGCCTGATTCACCAGATGAAACGCATACGTGTAACTCTTCCACTTGACTCCGGTCTTTTCGGAAAGTGGGCTCCGGCTACCTCACTCACCAGACGAAACGCGAAAGTATTTGTCATACCTCCACTTTACGTTTGTCTTCTTTGAGGTCGTGGTACTTACCCGGACGGGCCTGCCCATTCATGCAACAGCCGAGGCTGCTGCGTGGCCCTACCACCGTTCTTTACGTAAGTAAGGTTCTTTTAAGTGAGAAGGCGGCAAGCGAGCTGGCGGTAAGTGAATACCGCCGCCCATGGACATCTGCCAACTACAAGCGAGGGTTTCCAGATGCGTTGACAACCATTTTTGAAATTGGGCTTCAGCTACCCCACTCACATGTCATACTTCCACTTCACGCCGGTCTTCTGTGAGGTTGTGGTACTTAATTAAGTGATAACCGCCCCACATTGACATTTGCGACACCCGTTGGGTCGCAGATGCGTTGCCACCATTTATTAAGTGGGCCCCAGCTGCCTGATTCACCAGATGAAACGCATAAGTGTAACTCTTCCACTTCACTCCAGTCTTCCGTGAGGTCGTGGTACTTACCCGGACGGACCTGCACACTCGTGCAACAGCCGAAGCTGTTGCGTGGCCCTACCACAGGTGTTGTGCACTTTCCTTTATAGAAACTTGTGGTCAAGGAGTATCTTTTTACATAATGCCTATTTTTATGGAGTTTTTATCTACAAAGATACGCCAACCCCATCGTAACTTATACAAGTAACAACAACTTACGAAGGCGCCTTTCTGTACAACTTTCTTATAGATTTCTTTGCCTGAAATCGTTGTTTTTTATATTTCGGAATTTCTAGACTGTAGTTGCATTTCACCATTGACGAGATTACCTTAACGGGCTCCAAAAGTGACAGGGCTATCTCCACCACCCGATCGCCTGCGACGCCCACCCTGCAAGTTATTGATTAAAAAATTAACACTCTTTATTCTGTTCTTATTTGATGTTGACGGAACACGACAAGCACATTTTTTTATAAAAGTATATTTTTTATGATGGGCAAATGAGCTGTTGATGTTAAGCGATAATCACTTCCCAATCCCATGGACAGTCTTACAAATACGTTTAAATAAAATGGGCCTTTTTGAAAAGTTGCCAAGCGAGCAGACGGTTGACCTGATATTAAGTGAATACCGCCGCCCGTGGACATCTGTTACACCCGAGGGTTCCAGATGCATAGCCGGAGCCCAATTTTCAAATGGTTGTCACCTTTTGAAAATTGGGCTCCGGCTACCTCATTCACCAGATGAAACGCGAAATTATTATACTTCCACTTCCAGCCGGTCTTCTGTGAGGTCGTGGTACTAGACCCAGACGGACCTGCCCATTCGTGATGCAGTGAATACTGCTGCCTTTACAGCGATCTTGCCATTACAGGTTGCACTGAAAATCTGTTCACATAACTTCGAATGACCCACCTGTCCTGAAGTTGGAGTTGCTTCACAACACTCGCCTCGACCAGGCTTACCAGTCGATTCATGCACAGCCGGTTCGCCAGCTCCAATAGTTCTAAACACCTGGTGGGCTCCACTTTTGGTATTTGATCCGAATAGATGTAGCAGAGGAGTATTTGGAAGGCGTACATTTTTACGCCGGGGAACGAGATCTGAAATGTTACAACGTAAGATGTATCTAACACTTGTGGAAGTATTTTTTACGTGGGATAATGGCAATTGAGCTGGCGGTTCACCTGATATAAAGTGGTCACCACCACCCGTGGCCATCTGCAACATCTGTGTGGTTGCAAATGTGTTGTCATCGTGTAAAAAAGAAGGTCCTGCTGCTGAATTCAACTGACGAAACGCAGAAGTATACTTCCACTTCGCAGCCGGTCCTCTGTGACATCGACGTCTTAGTACTTCCCCAGATAAGCTTGCCCATTGGTGCAAGGCGGATCCCTGACCTACCACTAAATCTTGGAAAGTTGAGAGAAATAAAGAGAGACGTTGGTAGATTAGTCCACTCCTTTTCTGTTCGTATTATAAACGATAGGACGAACCTTCAAATTCGGGGAATGTGTTCGTATGAATGGAGACCAGCTGACCATTACTCGACAAACATCAGAGAGCGGAATTGATAACTCGCCGTTGCTAAACTGTTGGCTTCGGCGTCGAGAGTCGTGGCCTAGGTGGGATAAAGGCAGGATGATGATATTAGAGGGAGAATAGGGCGAATTGAGTCAATGAGTGCAAACGCTCCCTTTAATGAATAAGCCGAGAAGATTCCGCGCAAGATGAATCGACTGAATTACATATTATGCATTATATTATATAATTACATACATTATACTTGAGTATTGTCGAAATGGTCAAAACGAACCGCAATTAAATTCGCAATCGCACCGTGTTAAAAGTTTGCTCACCACTCTGGACGTGCTCTCCCTGAAGTGGCCTTGGAACATGGCCTTCATAGGGTCGCATCTCGCCATCAGCATTGCCCTATGCGCCAAATGGATGCCATCGTCGAGGTCGAAGGTAACGTCAGCGAACAGATTGCGCTCCACGCACATGTCGAGTAGCCTTTGGGGCAATGGCTGCAATACATTTTAAGAAGTATCAAAGTTACCTATGTTTTTTTAAACCATTGCCCTCACTTTAGGATAAAATTATCTTTTGTTTTGTAAGGACGTTTTTTTATGTGAAAAGTTGCCAAACGAGCAGACGGTTCACCTGATGTTAAGTGAATACCGCCGGCCCTAGACATCTGCTACACCCGAGGGTTAGCAGATGCGTTCACAACCTTTTTGGAAATTGGGCTCCGGCTACCTCACTCCCCAGACGAAACGCGAAAGTATTTGTCATTCTTCCACTTTACGTCGATCTTCTGTGAGGTCGTGGTACTTACCCGGACAAGCCTACCCATTCGTGCAACAGCCGAGGCTGCTGCGTGGCTCTACCACCGTTTTACAAACATAAATTTCTCGGACAAACCCCCAGATGCGAAACAACTATTTGTGAGTCTTACAAATAGTTGTCCCGTGTAGCAATCTAACCCACGATCCCCGACGCCGAAGCCAATACCTTGGCAACTGTGTCACCGAGTCATCTTGTTATGATTGCCATCACGAGAACAGTCTTCGCTGTTGCACGAATGGGCAGGTCCGTGTGGGAAAGTACCACGACCTCACAGATAACAAACCGGCGCGAAGTGTAAGTGTTATACTTCTGCATTGTGTCTGGTGAGTGAGGTAGCCGAGGCCCACTTTATTAAAAGGTGGCAACGCATCAGCAACGCTATGGATGTTGAAAATATCCATTGTGCGGTGGTTATCATTTAACATCAGGTGGACCGCCAGCTCGTATGCCACCTTCTCACTTAACAAAAATACGAAAGGTCTATTGTCGCTAAGCACTTACTGCTGGAGTTTGACTGAAAATGACCCCACCGATTTTGAATACAAGCCTTCAAGCTGCGCGGCCAGTCGTCTATAGCAGTACGAATGAGGCCCGTATCAATATCGGTGGCTACTTTGATCAAGGGTGCATGGAGTGACTCCAAATCAGGAAAAGGCTTTGAGCTGGCCTTTTCCTCCAAGTACTGACATATTTTATAATCGGATTTAAGTCTTGACTTGAGGACAGTTGTGTCGGATGAAGCCAATTTTACACCCCGCCAGCCAGTTTTGCGTGCTTTTCTATCTATGAGCTGGCGCAGAATCTTTTTCAACGGCGATGCAAGGCGATAACCTAAACTCGGACTACTTTATGCGTCCACTCCACAATAAAAATAAAAAAAAAATAACAGAAACGGTACACATTTTTATTTTCATACAACATTCGAAATTCGTATTTAATAAATAATTTTGTGGCCAGCATTAAAAATTAAAATAGGGTTTTAATTAGGGGACAGAACTTCTGCTCCGAGTTGGTATACACTGGGAGTGCTAAGTATAACGGTAGCAATTTGCTCACCTTGTGGAATTGAAGCATGTAACCCTTATCGAAGAGAAGATGCTGATCCAGTATGAACTGGCTGAGCTTGGTCAGTTCGTGAAAGCCGAGGAGTTCGGCTGCTTGACGGATCTCCTGTTAAATCACATCAATATAATATAGAACATCCTTAGATGCTGAATTGACAGTTCAATACGGTCTGCTTTATCGAGATGGCCAAATCGAAAAGATTTATTTTACAACCGGTGCCGTTGGCGTAATTGGGAAATGTGCCTTTTTTGTATTTCCGATGACAAAAGATGTAGACAAAGTCACGTAAGGAATTCTTTCTAATTTATTTTCTCAAGCTATACATTTCTCTTGTAACATTCTAATAATCTAAATAATTACATCCGTTACATTTCACTTTTTTAATTTTATTGAGAAGTATTTTATCTCTCGATATACCTATTAACTTAGTAGAGGAATAAATTTAAAGTCAAAATATCTCATTAGAGTTTAAAAGTTACATTCTCCATGAGCTGATCATTGTACTGATAAAATAGAGGAATAAAAAAAATGAAATCAAGTACTGACAATTTAAAGAATAGATTTCGCTTTGGAGTGATAGGTTACGTTTTATTTGAAGACTTTTTTTGGGTTCCATAAAATTATAGAACTGCGTGTGGTGCTTAGATAAACTTAGCTAAAAACGCTCGCTGTGACATACTTCTAATAATAGCCTAGTGCAGCATAAGTTAAAATGTGTTAAAATTTTTAAACGTTAAAAGCTTAAAAGCATAATTCAAAACACATTTTTTTTAAATAACGTAAGAATTAAAACTTAAAAGTGAAAATCAAAATGTTTTGAATGTTCGGATGCCCTCGTCAATAGAGCATTAATAGGTAATAAAATATAAAGTCAATAAATATGTTGAAGTGGAAAGTTCCGATTTTCCTTGGCTATATGTATATTACTTAACTTACTTTTATACAGCGTGTCGTTACCATCGCGACAATAAATGAACACACGTCTAACGCTACTTGCCAATAATCATAAAAAAATATTAACGTTAAACATAATTCATAATTAAAAAAAAATATTTTCCAAACAAACTAATTAAGTAAAAAAGAAACAAAATTTATAAAATCCTATACAACTCGCGCCACAGCGTCGTATTCCAAACCTCTCCTTCGAACAGTATGTTTTGTCTCTTTTAAATTCATTCAACCCATTCATATGCTTTGTGACCTTTACAAATGAACTTTACGTTACGCTTTTATAGGTAAGGGTGTTCTAAAATTCTTTGTTTTGGAAAATTTAATAACTCTGTAAATATTGATGTTTAAAGAATTTAAATGTTTAATACAACTTTAAAAAGTTATCCTCTATATGAGTGTTCATTTATTGTCGCGATGGTAACGACACGCTGTATATGTAAGCCGTCATAGTCTAAATATTTTTACATTTTGATTTTTAGGGTTCCGTACCCAAAGGGTAAAACGGGACCCTATTACTAGGACTCCGCTGTCTGTCTGTCTGTCCGTCTGTGATCAAGCTGTATCTCATGAACCGTGATAGTATGACAGTTGAAATTTACACAGATGATGTATTTCTGTTGCCGCTTTAACAGAAAATAGTAACAACAGATAAAAAAAAATATTTAAGTTGGGCTCCCGTACATCAGGCATGACTTTTTTTGCCGTTTTTATAGAAAATGATACGGAACCCTTCGTACGCGAGTCCGACTTCTATTCTGACAAGCATTGTGCTAAGTATTCAAGGAAGATAATAAATAGACAATATTAGATTCAAAGATAATTTCGGGAATAAAAGGATGTAATTTCTAATACACCATCCGCTTGTACTAGACATATCGATAATAGATATATCGAATTGCATTTTTGAAACGTAAGTTAAATACGAAAACTATTATATCAACAGTCTTGCTGATAGTAAATTATCATATAACATACTATATATAGAAAGTTATATAAATAATTAAAGATAAATTATCCTAAGCCTTAAATAAACTAAATGTTAATTATTAAACATGTATAAACAATAAGTGATTAATGATCTGCTATATCTAAAATAAATAAAATAAATAATGAAAGGTGAAAAAATACATTAAACAAGTATTAAACAGTGGCAAGAAAGAGATTCTTGTACATGAAACAATGTCGTTTATCTACATAAAAAATTAAAAACAATAATAATGGAGAAAATAAATAATTATGATTTTATGCGTTAAATTTAATTATTATAATGACAATTACCAGTAGTAATCCGATCGTAGCGGACTGCAGAACATAATTTCATTATTTATTATCGTATAATTATTATTTTTTTTTTAATTTTAAGGAGAAATCAAAAATAATATATAGGTAGAACAAAGTATATTACAGTGACAGAGAAGACTTGCAATGATTAAAAAAGAGTAGGTAATAGAAATATAGAAGTAAGAATGTACAATAAAAAGCTATATTTATTTACTTATAAACCTGTGGATATAATTTTGAATATTAAGCTAAGGTCTAGAACACACGCATATTAATTTATTAAAAAGGATTTTTGATGTTTCAATTCGAATCGTTTTGTTAGTCATTTGGTATGCTTTAGACCTGTGTGTGCTAGAAAAAGCTTGTATCGTGATCGAAGTTTTCTTAGACGAAATATTATCGGCAAAGTAATTTTGCTGATAGTGTATTTTGATATCGGTTGACACTTCAAAGTCTTGGATATATCTGAAGCAGTTAACACCATGATATGTCAGATGCGACAGATGTGACAATTGACACCATTAGGTATAGTTTACGTACATAAAATAAACTATGCAAAGAGGAACACGGTCCAATTTCACTTTGATTAGGCGCGTCAAACAAGCACGCTTTGCCCTGTGTTGTCACAATCAAAATGGCGCCCAAACAGCTGTCAAGTCAATTTTGTAAAAGGAAACTTTGATCATGTGCTTGCGGCTTTATAAAGAAAATATTTAATGGAGAACTGGTGAAAGAAATGTAACACTCACTGGTTGATTGCAGGCGCTGCTGTCCAACGCGCCGGTGTAAATAAAGTTGATTATTTCTTGCATAACGTTCTGCGATACAAGCTTGCTCATTGTCACAATGGTCTGTGTTTGCGATGTGACGTGCTGGATTTTGTCACACTGAAATGAATTAAGTCACATCATATTGTATTGATTTAACGTTGTTAATTGGAACTGTTTTACGTTATTTCTGCGATAAAATTATCTGGTTTCTTATCGACGAAATGAGACCACATGGACTGGAAAGGCTACTAACTTCCATCAATGCAAGCGTACTCTATAATAGGTCGCAGTATTTCGAATTTTTATTATTTCGCTAACAGCCTAAACTTATATTCTGAATTCTGTTACGCAGCGTTCTAAATTAGAGTTGAGAGCGTTGCCGCTGCGTTGCCAGCGTTATAAATTTCGCAAAAAATAAAAAAAAATAGAGTACAAATGCACAAAATGTAACATGATTTAATCCCCATCGCGTGTGATGCACAAAACAGTTTTTTCTTGCATATCCAATTTCAATACAATAATGGGAAAGCCAAAAGCTAATTTTTCAAACTTATCATCGTCAGTGGAACTGTTCACACTGCTCCAGTGATTGGACACGTAGAAAACAAGTAGAATACAATTAAAAAAACTGTAAACCCGACAGCGTTTCTGTGTAATTTTGTGTCCCTCTCAAGTAAATACGAATCTGACGACACCGTTAAAATCCATCAAGCCGTTCAGGCTGCAGAGCATACCAAACAATTATACATACATACGTACGTACATGCTCTCAAAAAACATAACCCTCCTTCTGGCGCAGTCGGGTAATAAGTACGTATATCGACTATATCGGGTTCGGATCCATATCCGGAGTAGTACACGCCCGGGAGAAAGGTGCGAACCCTGCGACACCCCACCATTTTAAAAGCTGCTTAGCGAGTTCATAATGAGAAAAGCACATTAATTTACACGGCAAAGAAACACGAGATATTCGAATAAAAATCATACCTTAACGACTCGAATGGAGTTGATGGCGGGGTGGTTGACCTCCCTGTAGAGGTCCGGCGGTTTCTTGCAGCTGTCGCTCAGCGGCAGTATTTGGCATGAGGAGCGGCGTTTGATTTGGTCCCAAACCCTGAACGTACAATCGCCCGTGAATTATTGTCATCGACGACCCATAGAACGTGGGCGCGTGAACGCAAAATCTGAGGTAGCATTGGACCACAGTGTTTAGCACTAACAAGTGCCCGTTAACGTTTCCTTGTCCGGATGTGAATCAACTTCGAAACAGACATAAGGCGGCCACGACTCCGAAGTATATCTTACTAGCTGCTGCCCGCGACTACGTCTGTGTATGTATTATTCTTATACATAAGCTATATTATTGTAAAGTTTCCCTAAAATCCATTCAGTAGTATTTGCTTGAAACAAACATCCATCCATACACACAAACTTTCGCGTTTATAATATTAGTAAGTATTACTGATTTTTTCCAAAAAGACAAGGCATTTAGACTTCGTGGCGCAATTCCTTTTTTATTGGCTTCCTTTTGGCGGTTGTGGGTTCGACGGGACAAATATTTGTATGATCCACAAACGATTGTTTCGAATCTGGATGGCCTTAAGGATGGTTGACGTCAGGCAGAGGGCCAGTCATAAAATAACCAGTACCAATTAAAACATGGTTTAATTGTTGTGCAGACCCCATTTAGGTGCGATAAAGGAAGGAGAAATAAAAAGAAAACATTTTTTTTATACAACAGAGACAATATATTCGTATTGTAGTCCTAATGGCTTACCTCATCTGTTTCGCTTGGTCTTGCCGTATCAGATATTCCGTGTCTTCGTTGAAATCACCGGCTGTCGCCTCGCCCATGCTACTAACCTGCAACAATAATGAAGCGTCAAGTATGCTTCTATATATTCAAGCTTCTAGATGATTCCGTTAGAGCTTGGGTGGGGGCGGGAGATACATAGGAAATAAAAGCACCAACTGGAGCCCACCTTTTTGGGATGGCAGCGCGTTTACAATCCGTCAGGATTTTTAATCTTTCTCTTTATAAGACTGATAGTCTTGCATTCAGTCCGTAGACTATAGCTTCACTGAACTACAGGTATAGCCAGATCTCATGAAGGTGTTTTAGGTAAACCGCTTTCTCGCTTGCTAACTTTTAACCGACTTAAAAAGTTGAGAACCTCCTAATTTGTCGCAAGCTTTTTCTAAATGTATGTTTACCGATTAGTTGAAGGTGCCTGAACCGATTTGGTAATTTCTTTTTGTACTGGTTTCTAAATATCTTTCAAGTGGTCCCATTTTAATTGGTATTGGATCTTGGATTTCGGAGATACATCAGAGATCTCCGGCACCAATGAAATTGTTAATTTTAAGTGCTGACTTAACACGTGCTCCGCGGTGAAGGAAAACATCGTGAGACATGAAACCTGCATATTTTCGAAATAATGACAAAAAAAATTCGAAGTTATGTGAAGTCCGATAATCCGCAGTGGTTGACTATGCCCAGATAGCATCTGTACAGACGAGACCTTTGTTCAGGGACAGGGAGGACATGTATAGCATGTTATTTTACTACATAAAATAATTTTGATGAAATCCTAAAACCTTCATCGATATCCACAACCTACGACCACTTTAGTGGTCGCAGATTTATGTCTCCTACGTGCTTCTTTAAAAAAATATATGTGGAGTTAGCGATTGACTCACCATGCTGCTCTCGCTGGAGCTACGCGCCAGTTCGGCTGAGAGGCTCACGCAGTCCGTGGTGAGAAGCCGGTGGAACGCTTCGCAGGCAGCTGCCATCATGAAGCGGTGGACGGGAAAACCCTTCGCGCCGCAAATTATCACCATGTCTGAGAAATACTGCGCGGGGGAAATAAAAATAATGTTTAATTACTTTTTTATGTTAGAAGGTGTCGAGTGAGCCGGCGGTTCACCTGATGTTAAGTGACACAAGTGGCAAAGCCCTCCTCTGTACAGAGGAGGGCTAAGCGAGAATATTCACAATAACAAAAATAAAGAATGAAAACCATTCCTTCAGCTCATAGCAGTCATAGGCTAAAAAGGCATATAAAAAGATTAAACTCAATTTATTTTACTTAATGTGTACGATGTTGTCCCTGTACAATAAATTATTGCCACTAATACCACATTTACTATAAGTTGTTTCTTGGCGATTAGAGTCTCATTTTTATGGTATATTGTAATACAATAAACAGTTTATTGATAGTGGTTTTAAATGGTTTATTAAAAAATAATTGGTATAAAATATAGTAAAAAGCATCAATCACTAATTACTGGTTAAAATGGTTGTCCAATACGCGGTTTTAATAATAAGTTTGGTATTGTTTCAATGGAGGAGAAGGATGTCTTAAATTAGGCATAAAACATACATAAATGAGGAAGGGTATAATGTGCCTATGATACATAAAATGACAACCTTAAGCCCAACAGCATAGATTATTTTTGATGTTCATACAGAGTAATTTTAGCGTTATTTACTTTCTTCTTAATGACTTCTGAAATCAATTTTTTCGCAATGACTTTTGTGTACAAATCTGTCGTAATAATATGCAAGTTTGTATTTGTTTACAATACGATTCTTTGAAAACTCCATAATATATGTGTTGGCTGGATTTACTGTGTGATAAATAAATAATTCTCACACACCTGCTGTCTCAGTAATGTCGTCATATTTTCCATGTAGATGCTGTCCACAGGGGCAACATCGGGCTCCATTGGTCTCGGAGGTCTGAATGGAGCCTAAAAGCGAAACGAACAGGCTCAATAAGGTTCCATGACACGTGTCTTTTTTAACCAAAACTGCTTCAATGAGGCGTTTACGACCATGTGTCAGAATAGTAATCACGTACGTCGATGAGTTTCCGTTTTTCAAATGCACAAGTGTTTTAACATATTCAATCAAGTATAATATTGTTTTTACCACTGTTTTTCATTTGCCAAATAATCTTAAATGACACCATAGTGAGGCATTATGTAGATTATAATAACGGTTAAAATAACAACAAAGAAGAGGATGAACATTGGTTTGGTCGTTCCTGCAAGACGGCATTACGCCGAAAGTGGGAATGCTACCGAGCCTGGGCTGAAGCTTCGGCGTCTAGTGATGTAAAAACCAGCGCATTAAAAAAGGAGTATAACTCTGCTTCTAGGTCCTTCAAAAGCGTTATTGCTAAAGCGAAGTTGGAGCACATTAGCAGAATTGGCGAGAGATTGGCGCGTCTCCCATCGGGAACACGTGCGTTTTGGTCTCTCGCCAAAGCTGTCTTAGGGAATTTCTGTAAGCCATCTTTTCCACCCCTGCACACGGAGGATGATTCGTTGGCCCATGCCGCGAAGGAGAAAGCCGATCTTCTGGGCTCTCTCTTTGCATCCAACTCGACTTTGGATGACAGAGGAAACTCACCACCATCAATCCCCCAGTGCGACGTTACGATGCCGGAGGTAAAATTCCGGCAAAGTGCAGTTCGCAAAGCACTTCTTTCCTTGGACATTCACAAGTCGAGTGGGCCTGATGGCATCCCTCCGATCGTGTTACAGACATGTGCTCCAGAGTTGGCGCCGGTTTTAACGCGTCTCTTCCGGCACTCCTATACTTTAGGCGTAGTCCCGAAATCATGGAAGGCCGCGTTAGTGCACCCGATCCCTAAAAAAGGCAACCGCTCTGATCCGTCCAATTACAGGCCAATAGCCATCACCTCCTTGTTCTCCAAGATAATGGAGTCTGTTATCAACGGCCAGCTCCTGCGGTACCTAGAGGAGCACCGGCTGATTAGCGACCGCCAGTATGGATATCGTCGGGGTCGCTCAGCCGGTGATCTTCTGGTCTACCTTACACATCGATGGGCAGAAGCAGTTGAGAGCAAGGGGGAGGCGCTTGCAGCCAGTCTGGACATAGCGAAGGCCTTTGATCGGGTATGGCACAAAGCGCTTCTTTCGAAGCTGCCTTCCTATGGGCTTCCCGAGAAATTATGCAATTGGATCACCAACTTTTTGGCAGATCGGAGCATCAAGGTCGTCGTCGACGGTGCATGCTCCGATCCTAAATTTGTCAATGCTGGTGTTCCACAAGGCTGCGTACTGTCTCCTACTCTGTTTCTTTTGCATATCAATGACATGTTGCAAATCAGCAACGTCCATTGTTATGCAGACGATAGCACTGTGGATGTCTCGTACACTGGCCGAGCTAACATTCCTCGGGAAAACGTCTACGAGTGTCGGAACAAGCTTGTGTCTGAGGTCGAGACTTTGTTAACCAAAGTCTCAGACTGGGGTCGACTAAACCTAGTCCAATTCAACCCCAAAAAGACACAAGTTTGCGCGTTAACCGCTAAAAAGTCCCCATTTGTCGTGACTCCTCATTTGGAGAACACTTCGCTATCTGCCACAGCTAGTATCGGAATGCTTGGCGTCGAAATCTCGAGCAACGTCCAGTCCCGCGGTCAATTGGAAGGTAAGGCCAAATTGGCCTCAAAGAAGCTTGGCGTGCTCAGCAAGGCGAGACGGTACTTCACGGCTGCCCAACGCCTAAACCTGTATAAGGCGCAAATTCGGCCCCACATGGAGCACTGTTCTCACCTCTGGGCGGGAGCCCCCTATTACCAGCTTCTTCCATTTGACCGCATTCAACGTAGGGCGGCTAGGGTTATCGACGATCAAAGTCTTTCCGATCGGCTTGATCCTCTGGCTCTGCGTAGAGATGTTGAATCACTCTGCATCTTCTACCGCATTTATCACGGGGAGTGTTCTGAGGAATTGTTTGGATTGATCTCGGCGGCTGAATTCCACCATCGGACATCGCGCCAGAACCAAAAATTTCATCCACACCACCTCGATGTCCAACGTTCCACAACAGCGCGATTTTTAAGGCATTTCTTGCCTCGCACAACCACTCTGTGGAACCAACTGCCGCCGGCGGTCTTTCCGAACCGTTACGACCTGGGAACCTTCAAAAAGAGAGCGTACTCTTTCTTAAAAGGCCGGCAACGCATTTGTGAGCCCTCGGGTGTTGCAGGTGTTCATGGGCGGCGGTAATCACTTACCATCAGGTGAGCCTCCTGCTCGTTTGCCCCTTTTCTCCATAAAAAAAAAAAAAAAAAAAAAAAAAACATATTTTTTTTTATGTGAGAAAGTGGCAAACGAGCTGGCGGTTCTACTGACGATAAGTGATAGCCGCCACCCATGGACATTTGCAACACCCATAGGGTGGCAGATGCGTTGCCACCTCTTAATAATGTGGGCCTCGGCTACCTCACTCACCAGACGAAACGCAGGAGTGCAACACTTCTACTTTACGCCAGTCTTCTGTGAGGTCGTGGTACTAACCCGGACGGACCCTCCCATTCGTGCAACAGTGTTCGCTGTCCTACCACCGTTACAAACATTTAACTTACTAGCATTTAGCCCGTGGCTTCGCTCGCGTTGAAGCCCTTAAAAATATCTTTCAACCCTTTACAACACTTTTTTCCAATTAAAAATAGCCTATGTCCCTTTTCAGACTCTAGACTATCTGTATACAAAATTTCATTTAAATCGGTTCAGTAGTTTTGGAGTGAAAGCGAGACAGACAGACTTTATTTTATCCCTGTTTTCAGGGAATGAAAAATATCACTCAAATATGACTGTAAATTTCGCCGCAAAAAAAATGTTATCAGTCGGTAATCGGGCGGCCCCAAAACAGACGCCCACGGTTCGTATCACGATCATTTACACACTTATTTTTTTATAACAGAGTTACTTTCGCATTTAAAATATTAGTATGGATTGTATAGAAAGTCTTAAATAATCAAAAACTTTAATTCCTGTAGTACTTAGCAGCGTATTAGAGTTCATTTCTTGTCCGCCATAACTGGATAGGAACATTGATATTACATAAATGGTCCGTCTCGGCAAAGGACGCCTCGCTCGGTGAAGTCCCCGAACGATCCGTACAACTCGACCCTTTACAATGGCCTCAAAGAAGACTAGCGTGGTGTAGTCATATGAGAACTTTTTCATTTAGTCTGGTGTGTAAGCCCATCCCCTTGAAAGATACAGGTCCCATAGTCGCTGTACATGTCTGTAGGCGGAGGCAGGCACTTACCTTCTGGAGATTCGACTGCTCGTTTAGCGTCTCCTCTCATAGCTCTCATAGCGGTGGTAGATTTTTTGTTGACGTTCAATGAGAGCTTAAGTTAGGCCTATATTAAATAAATATACTTTGACTTAGCTTTGACTAAGCGCCGGGATAGCTCAGTGTCCGGGCGCTCGCCTTTAATTCCATATACTCGAGCAACCTGAGTTCGATCCCCGGTGCCGGCACCAAAGAAGTTTTTAACTTTAAGTGCTAACTTATTACGTGCTCCGCGGTGAAGGAAAACATCGTGAGGAAACCTGCATATTTTCGAAATAATACAAAAAAATATATATTTCGAAAATATGTGAAGTCCGCCAATCCGCAGTGGGGCCGCGTGGTGGACTGTGCCCGGACACCCTCTGTATAGAGGAGGCGTTTGCCCAGCAGTGGGACATGTATAGGCTGTTACTTTACTTTTTTTACTTTTACTTTGACTTTGATAGCGCGCTCACCTGCAGCAAAGGCCTCTGCACCCTCTTCAGGTTGGTCATCCAGAACCTCTGCTGGCGCCTCGCGATCAGCGCCGCCCGTATCGCGTTCTCGAACACCTCGTTCACGCCGTAGTAAGTGAACACGGACGTCTCGTAGTAGTATATCCCTATCTCGTGCGCCAGCGCCCTCCCTTGGTCCGGCATCACGAGGTCGCTTTTCCTCGGCGCTCTATAGCGGAGGAGCGCGCTGCGTTTCAGTGTCCGACGAGCGATGTATACGACGCGCAATGATTGTGGCCCAAATCACGGTGAAGCATACGGTTATAGGTAGCTAAATATGGAACTACGAGAGGGACGGGGGGGGGGGGGGGCGATACTGTCATATTGGCGTCATAGCCCAAGTCGCTTTCTGTTTTGCAGGACAGGGGGATAGATAGATAGGAAGAAGAAAAAAAAGCCCGCTGAGTTTATTCCGCCGGTTCTTCTCGGTACAGTGGCTTTCTTTTCCGGACCGGTGAACCCTCATGAAATTATTGGCTTGCTTTTTTACTTTTTTTATATGATTTGCATCAATGATGCTGCTAGGATTCGAACCTACGTACTCCGCGTCCAGACGCTATATACACTAAGCTGAGCGGTTGGTTTTTAAGAAAGTTTGCTTACTGGTAAAGGAAGCACACTAAATAACGCCAAGAATTGCTAAAAATGCATTAGAAACAAAGTATAATATTATGTAGACAAGACGTTAAGATCTTAAATATTATGTTTTGCAAGATTTTTGAACGGTGTCAAGTGTCGGATTTTCAACCAACCTCGAAAAAGGAGGTGGTTCTCAATTCGAAATTTTTTTTTTTCAGAACTCGTAAACTTATTAACCGATTTTGAAAATTATTTGTCCATTGGGTTCCGTTCAGCTGTCGTTCAAATTTCATTAGAATTGAACCTTTGACTTCGAAGACACACCAGGGAAGTCCTCAAAATCAGATAGAAATGTACAATATTTTGTTTATATGTGAAGGCGGTTTAGTTTTCTTTTTTTTTTTTTGTTAAGAAAAATGTTATGTTGTTGTTTACTTCCAAAATTATGAAAGTGTGTCCGATGTGTTTCTTACATACCTTATGAATGGGCTACGATCTTTGCAAAAGTTCAAATAAGTTTCGTCTCTGTACATGTAGCGAAGGTCGTTCTTACAACCGACCAAAAGTACTGGTGTGTTTGGACAGAAGCGCCTGGAAAATGAATACAAGTCGCCATTACGTTTCAACAATTTTTCTTTTATATTTTGAACAAAAATAATAAGAAACAACATTTTAGCTAAATTATTGATTGTTAATACGCATATTTTTTTCTATAAATTAAAATATTCAATCAAAAATTCAGAATCATTTATTCATCGATATAAGAAACATAGATTTCATCTATCTATAGTCATCAATGAAATGTATGTTTCTTATGTCGATGAATATATGATGAGAGTAATGCACACGATAATTTGACACAAAAACACACACACACACATTTTTTGATTTTGATACTTTGATTTTTTCATTTTTCAGACTAATATTTCTCTCAATATTCATATTTAGGTAGAGTAAATTTATTCGCTTTATTCTCTCATTTATCGAAATAGATTTTTTACATGTTTGAAAAGGTTTTCTATATTATCACACAGTAATTACCTGATTTCGGGATACCACATTGCCCCACAATTCCTTAGCGATATCGGATTGGTGATAGAGAAACATAGCAGGACGACGTCAGATCTGTAATGTAGATAATACAATTGAACAAAATTCTTAATTGATTATTTACTTACCCAATTTTTTTATTTAACTCGCCGAAGTTAGTAAGGTTAGTGCTATAAATTTTATTTTAAATTATTTTATTATGATAAATGACGGCTGTATTATACATATATGGATATATAATTATATTTTATATATATATATATATATATATATATTACATATTCAATATGTATTTATGTCGAAACATGAAGAATTTTAAATTTCGAAGCCTCTTAACATCTACAGTGTTTTTTTACGCGGAGCGGTAAAATGTGAGGTGTTATGTAATTTTAATCCGTCGTCAACCGGATTATTGTAAGCCCAAGAGGCTTGATGCATGCTTGGTGTATTTTGCTTACGTATTTATAAAACAAAGTGTAAAAAACTTTTCGCGTCTTTAATAGTAATACCGAATACAATATAACCATTTTGGATTATGCAGATGTCTGTTGCTCGGATCTAAACCAAGATTTACTTAATAAGCTGGAGCGTCTCTACAATAACTGTATTAGGTATATTTTCGGTTTACGTAAATATGATCACATATCTCAATACCGTTCTCAGCTTAAATGGCTTACTATTCATCAGAGACGTAGTTTAAAAATTCTTCTATTTTTCTACTCTATTCTTAACGACCCTGCTTCTCCTAATTACCTAAAGGAAAAATTCCAATATATCTCACTAACTCACGATAGAGCACTTCGCTCTTCTGTCACTAGAATACTTTGTCCTCCAACGCATCATTCCGGCTTCTTCCATAAATCTTTTACTATTCAGGCTATACTACATCATCTAAAGCATCATTTAAGAAAATGCTGCGATGTCACTATGCAAATTCTGCCGATTGTTAGAGTTACATACGTTATCCTCTGTATTTACGTAAGCACCTACGTCAAATTTTTCACTACTCACAGGGTTGACTGGACGAGAATGCTTATTAGCATTAAGTTTGCCTTTTGTTTGGCCTTATTCTGGGGTGTAAACAATAAATTTTTAAATAAACAAATAAAATAAATATAAGGTCACGTGTTTAAGAAATTAAAATTAGGTAGAAGAATTAATTGAAACCTATCCAGCAGTTTTTCCGTGATACGCGCACAACAGCGAACCGCGATCTGTTTACATAAAGGAGGGAAATATAAATAGAAATTGCATGGCTATTGAAGAGAGCTTCTACAAATATCGTAACACAGCTCCCTTAAGCTCTTCAAGTAATTCATCAGCCCTATATGTATAATAGCGCAAAATCATTAGGTTTTTTTTTTTGTTTTGAGAAGGTGGCAAGCAAGCTGGCGGTTCACCTGATGTGATGTGACAACCACCACCGATGGACATTTGAAACACCTTTAAGTTTGCAGATGTCGAGGTTTACAATTTTGTCTTTCAATTTTATATTACAGGTAGGTCCGCCATTGTACGTTATTGTGCCCAAAGTTTTAAATAAATAACACAATAAGATTTAAGTAATGCCAATAAGAAAAAAATTATTTTCGGCCCAGGCTTAAAAATATTACTGGTTCAATTTCGATATGTTCTCTCACACCCTTACTTACATAGCAGCATATTTATTGAGGAAAATGATTTATAAAAGTGTCTCTTACGTCGTACTTGCTGATAGGTTGGACACTTAAAATTTCTTGACTTTAACTTACTTCCTTCCTATCCTTACAAATATTATAAAGGCGAAAGTGTGTATGGATGGATGTTTGTTACTCTTTCACGCAAATACTACTGAATGGATTTTAATGAACCTTTACAATAACATAGCTAATACATCAGAATAACACATATGCTATAATTTATATACATATTTTTATGTCATCCACGTCATGTTTTAGACTGACTCTCTTACCTTCCATAAGCAAACCTCCTGTCCTTCTCGTGATCGCCAAACGTGTCCCACAGCCTCAGGGACACGTTCACCCCATCGACAACTTCCCACGACCTTTCAAGCACCTGGTCAATAAACAATGTAAAGATGCAGCAAGAAATGTAAAGAGGGATAGTCCGTGATTTTTATTAAAGGTTGTCAACGCTTGCAAGCTCACAAGTGTTGTAGCGTGTCTATGGGCGGTGCTTGACAACATTGCACAGAAATGGAATGTCAGAAGCTGCCAAAAAATCGCTTCACATGATGTTAAGTGATTAATGCCGCCCAAATATATAACCGAAGGGTTTGCTGTTGCGTCGGCATTCTTTAAAACATTGGGTCCCGAGTACCTTACTCACCAGACGAAACGCAGAAGTCTCCTGCGAGGCCACGGTACTTCCCCGGACGTGCCTGCCCATTCGTGCACCAGCAAAAGTTAAAAGCTGTAGCCTTTAAGTTGGTCTGCAGCCCTTGTCGCATACGAAATTTAACATGCGGTATAATTAGTGGTACTACACTATAGAGCTGAGATTTGGCACTTTCATTTGTGAAGATCGGCTATAAAGCGTGGAGTAAATGATAAAAAATAATTGCTATAAACATGCTACTTGTAATTCAAAAGTATGTAAGATTAAATAAATCTTAGAGAATAAACTGAATCATTCTTATTTATGAGAATAATCAATCTGTCTCGATCATTGACTGATATAAAAATGAAGTTATTAACAAATGCCTTTGCGATAAACATACTTTTTTCATTAGCACCAACTTTGCTGAGCCTCTTAATAATGTTGTTGGCTAGAGAAAATTTCAATCAGGATCTTTAAAATCAGGTCAGCAGTATCGGAAATGTAAAGAGCTCTTGAATCGTGTCTTCAAACAATCTATTAGCCGTGGTGAGATATACGTAAATTTTATTTTACTTTCTTAGGAAGAATACTACACTCAGTTAATTAGCACCAACCAAAACGATGTCTACTTTTATTCAGTTTCTCAACCAGGCCCTAAAAACGTAATCTTCGTGTGTACTTGCTTTTTGTGTGGCAAGTTGGCAAGTTGGCGGTTCCCGATGTTCTGTGATAGCCGCCACTTTTTGACATCTGCCAAGCCTTTAGGGTTGCAGAAATCTGCCTAATTTTAAAAAGTGTGGCCAAAATAATACCTTACTTTCAAGATGAAAAACAAAAGTATTGATACTTCAACTTTACCGCGATCTTCTGTGGAACCTCAACAGCAATAGAAGGAACTGGTTCTAAGACAGTCATAAGACCGTGACATTACGAAAGCAAACTATAACTGTGGCCATGCAACAGTGTTCGCCGATGCACGAATTGTCAGGCCCGTCCGGGTAAGTACCACGACCTCACCGAAGACCGGAGTGAAGTAGAAGTGTTGTTACTCTTCTGCGTTTCGTTTGGCGATTGAGGTAGCGGGTGTTGCAGTTGTCCATGGGCGCCGGTTATCACTTAACAACAGGTGAACCGCCAGCTCGTTTGCTTTCTTGCAAAAAAGGCTACGGTACAGTCTGTCTACGTCTGCCTTACGTCCTTGTAGATCCTGTACTGGTCGATGGCCCACACAGTCGGCACGTGCGTTGTCATCAGCTGCGATAGTGAGACGTGTTTGTTGCAAGCGCGGGCGCAGATCAAGCGCGTCTTCCCCACAGCGGTGTCTCCCACTACCACGCATTTCACTAGCTCCTGGTGAGGCTGCTCGTTATCCATCGCCTGCGGAATGCGGAATATCCTTAGTGATAGGGATGTCGAAAAACTATTGAAATATCGATATTTTAGATTTAATATATCGATGTTTTCGAGCGCCGTGGTAGCTCAGCGTCCGGACGCTCGCCATTATTTTAATTGCCAGCACCAATGAAATTGGTAATTTTAAGTGCTGGCTTATCACGTGCTCAGTGGTGAAAACATCGTAGAAATGTTTTCTTATATACTGAATATTTTGGAAATAATAAAAAAAATTATTTCGAAAATATGTGTGAAGTCCGCCAATCCGCAATGGGGCGCGTGGTCGACTATACCCTGATACCTTCTGTACAGTGCCCAGCAGTGAACCATGTATAGGCTGTTACTTTATCTGTACATAAAGTGTGCGTAGGTGTATATTTAATACTTGACATGCCTCGTACTGGCCATCGCAGTGTAGGACGACCCCCCACTAGATGGAGTGACGACCTGTGCAAATGTGCGGGAAGTCGATGGATGCAGGTGGCTCAGGATCGTACTTCATGGCAGTCTGTGGGGGAGGCCTATGTTCAGCAGTGGACTCAAACAGGCTGAAATGATGATGATGATGATGATGCCTTTTTTTTGCGCAACAAATATTTCTTCATTTTCGAAATCCCTACTTAGTGACAGAGCCTTGAGTACCTGAACCTACTCCGTTGTTTTCTGTAAGTATAAATATCATACTACAAATACTAGCTTATCTTTACCACTAAGTATTAAGCTTATGTACTTCCCTTGCCTAAGATTGCAAATCCTTCCTTACCCCATCATTTCAGACCTATTTCCATCCTTCCCTTTCTATCAAAAGTACTTGAAGCTTGTGTACACAAACAACTATCTCGGTTTGTCTTCAACAACAACCTCTTAAGCCCTTTTCAATCTGGCTTCAGGCCTGGGCATAGTACAATTTCCGCGCTACTTAAAGTCACTAGTGATATTAGGGCGGGAATGGAGGCCAGTAAAATCACAGTGTTGGTTTAGTGGATTTCTCTAACGCATTTAATGTCATTAGTCACGACATCCTTCTTTCCATCCTATCCTATTATATGATCTCACCATGAGGGCGTCAGCAGTTAGTTCGCATAAATGATACCTCTTCTCGTTGGAATGACTTAATTGCTGGTGTGCCTCAAGGCGGAATTTTATCTCCTATGTTATTTTCTCTATTTATCAATCTTATCACTCAAAATCTTCAATGCTCGTATCACCTATACGCTGATGACTTACAACTTTATTCGCAGGCCGATGTCGATTGCTTATCTATAGCAGTGGGTAGGATTAACAGAGATCTAGAGCATATAAAATCGTGGGCTAATAGATTTGGTCTCTTTGTTAATCCCGCTAAATGCCAAGCAATAATTATTGGTAGTCGTCGAATGCTTAACAAGGTACAAACAAATGGTTTACCTCAAATTGTATTCAACGGCACCGTAATCCAACTAAGCTCAGTGGTAAAAGATCTTGGGTTACATATCGACACCAACTTAAGCTGGCATGCTCACGCAAATCATGTCAGTCAAAAAGTAACCGGTATTTTGCGAAGTCTCTACCGCCTACGCAAATTTCTTCCGTCCAAAACAAAAGTTTTACTTGTGCAGTCCTTAATTCTTCCCTTGATCGATTATGGTGATGTATGCTATTCTGATCTGAATGCAGATCTTCTCAACAAATATGACCGTCTTCTCAATAACTGCATTCGATTTGTTTTTAACCTTCGTAAGTATGACCATGTGTCTGCTTTTCGGTCTCAACTTAATTGGCTTCCCATTCGTCAACGCCATTGTTTGCGCATGCTCACTACACTTCATTCCATATTAAACTCTCCCAATCCCCCTTCCTATTTGATTCCCTTTATCCAATATCTTTATTCCAATCATGACAGAACCCTTCGCTCCTCTCATAATCTCTTACTTCAATGTCCCTCCTACAACTCTAGTTTTATGTACTCTTCTTTTCCCGTTCAATCTATTCTCCTTTGGAATGACCTTCCATATCACATCAGGAAGACATAAAGAATAAGATAAAAAAAACTATATCTAAGTAAGTTGGCAGAATAAAATAATCAGTAGTTGTTGATATCGCATATTATTTATTTATGTATAGTAATTAAGTATTTGTGAATATTATAGTATATGTATTCTATTTTGAATGCTTAAATAATGTAATATATTTTTGTTATATTGGGTTTAATATGTTTATATACTTTATATATTTTCATGTATATATTTTAAATTTAATTATATATGAATATGTATATAACTTTTATTTTAACTTAAAATTTGATTGGAAACTTTTTACACCTGCTTCTTTTGTCTCTGCGTCGCCCATAGGTTGACTGGTAGAGAATGCCCTAGGCATTAAGTCCGCTTATACACAATACTATTTTTTTTGTGTAAAAGTTTAAATAAATAAAATAAATAAATAGGTAATGATAGCTGTATAATAATTAATATCCTATAATAACTTTCTTATGAATATTTAGGTGCGTAACGTTTTCTACTAAACATTTTCCCAATATAATGCACACTGCTGCAAGCTACCGCTAAGACCTTTTGGATAACGCTCTACATTACGCCTCTCCAACAACCACATTAGATATAGTTTAGTCCTTAGGAAATGTTTTCATATCGCTCCTTGTCACACTCGTCTTAAATGGCTCAAAGACATAAGCCCAAAAATCTGATTTTAAGCGATCCAGCTTATCTGTTATCTTTAGGATAAGTTTAATCCAGAGATTACTGAAGCTTTAGGTTAGATTGTTTTACGAAATCAAATGTGAGACCGGATACTCCCCTCCGTTCAGCTAGTCTTAGTTAATTAGTAATTATCAGTTATGACAGTTCTAAACGAATGTACCTAACACTATGCTTTGTATGGTTGCAAACTGTTCAAAGTTTATATATCAACTTCTTAGTTGACGATTTTTATCATAGCGTGATCAAAATACGTATTTTACTATGCATACGTTCAAATGGAGTATTGCCGATGCACGCATGTCCAACGTAAGTATTATCGGGACAAAGCCCTTAAATTCAATTGGTGTAATCAACGCCAAGTACAGCAATTGGACGTCCTCGGCCACGATTATTGCAAGATCGTTCCGAGAGCACGACACGAGACGGGTAATGATAAAGTATAAAGGATATCATTCGTTCTATTGATGTCATTTTTTAATCAGATGGGTATAAGCGCAAATAACTTCACATTTTAAGCGAGCCAAATCACATGTCTCTGGCAATAATGAATTTCCTAATGAGTTGCTTAGTTTTTCGATGTTTATGGTGTTGCGTTTGATTTGTGAAGGTTTCACAATTTATTTAACACGATAATTAGCTGTTAATAACGGGTTTTGTTCATTTAATTTTGTGGGCGATGTAGGTACATAGTTCCGGTTATTCACACATTTACTTGTGCTGAACACGCTCCATACAATTTAAAACTTAATTTATTTTCTTTATGCCCATAAAATATGTCCACAGAGGTAGACTTAATGCCATCAACTGCTGAACATAGGCCTCCCCCATAGACTGCCACTTAATAGCATCCGTGCTATTTATTTTTGTAAAGTGTTTTATGTAAAGCCATGTGTAGCGTCAGCTTTTATATCATAAATCAGAAGCTAAAAGCTTGAAATAATTGCCATGTCAAATTTGCTTTATAAACCTACTGCTTTATGAGTGGTTACGCGAACAGTAGGTTCGATACTTCCCAATTTGAGTAAAGACTTAAGAAAGCTTTATTAATTGTTGTCAGTTGTCTACGTGTAACAATTCTGTAGGTCATTAAATGGTCTTTTTATATATTATCTATAAAACGCGTGTACTCGAGTAATTGACTCAGGTTATTTAGTCTAAAATATTGATACATTGATAACTTTGCTAATAAAGGAACCATAAACTTAATCTCATATGTTAGTTTATTAACAAATTCAAGGACTAAGACAAGGACTCGCTTTTTTTGTATTTATTCATGCTTATCTCCGACTTAAGTGCCTATGATGAGACTTTATAAGTACTAAGAAGCTACTTTACTATTTAATTTATCTGTACTTTACTATTTAATTAAATAATGTTTTTTAAACAATGAAAACTTCGCTAAAATCGTGAGCTAGCCTTTTTAGCTAGCTAGATTTTTTTAGAAAAATTTAAAGTTTTTTATAGTGCTAATCTCTGCACTTAAGATTAAACATTAAAACCTGTAGAAAAAGTACGAAAAGATTGTTTTTACTGCCGACATCCCTAACACATGTGAGGCTGCAGATGCTTTGATAACAATTGACAAATTGGGCGTAGTTTATTTACTTACTGGCCGCTACGAAAGGCTTAATTATAAAACCTACTCTTCACCCTTCTGTGATGCCGACTTTATTAGCCTTCCCATTCGTGCAACAGCAAAAACTGGTGCGTGGTCCCAACACAGTGCAAAAAACTATATGTAAGGGGCATTACTCAATTATTCAATAAATTTGCATGACTTCACGAACTTAAAAAGCCGACCATAACTTAGTGCCAATAAAACTAAAACCATTATCTCTTGTGTTCTGGATAAGTTGCATGTTAGATTATATTTAAATTCAGTTTGTAAAATACCCATTTTACAGCCTTTTCGTAAAATACATGCGGGATTCTATAATGCCGAGCAAAAATGTATTCTTTGATGCCGAGCACTCTCTTGCCGTGTATTTAACGATCGCGACATCTCGATACCGACGATTCGGTATTAAAAATTCATGCTGCGCGTTAAGGCAAATTTTATAGCATTTACTACATAAAGCACCATAAACGGATGTAGACTCGCGATGGAGGAGGGTGGGGGTAAAAAATGAAACCAGACACAAAGTACACCCGGGCTCGGATCAACTATTAATATCATACACTGTGGTAGGGACGCGCTTCCGCTATTGTACGAGTACAGATGGCCAAAGCTCATCCCAGTATTGTATGATTATCTGATTAAAAATCAATCCAAGAAGATAACCTATCTGAGCCGCCACTTTTATAAAGTCTTGGAAACATATAAAGCACTCCGCAGCACTTACCTTTTAATTTAATGACGTTTTCATATCGACTAAAGCTATTTTCGCCGAATTTCACTAAATCTTAAATTTAGTGAAATTCGGCGCCCAACTTAATAATAAATCCAATGATATATAATGCTTACAGCATTTACATTTCAATAACTCCATTACATTTAAAGCACTGTTACAAAACAGTTTTTGCCTATCTAACTGTTATACACATTACACAGCCGTGTAAACTATAGCTGTTGTATCTATTGTTTCATGCTGATTTATTAGAAAATCACTTATCGTGTCGAGGGCCGCGTGAACATTGTAATCCTTCTTAAAGGGTTAAGTTATTATACAAGTTAACTTGAACACGTATACAGAATATTAACAAACAAAACATACAGTTTAACAAATCTGAACAAATTAACTCTTAAGACTCAAAAATCTTTTATTAAATTTTACCTTGGTCTAACTCTTATGAAAGCGAAGGAGTATACCTACTATAAATTATGTGCCCTAATATACATTTCTTTTGTTTCGTTTTTTTTTCTGCCCCTACCGCAATTAAGTAGTTGATTGCTTTTCTAAATTTATTATTTGGCCACTATCTAATTCAAAGCCCATTTGTATAGGACTACCAGAGATACCTGCTTTTATAAGAGGAACATGAAGTCGCAACATCTATCTCCAATCAGCAGTGTTTGTCGTATTAGATATTTATTGAAATTCAACTAAACAATTGTTATCCATAGTCAAAAATTGATAGTGATATTAATAAATGAATGTTTAAATTAAAAATTAATTTCATTGAGGAAGAAATTAATCTATACTTACTATAGATACTATACTTACTATACTTAATAGATATATATATATATATATATATATATATATATATATATATATATATATATACTAGAGTGAATGTTTTTGTTCATTACAACAAATTAAACTAAACATTAAACATTGATAAAGTTATGATTGTAAGAAAAGAACAAAAAAATTTAAGTTGCTCTTAAATTTTTTTGTTGTTTTCAGACAACCACAGAAGGAAAAATTTTATAAATGTAACTATTTTTACAGATTCATTTGCGGGTTTATCTTTAATTTTAAGTCCTGCCTCATTTTTTAGTATTTTAAAACTTAAAATAGAATAAAATAAAAAAAAACAATAAAAAAATTATAAGTATGAATAGCACAGTTTTCAAAGTATGTTTTTTATTAAAAAAAAAAACAATTCCTGTACTATGAATTCCTGCTTCGCATGAGATTCACATATGTGAAGATCACATACACAAAGTACACCGGGGGCTAAGGTGTTGCAGGTGGCAATACAGCCAGCTAAACCACTGCCTACTATGCATGAAGTCACAACAAAAACTAAACATGTATTACTAAAGAACGAAAGTTAGAAACTAATTATCATTATATACTAATAAAATTTGTGTTTTTATTTGCTAAGTTATGAAATGCTGCAGATTTCACATTAAACAAATAAAATAAAAGAGTAATTAGAATTAAATAAATAATTTAAAAAATTTCCACAGCCAAAGAAAGGGTTATTCCCATCAAATTAATAAGGGGTTGGTATAAGTAAAAATCAATTTCTAAAAATCAGTATGTCACCATTTAATCTTGTTAAACAAAATAACACAACAAAATAAGCATGCAAGGAATGCTTCTAATCACAATACAAGGCTATACTTTAACATGAAAAGGTAAATTTTGGCATTAATGCAAGCAAATGTTAATGTCCTTTTAAGGTTTTCTATATATAGCACTAAGTGTACAACAGATTATTGGATTTTTCAACTTTATTGCTGTTTATGTTTTCAACTTTATTACACACCCATGTTTTTATGTTTATTAAAGTATGTTGTGTGAACAACTACCACGTATTCTTTTAGCAAAGCAGTAATATCCTGGCATTATTCATAATTTATTAATAAATTTTATTATATAAAACTCGGTCTCCTTTTTGTTACCTTGATTTCATTCATAAAATTGCCGATCTCAATTCATTTTCGTCGTTCTTTATAAAACGTTAAAGTACATACATGCAACATCAGCTGCTTATATTTCAACTTATAGGTTTGCAAACGAATACAAACATAAACTAATTATCTCATGATTGTGCTTTCAATCGCTGCGCATCTGAATTTTATCTTAAAGACGTATACGTTTAGTATATTTGTTATAAATCAAATCAATGCAAATCAAATATCGCAAATTGAAATTCGAGCAAAGGGAAAAGATTAGAAGAAAAACAAAGTAGTAGTGTCAAGTCAAAATTAATGACAAATATTTATAAATGTTGCCGTAATTAAAACAGAACAATGTGATAATTACGGAGTAGGTACCCGAATAGTATTTAGTGTCTAAGTTATTATTATATTACTTAATAAACAAAGATGCAAAAATAGCAGACACAGTAATTACATTATTTTCATTGAGTAATAAACAATTATCACACTATTAATATGCCAAAGTAATGGTGCTAATAAATTAAAAATTTAATTGTATAAAGCCCTATGTCAGCGCAAATTTTCAAATTTTATTTTCAGTTGTCATTGTTTTAATATTCTAATAATTACATTTGTACTATTTGATCAGGTTAACATTATTTATATTATAGTAGTTATTATTATCATTTTATTTAAAGCAAGATATAATCTGGAAATTACTTACAGCAGTTTATTTGTCTCACGCTTTAGCTTTGCTTAATCACATCAACTTTTCTTAGATAACATGAAAAGATCATCTGGACATTTTCACAATATGTTTCACTAAAGATATTCACGATTTAACACAAAGCAAATGACATCACGATAAAGAGAAACAGCCGTGACAAAATAGATCTGTAGTATCTAACCGGAGTTATAACAGTCTGAAGTTGATTTTGTAGCAATGCAGTGTTCTGCGCATGTTTTATGAATGAAGAATCCCTTGCGCAGATCCTCTACAGCTCCGAGCAAGCACATTTCAATTTTGTTATTGACAATCTCAAACGAGTCAACGTACTAGTAGGTGGTAGATTTGATTCTATTTTATATTGTTGGAAATGCCTGAATTATTTAACCTCTTATCTTAAAATTATACCGTCTTAAAGAAAAAATGAATTGAGTGTAAGGAATAAGCATTTTGAGTTTCTAAGATTGTCGTAAGTATATAAGTAAAACCTAGTGCCTGGTTAATTTCAATTAGCAAAAGTGTTTGCTTTGATTTTGCGGATAACAATTATTGAAGATATCTACCATGTAGAATCTTCTATAACTTGTAGGTCTATGAAGTTCTCACTGGCTGTTCATATTAATAGCAAAGTATAATTAAGAAACAAACAGATGTTGACAAGGTTTTGTCTTCACGCTCTGTCAGGTGATGGTTTTAGAAAATAAAGTGGATTTTATAATTTAAAAGACATTTGTAGATCGGGACTATGAAGGAAAACATAGTAAATTGTTTTGCTCTGGCACAACATAAAGAATAACAGGAACATGGCTAATTTCGCTTTGTTATGGAAGGCGCGCATAATCGAAAAATATAAAAAAGATTACGAACAAGAAAAAGTCAATTCAATTCTGCTATCAAACGTAGAGATTCCGAAAAAGACATTGATGCAAAAATGGTCACACTACAGTTATAATACTAGGAAACGTTTGACGGAAAAATTCAAAGATTGCTGTCCTGAAGGCTCGGCCTTGTCCAATTTTCTCATTTATCTTACAACCGATCAGACCTTCGCCAATTTCTTGATGAAAAGCCTTATTGGGTTTATCGGGGGCATTGTTTCCACCTACCTTTGCTTTATGTTCTTCGTGTTTCAACTGTCTATATCTTTGATGCACGCCACCATAATGAGCTCGATAATGGGTGTCTTGCTTACACTGGGTTTGGCTTTCAGCTATCGCGTGAGGTAATTTCAAATTTGCTTCTGTTTAGCGAACCTTGATTTAATCGAGTAGTTAGAAAGGTAATTCTTCTTTCACTGCGACTTTAATGCGACTTTGGTTTCGCTGTAGTTCAGTACTTTTTGCTACATTCTCTGCTCTCTCTCATCTCTGAATCGGGGAAGTATCAGGGTTGCACGTAAGACTTGCGTAAAGAAGTGTTATACATTTTTATAGTTTTAATTTATAGCAATTATCGGCGCCATTGGTATTTGTGTGATCAAAGATGTTCATTGATAGCACAGTGTCTGGGCGATAACTTTTAAATCAAAAAACTCGAGCAAACTGAGTTGTAATATCGGTGCTGGCACCAATTACATTGTTAATTGCAAATGTTGTCTCAACACGTGCTCAGCGGTGAAGTTTTCCTTCGTGGTAGGGATCGTGACTTTACTTCATCAAAATCCTATGTCCCCTCTCTGGGGCAGAGGGCGTCTACAGTAGATCGCCATCGCGTACAAACTTACGCTTCACGCTTCACCTCGCTCCATGTTAGTGCGATGCTCGATGCTTCTGCCAGTACGGTGCGACGCCAGGTTTGCCGGGGACGGCCTCGCCTTCTTTTTCCTTGACGATTCCAGTCCAATACTTGTTTAAGACTGTGATCGGAACCTATAACCATAGGGGTCGTGGGAAAAAAAAAGTTTATGTAAGTCCAATCCGCGGTAGGATCGCAAGGAGGAGCCCTATTACCTTCTGCACAGAAGATGCCTTTGCCCAGCAGCAGGAAATTTATAGGTTGTGTTGCTTTGCTTTAATTTTAATTTTATTTGTTGCCACAATAAGTTTTCTATATTGCAGATGCCTCGTCTTCCTGTTCATACCTCAATTCTTCTCGCGCATTGGTAGGTACACTCTGACCTGCTACGCGCTGGTGCTAATCCTCACCGGCCCAGCCACTAACACGCTGAAGAATTCCGAAGTGCTCTCTGAGTCGATGGCTTGCAATCAGGTAACGTGTATATGACACATACCATCATCACCCTCCTGCTCTAATCCCACCTAGGTGGAGTCTGCACAACCTGTGACTCACGTTGTTAGTGGTATTGACTAGATTTACTACTTGCCTGTTAGCCAACCCTCGTAGGAGCAAACACCCTTCTATCTGGGTAATTATCTGTGGACACAAACACTTGGCGTTAGTGGGAAACGAACCCACGACTCTTGGCGCGGAAGTCAATAGCTTAGTAACTGCGTCACCGAGTCATAATGGTCAACGCGTCGTAGAGATACGAGTAATATTTTTCTTCTTTTGTTTATTGAACATTTTTTTTCGCATTTTAATTTGCTTAAACTGTATGCAACCTTAAACCCCCCACAAAACAACCATAACATGATAAAATGATCTAAAAACTGCACACCTTTAACCTGATAATATATAAAAAAACTAGTCTGTCGCCGAAATAAACAGAATAATGTTTTTCGCATTATACACAACTTTTAATGATTATGTCATCTACTGGTATTATCAGACATGAAAATGAGCCTTCATGACTTCATACTGTTGTTCCAGGAATTAATTTTAATCAAACCGCACAGTCACCGGATTAGTTTTCAGTTTTGTAGGTAAATAAATTCTTTATGAGTCACATAGGTCACAGGCAATCGTGGTTGTGAAGCAACAAATAATAGTCGTAATAAAACGATTCTGATGTTCGTTTTGGCCATTCGCACCAGCTGGTACTTAACATCCCATCGTTTTATTGTTTGTAGGATTATATTTTCTAGGGCATTTTTGAGGACTATAACGCATTGCAATACTTCTCTCTCACGCTAACTCTCGCTCACGCTACAGCATTCGGCACGAATGTGTAGGTCCGTCCGGGTAAGTACCACGACCTCACAGAAGACCGGTGTGACCGGTGTGACGTGGATACTTTCGCGTTTCATCTGGTGAGTGAGGTAGCCGGGGCCCACTTTATTAAAAGGTGGCAACACATCTACAACTCTACGGGTGTTGCAAATGTATGGTTACCACTTAACATCGGGTGAGCGGCCGGCTTGCTTGCCACCTTCTTACATAAAAGAAAATCTTACATTTTCACGTACTGCAATATAAATAAAAATTAATATTATATCCAAGCTTCCTCCCGTCGAGTTAGTCGATTCTTAAGTTCTAAGAATTTTCTTCGCCTCTTTATAATAATTTGTCGCATTGCACGTATCTTTACGTGGACTGTTTGGCGTAGACTTGCGAATGCAGTTAAACCGGCTTGCAGTTAAAATGCGGGAATAAAATTTTATTAGCACATTTTATTTAGCTTTAAATATTACAGAATAGTTGTGGTACTTTTCAGGTCAGAGTTCGAGTTTGGCTAAATATTTTTTGATAGTAACAAGTGTTTATATAAAATCCTGTACTTTCTAAATAAGTTTCATCTTGAGTGCAGAGACAAGCACTAAAAATAAAAATTTAACAGTTCTATTAACGTTACACCAATTAGTTAACAATCCCAAATGTGACAGATTCTTGTTCCCGTACGCGGGGTGCATAAAACATTGACACGATATTTCTGTAGATTATAAAATATCTTTTGTAAAGATGGACGTTACAGTCTACGCTGTTGCACGAACGGGCAGTTCCGTCCGGCCTTCTGTGAGGTCGTGGTACTTACCCACGACCTCACAGAAGACCGCCGTGAAGTGGACGCGTTATACTTCTGCGTTTATCCTGGCGAGTGAGGTAGCCGGGGCCCACTTTGTTAATAGCTACACCACATCTGCAACGCTATGGGTGTTGCAAATATCACTCAACCGCCAGCTCGATTGTCACCTTCTCACATAAAAAAAATGTTTATATGGTAATGTTATCTCGGATCAATGTGTATGTTGTCCAGGAGCAAATAAAGACGAGCATGAATCACATTTCGGACTCCATAAGCAATCCGTTCAACACTCTGAAAGACTGGATGGGGGTTGCTGCTGACAAAATCAGAGGCATCGCTGTGGGGTTGAGGACAACTCTGGTGGCGACGCATCGGACGGTGGTTGCTATCGGTGAGTGGTGGATAGTTCCCGTGGCCCTGCCGATATGCCACCCTGCCACTTAGACAGTGGAACATTGTGGTGGATTTAGTCGATGCGAGCCTGAAATAACCTGTCGTTGCACCTGCGAGGGCGGGTATGGCATTTCCCCCAGCAGACTGGACAAACACTCAGGTCGGAAACAACTATCCGTAGATCGCACAAACAGTTGTCCCGTAGATCGCAAATGGCCGCAGCCAATTGTCGAATTACCTTGACAACTGCGTCACGGTGAAATTTAATTCGCTTGGTCGCTTAGTAAGGTGTTGTGGATGTCATTGGGTGGTAGTGATCAGTGAATATCTGATGCAGTACTTTATTTTTACTGTTTTGATTTGTACTTTTATGATCGGGAAAAAAAGCATATTTCCGAGGGGCATGTATGACATGGCAGTAAAGCTAAGCTTGTTGATCCTGCACTACATCTATTTACCTCGAATGGGTCTCTACTATTCGGACGTTTGTTTCGGTCCCCACGACAACATTGGTTATTATGCCAATGTTATTTGTATGAATTACGTCTCTTGATCTAGAAGAGGTCTCAGATCTAAATTAGATTGCAAATACGTAGAATAAATGAACATGTCACAAATTTCAATTGTAGTATAGCACTATTGTGTGCGTATGTGTATAATTGAGAGTGTGTTCAGTCGTCCCGTCGCAATGGCTGAACAGATTTGAATGGAATTCGATATGGAATTTTTTTGTTTACGAATAAGAGGAAAATGAGCAGGTGGTTAACCTGAAGGTAGTCACCTCCACCCGCGAAACATCTAGAAGAGAAGGTACTTCGGGCGTATTTCATAGTACACAATCTTGTCTTATATTATATTCTAAGACATGGAGTAATTCCTAAAACTCATATTTTGTCGCAAAGAAACATGCAAACGAAATTTCCAGTAAAGCTCGTACAATATTCATGATTATAATGTATTTAACACGGAAAAACATTGTGTATTGTGTCACGGCAGGCCGACAGTCTAACGATCGATACCGCTACTCATAACGTTTTTTCCATGTACAGTTTAAAGGAACGTTCTAGCTTATTTGTGGAAATTATTGCCTATCGCGGTAAAGCCGCAATGAGTTTTGTCTGCTACACATGTTAAGCATGATTTTACACTGCGGCTATTAATTGAGTGCCTTAATGTAATCTTCACGTGACTTTAGATGAGTGAATTTAATAGACTATTAACACAAAGCATATATTTTAAATGAACTATATAAGTTAGTTCCTTGAACCTTGAACGCATTTAGGAGTCTGCCCCGTAAACACGTGGATGTTTAGTGTTTGAAAGGTTTCCATTTTAAAAACAAAATGTAAAATACTTTTATTTAAAATTATACTAAAGTCAACATGTCGATAGCTGTTGGAGTCGAATTTAACAAGGTAAACTTTATCGTTATTATTGTAAGTAATAAAAAATAGCAGTCTATGTTGTAACTATCCCGCTGCTATGCAAAAGGTTCTCTTTATAGAGGTATTATGGCATTTTCGTCACACAACTTTACTGGGGGTTTATTTTATGTACGTAATATGTTCGAAATCCTTACTATCCTTACTAATATTATAAACGCGAAAGTTTGTATTTATGGATAGATGTTTGTTACGGATTTTAATGAAACTACAATAATATAGCTTATACATCAGAATAAGACATAGGCTTTATTACTTATACATATGTTATGTATATCTGTTTTTTCTGCCTTAATGTTACGCCTTCAGCCTATTTTACGCCGACGTAGTCGCGGGCTGCAGCTAGTACTTTATAAAGGTTCCTCTACTGTGTTTTTATTCGACGCCACCGAAAATTTTAAGTTTGTACTTAAAGTTGCCATTAACAATTTTATTAAAGCAAGCGATTTTAACTCTGGTTGCTTGATGGCATGTAGTTGAAAGCGTACGCTGGAATACTAGGTTACCACGGCTCTGCTACTATCGGTTTTAATTGTAATAACCGAAAACTAATTAAACGATATTTATATTGTTGGCAAGCGGACATATGTATCTATAATAAAATAATCATTATTGGGTAACGCAGTGTCTTAGTAATACTCAGTCAGTACTTGCTTACTCATTCTAATTTTTCCCAACCTTTTCACGGGACATTCATTTTTTCTATTTATTTCTTTTCAATACTGCAATCACTGTGTACTGTCTTGCAACAAATGATATTATCCAAAGTCCACACTTAAGACATTTTATGTTTCGTGACTTAAGACCCATTTACACGGTGCAAGTTTCTTGCCTGTTGTATACAATTAAATTGAAGCAATAAATATGTTGCATGGTCTAAACAACAAATGGTCTAACAAATTATTGCGCGCAATTTATTGCATTCAATTATTGCTCTTGTATGTACAAGAAAATGGCATCGTGTAAATGGGCCTTTACTTCCATTTGCCGTGTCCCTTGCAATTCATTCCGATATCGCGCATAACCGTGAATAAATTAACTTTTACAATTAACTTTGAAAATTGTTAGTTTCATGTCGATCGACGTTAAATGCATTAAAATTAAAAAGTAATAATAAAGCGAAAATGCTTCATGTTCCACGGGCATATTAAAAAGAGGGGTGACAGTCGTGTGACGAGCGAAGACTTGGACATAATTTCTAATACGTATATTAAATTTGCATAGTAATGAGATGGAATATCAAAAGTGAGAAAGGCCAGGGAAATGACGAATACACTTGGAAAAGAGGGGTCCTCTTTACTTTGGGATTAAAATAAGAAAAACCCGAGTTTTGAACGAAATTGACTTACATTTTAAAACTGAGTTTTTGAATAAAGAATCAGCCTATACATATCCCTTTGCTGGACAAAGGACACCTCTGTACAGAGGGTAACAGGGCATAGTCCACCACGCAGCCCCACTGCGGATTGACGGACTTCACATGTTTTCGGAATATATATATTTTTTGTAATTATTTCCAAAATATGCAGGTTTCCTCACTATGTTTTTCTTCACCGCTGAGCACGTCATAATTCTGCACTTATAATTGACAATTTCATTGGTGCAGGCACCGGGGATCGAACTCAGGTTGCTCATCATCATCATCATCATTTCAGCCTGTTTGAGTCCACTGCTGAACATAGGCCTCCCCCATAGACTGCCATGAAGTACGATCCTGAGCCACCTGCATCCATCGACTTCCCGACATTTGCACAGGTCGTCACTCCATCTAGTGGGGGGTCGTCCTACACTGCGATGGCCAGTACGAGGCTGCCACTCGAGAACCTTTCTTCCCCAACGGTTATCGGTTCTACGAGCTATATGGCCGGCCCATCGCCACTTCAGCTTGCTAATCCTCTGAGCTATATACTCAGGTTGCTCGAGTATATTAAATTAAAGGCGAGCGCCCGGACACTGAGCTATCATGGCTATCCTCTATAAATTAATCTCTCTATCTATTCCTAATTTGAAAGTTTCTCATATTAATAAAATTATTATTTTTTTTACTCAATGTGTATATCTTTTAACAATAAAAATGATAATGAAATTCCGCTTCCGTCGCTATTAGGTATTGTAATTTATTTTTATTTCAGTGACACTTTACCAAATACATAGATAGGCATGTTGAAAAAAAATATATTTTAGTCCAATATGGTACCCTACAACATAACATTAACAGTGGTAGGGCCATGCAACAATCTTCACTTTTGCAAGAATGGGCAGGTCCGTCCTGAAGTACCACGACCACACAGAAGACCGATCGTATTTCTGGTATTCGTATCGTCTGGTGGCAACCCATCTGCAACCCTACGTGTGTTGGAAATATCTATGGGCGGCGGTTATCACTTAACATCAGGTGGGCCGCCAGCTCTCTTGCCACCTTCACTACAAAGTCGTCCCACTGTGTCTGTCCCTATTTTTGCTTATCTCTTTAAAAGTACACTACGAATATTGCGGTTTTTTTACTAGATAGAGTTATTCAAGAGAAAGGTTTATATGTATAATACATTGCTCCCGCGCGAAGCGGGAGCGGCCGCTAGTCCAACATAAAAAGAAGAAAAAACCTTTTCATTCCCTATAAATTCCAGCGCACGTCCTGGAATCATCTTACCCGTGGTTGAACTCGATCACGAACAGGTGTAACAAGGAACTCGGAACACCACACCAGCACTGCCACCGCGTATGGAGCGAGGGTGTCTACAATTCCGAGAACGCTCCACCGCCGGCAGGCCTCTTGTGGAATGCCACATACCTGGCTAATATCGCGTGCGATAGCCTGAAAGCCTACACGAGGTTCTGCGAAATCGCCGATTACACGCGCACCACGATTGTGGCCACGATGAAGAGGAGTGAGTTTGCGTTTTGAAATATTATTCTAACATTTGCTACGTTGCGGTGTATTAACGACTTCAGGTCTCATAATATGTCATATATAAGAATGTCCCCTGCATTTTTATATATTTTGATAAATGGATGTAAATAGAAATCGAATGTGATGATACTATATCTGCATAGTTTTCGCAGACATATTTTATTTTGGAGTTGTAACTTGTTCCATAAACTTCGTCCATAAATAGTGTAATATATTGTTTTAAACTACATATTCTTATAAAATTAATATACACCACACAACTAGCAGTTGACAGACGTGACGAGCCCTTTTCCTATGGTAGGGCCACGCAACTGCTTCGTCTGTTACAAGAATGAGCAGGTCCATCCAGGTAAGTACCACGACCTCAGAGAAGACCAGCGTGACGTGGAAGTGTGATATTTCCGGTTACGTTTCAATTACGGAGAGCCTAGACCTTTACATATACCTTACATATATTGTGTCTTACTAATTCAATCAGTAGAGACGGACAGCTAGTCCTGTGGCATAAGACATAAATATCACACAAGACATCTGATAGGAAACTGGACACATAAAACAGTATGTATATGATACGCTATATTCTCACACCAACGTTTCCAAGTTTCGTCGTCTTCTCTCAGGGGTCAGGGACTTCGCCGCCCGCGTCCAATCGCTGCTCCGCGTGAAGGTGCACGTGCACCACTCCTACTCGTTCAGCAGCAACGCCAGCCGCTCCGCCAGCCAAGCGGCGGCCGGCACCGTGACCGAGATCCGGAACAGGGCGGAGCCCCTTCTCGCTTGGCTCTCTTGGAGCTCGTGCGTGACCAGCCTCTTCCTATTCTTGATCATATTCAGGTGCGCGTTCGTCGTTTGTAGACAACTGGACGATAAGAAGACGCGTTTCGTCTGGTGATCTAGGTGGCCGGGGTGAATTTTACTAAGAGGTGGCAACGCATCTGCAGCCCTTTTTTTTGGTATCGGGGGGGAAATTTTCAAAAGATACCCTGTCACTTTACATGACAGGGTTATGTGGGGTTCTTACCCACTAAAACCCCCTCGGTGGCCGCCTTCTGTACATTTGGAGGGACTCCGGGATCTCCCATGGAACGCACCGGTGTCCCTCGGAACTACGCCTGAGGACGCCTCGGAGAAGGATAAACCTTTCCGATCCCCTCACCCTCTTGCAGCAACACGAGACCACTTCGTGCTGCTGCCCATCCGTGTCCCCTTTTAGTCGCCTTTTACGACAGGCAGGGGATACCTTAGCCCTATTCTATGAGCCCGGGACTACAGGGCTGAACGCATCTGCAGCCCTACGGGTGTTGCAAATGTCTACAGGCGGTTATCACTTAACTTCAGGTGAACCGCCAGCCTGCTACCATCTGACACATAAAATAAAGATAAGTAGAGATATGTGCGATTACGTGCTCGACGCTCTAGCTACTGGGCTATACGGCTCATCGTCACCGACGTAAAAATCAACGTTAACTACTATGTTTTTATTGCGTTTAAAACAATACTTGGCGTCATCTAACTGTTTTTCCTTCACAGTAAACAATCGCTTTTTCGTGTATCTTTATTCAATATAAGAGCATAACACTTACTTATTGATTGTCAATATAATACTACCGGCTCGGAAAAGAGAAGCCACTGAACTGTGAAGAACCGGGTAACAATAGAAGCTTGCTAAAAACTGGAGACAAACAAAATTAATTATTAAATTAAATGATCATCTCAAGTGCAGAAAATATTAATACAAAAATTAATATAATTTAAATCGGTGCCATTGATTTTTCTAGGATGAAAATAGCAGTGTTAATTGGTTTACATCTTTATTTTTATATTTTATTTCAATAATGGGCAGACTCATCCGGGTAAGTACCACGACCTCACCGAAGACCGGCGTGAAGTGGAAGTATTAAACGTTCGCATTTCATGTGGTGAGGTAGCCGGGGCCCACTTTTTTAACGCATTGTATTCATTGTAGATGTTGATGATGATGCATTGTAGATGTCCATAAGGGCGGCGGTATTAATTTACCATCAGGTGAAACGCCTGCTCACTTAACAACTTTTCACATAAAAAAGCATTGCATAAGTCAAAATATAAGATTGTGTATTTACGTGACATAGGTAACGCTATTTGGTAATTTCTTACGCGACTCTTAACGATGTTTTCACAACTGCAGAAAAACTGACTAGGGTAATTGAATATGCAAATTGTCTACATGCTAAGGTCTAATTTTAACTGGCATTTGACGAAAGAAACTACGTACGTGTTTTTGTTAAGACGGTTTACTTCATACTAACTGGTTCATTACAAACTTCAATCAGTCTATACATACAAGCAAACATACCGGCCGCCAAAAACTACCTTTTTTTAACTAACATACTTTAGAACATTATCATCAATCAACAAAATCATACCATCAACCTAAAAAATGTGCAAATTACAAAGAATTGTTAACTACATTAAATTGATGATAGCTTTAATGCATTAAACTACTAAACTATTAATCGTACGTGTTTTTGTTAAGACGGTTTACTTCATACTAACTGGTTCATTACAAACTTCAATCAGTCTATACATACTTGCTTAAACACAAATAGTGCCTTACATAGATATAATAGTTGGTAAACAACGTGGTTACGACGATGAATATGTTCGGAACGTGTAACATGATCCAGTGAACGCAAATAAAACATGTAAGGCTCACGTTCATCCAAGTGATTGTTAATAAATGACACCACAACTCCCTAACAGTAATCACATATATACAAATCAATAATATACTGAACTATCTTAAAAAAATGAACCTATTTGTTAGTCCAACTAACGGCGATAGGAATTTGACATTAGCTCCATAATACTTACGTCAAAATTCGATCTCCTGTGATCAAATCTATTTTTAGATTGAATACCTGCCGTTTCAGCCGTTTCAAAAATATAGCGGCACAAGTACTGAAATTGAGCGTGGTAGTTGACAAGCCGTTCCTGTCATGCAATGTTGTAATGCAATGCCGGACACCATAATGAATGAATTATGCATAATTGTTAATTAAGCAATCATTAATTTTTAATGCGCCTTTTCAACTCCTTCTGCTTTAGTTTTTAGGGTTCCGTACCCAAAGGGTAAAATGGGGCTCTATTACTAAGACTGCTGTCTGTCTGTCCGTCTGTCACCAGGCTGTATCTCATTAACCGTGATACTTAGACAGTTGAAATTTTCACACAAGATGTATTTCTACTGCCACTATAACAATAAGTACTAAAAAAAAAATTTAAGTGGGTCTCCCATACAACAGACATGATTTTTTGCCGTTTTTCTACGGAACCAGTTACCGCCAATTATAGTATTTATTCGTGAATGTTTACTATAAAGGTAAAAATGCACTAATTTCTAGATAAAGTTAACACTGGGTATATTAGAGGTAACACGAGAACACAAATTTCTAACGCCAAATCTGCCTGTGGAAGGACCAAGTTTTAACAAATTGGAACCTTGCAGGGCTAAAAATTACCAGCACATGTACGAGACTAGATCCCGCTTCGACAATCGCTACATCACTAAGGAGCTGCGAAACTTGGACTTTGAGAGGCTGAAGGCGGGCAAGGAAACGGTGTTGCCATTGAATAGGATTGAGAAGGCGAAATACATCACTGTAAGTTTTCTTTTATCATTTATTTAAGCCATTTAAGCGATTTAAGCGTTTTAAGCGATTGTCCCATTCCTTTTATCGTTTTCTCACAATTTTCACATTTATAAACGATTGTCTCCTTTTAGTCGTGTTCTCTCAATTGTGACTTTCGATTTGGTTCTTTATTTATTTATTTATTTATTTATTCGGGAAAACAACAGCATATCATATAATAGTTCTTCCAGTTTCAGTTTTGTTCTTTTGACATCAATTTTCCTTTTTTTTTGTTTTTCTTATGTTCATATTGTTATGTTGTCCTCGACAACATAACAATATGAACATTAAAATTCAATTCAAGGATATTATATAGATCGATTTTGAAATTATGTGTAAAATTTCGTGCTCTGTGAAAGAAAATGTCAACATAATGTCATGATAAAGAAAAAAAAATGTAATATAAATTTATATATGTGCCTTAAATGGATTTAATAATATAAACGATAAAGAATTATTTTTTCTACGCTGCATGAATTCGAAATTGCGAGTTCTAGGCGAAAATTTATCTGTTAAATTCATATTGAAGTTTCGTCATACTTACTCTAGAAGTGAAAATATAATCATGAATTATTTATAACATGATGATATAAACATGTAAACGTAGGTAGTGAAGTGGAGTTGTGCTGCAGATAATGATTTATTTAAATAAAATGTTAATTTTCTCCCGGACAATGGTTTTTCCTTTAATCATTAAAATATAGTCTCTTTTTAATATAAATTATTTTTATTTATTCGTATCCAGACTACCTCGTTTAGACTGCTAGCATCAGAGAAAGTCTACCTCGAGCGGTCAATTGTTCATATGGTGATCACGACCTTCAAGCTGCTCATCCATATGGTGGCGGACTACAGCCTGTACTGGGTGCTGATGACGATACGCTACCACGGTAGATTCCAAACACCATTGGAGCGTAAGTATCTTCGTGTTTATTGATATGTTTTCGCGTGAAATGTAAAAATATTTCCAGAACGCGAGTGATCCCTTTTTATATATTTTATACTTGAGTTTTTTTTATTGTGCTAACCTCTGCACGTAAGATTTAACATTAAAATTTGTAGAAAAAGTACAAAAAGATTGTCGCCGTATTTTTTTTTTTTCTAAAAATTTTAATATTTAAACATACTTTTCTTTTTGTAAATAAACACATGTAGATATGTCTGTATATCACACACACTAGAAAAACAACTGTGTTCGTCAAACAGTATTTTTGAAACAGTCGTGATCGAACCCACACCCTCTGGCGCGTGAGACAGCTTCACTATCCACTACGCCGATCGGGATGAGCCAGGTAATGTTACCCTTCCAGCTGGACCTACAGACGCCGGTGTACAGGTATCAGGGACAGGCCCCGTAGCACAACTGGTGCGCTCCCTCACCAAGGTCCTGACTCTGCCCCTCTCCATCACCCCACCGTCCGTCGTCACCTGCCTCCCCAATCCTCGACCGCCCGACGTGCACCGCTACACACAGATTGGTAAACGAAGTGCGATACATTTTTGAATGAATGAATGAATACACTTCATTTTTGAATGAATGACTGAATAAATTTTTACTGTCCACCACAAATAAGAGTATACATAAAAGTAACAATAGAACAACAAATTTATGCAATGTACGATTTGGCGACCTTATCGCTTCATAGCGATTTCTTCCAGGCGACCAATGGCGTAAAGGAAACGTATACTACGTTGGTGGTTACGTGGGCGTTTTAATTATGTAACAAGGCGCTATACGAGCGGGAGGTTGACCATATGTTAAGTGATAACCCCCGCCCATTGACGTTGACATTGACGTAACAACCGTAGGGCTGCAGATGCCGGCTACCTCACTCACCAGACGAAACGCACAAGTATAAAACTTGCACTTCACGCCGGTCTTACGTGAGGTCGTTGTACTCACCCGGACGGACCTGCCCATTCGTGCAACAGAGAAGACTGTCGGGTGATCCTACACAGTTACATTTTCAAACGGAATTATTACCAGGCCCAGTCTATTAAAAATTGGCAACTCATCTCGACACACGACACGTGAACTGCCTGCTCGCTTGCCCCCTTTAATATGAAAGAAAACAGAAGTTTAGATGAAGGTCTTGGTCTCTACCGCACAGGGGTACTAATATGCCTGCTGTGGTCCTCCGCGCTGTTTGAGCCTTACGGTCTGAGGTTGCGCCACGTCATCATGGGCCTATACAGGCCGGAGCGCGCGAAAGCCCGAGCGCTGTGGCTCTACAACCACATTTTGAGGACCAGAGGTACTCAAACTGTGTCCTACGTTTTGAGCACCGGAGATATTCAAACTGTGTCATGTAGTGTTGGTTGTTAATAGAAAGCAAATGTCACTACTACTATTAATGACAATGTGGGAACACTTGGTGTTTGTGGGAGGAATATACCTCGCACTGTAATAGTTATATTGGCTGAACTAATATTAACAATTGAACTACCTGTTCAGTAGCAGCGTTTTGCGGAGTAGAAATTCCCTTCAATTTAATTTATAAATCAATGAAGTCACGGGCAAATGCTACTAACTACATTATAGTCACGCCATAAACTCTCAAAGCGTCCACGCGCATTACATAGACCTTGTTCCATTGTTTGATGCCAAATTAAGTGACGCTCTTATTGTTTCTGAACATAAACTAGAACGCCTAAGAGCTGAACAAAATCTTTCATTGTATAAGAAACCACGTAATCGCTGAAGATGTGTTAGTATGCAAGTAGGATTTTGAGAGCTTCACTCTGTTCAGATATGGAATTCTTTGTCTTAATTGGGGAAACTCAATTATTAACGTCAAATCAAGCACCCTCAACAAACAGTTCCAAATCCCATATTTCTATTGACTATTCTGCTAAAGCTGCTACTCAACTTTTGTCATTCTTTAAGTTTTTAAGTGGGGCCGCGTGGTAGACTTTGCCCTGATACCCTCTCTATAGAGGAGGCCTTAGCCCAAGAGTGGGCCATGTATAGGCTGATATTTTTACATATCACATAGTGTATACCAAAATACATAATAATATATGTTTAAGCATTCACATAATTCCGCATTACGCACATAATTAGCACATTCAGATTTATAACAATTTACATACCTACAACTTAAATATTTTTTTGCGTGTACAATAAAAAACCAAAACAATTGAGCTCATTATACGGCAACTTGCTCACCTTTAACGAGAACGTGAAACTTTAACTTCTATTAGTATGATTTTGTCGACCTACCAAACTCGCTAGTATTTCAAGATACCAAAGCACTGCTGAATATAGGCCTCTCCCATGACCCTGAGCCACCTGAAACCGTTGATTTCCTGCTCATTTGCACACACAGCACATGCTAATAAAATAAATATAATAGTGATGATGATAATGATGACTAAAGAATTTGGATAATCATTATCATCATCGTACTGCCACTATCTTATCCTTTAAACGAGCAATTCTTGTATATATATATATATATAATCGGAATCTCGGAAACGGCTCCAGAGATTTTCATGAAATTTTGTATGTGCGTAGATTCGGGGGCAAAAAATCGATCTGGCTAGGTTTCATTTTTATAAAATGTCGTTTTATCCCTGTCGTCCTATCCAAGTACCTAACCTAGGTGGGGTCGGCACAACACGTGAATCATGTTATAACCCGTTTTCGCTATTGTTTTTTCGGGACAATTATTTGTGGGTCACCCAAAACTTGTCCCATGTGGAAACCCACGAACTCGACGCCGAAGCAAATTAGCTTTGCAACTGCGCCATCGAGTCATCAAAGCATTACCATTGATATGTATTAAATAAATTTTAATCCAAATTAATTGCAATATTTTTTTTGCGCGATACACGAAATTCTCGTCTCCGTGCCGTTCGTTAAGGAAATGTTTGCTATCCGTGGATGATCAAAAGCCTCGTGCGATGCACTGCAAAATTATCCCATTCTGAATATTCAACGACGCGCAAGGGAATTACACGCCCCAGTTCCCTCGTTCCCATTCCGCGAGCACCAATGGCTTTGCACTAGTGCCGTGCAAAATCGCTTAGAATTCACTCTGAGATTGTTTTCGCCGAAGCGTATTTGGGAAAACCTGACTGTTGGTGTGTCCAATCCGAATGGTCTCAGTGCCGACCAATATGATCGTTCAAATATATTTTATGATATTTCTTTAAAATTAAAAATCTAGCATATGCCAGCTTATTATATGCTATTTAAAAAAATAGATATGACAGCTGGCTGTATCTCTATGGAAATGTTGCTTGATTACATTAGATTTTATTAAACTATTATTGCTATTGTAAGAAATTCAAAACTGAATTACGACATTTTTTCAAAGAAATATTAAAATATGGCCTACTGTTTCATAATTTTTAAATAAACTTGTTTTGGGCGTAATTTTAAACTTTAACTATACCGTTATCAAATTATTTGAAGTGAAAGAATTGAATGCTAGGAAATGCTTTGAACACGATAACAAAGGCATACATACATGCATTAGAGCCGAGTGATTTGTCGTCGACCGATGACGTAATAAAAAAATCTTTTCCAGGTGGTCTCATGAAATTCGCGAGGCGGAAACTACACAAGGAATACAAATATTCAAATAAAGACGAAATGACATTCGTTCAGTGGTTGGACTCGCACATACCGTAAGTACTCTGCTGCAATATAATAAAATTATTCCCTCGCTAGAGAAGGAATGTTGAACGCACTATGTTCGCCGAAATTAATTTATCGGCTTTACCAAATTGAACATGAAAATTATCCATTAAAATTTGTAGCAAGTACGAAAAGATTGTCGCCGCTGTGGTAATCGAACCCACGTCTTCGGCATTTTTTCTAAAAATTTTAATGTTTAATCTTAATTGCAGAGATTAGCACTATAAAAAAAATTAAATTTATGAAAATTATCCCACAAATTTTTGTCCAATGAGGGTCATAACATGCCGGAAGTCCTAGTGGTGATCATTGGAACAATATGACCATCTATGCATGGTGAATGTAGTTTAATTTGTAGTGATTATGTAAACAAATAAATACTAATAATGGGAAAGTAATATGAAGCTAGGAAGGTAAAATAAAAGAGTAAAAAGAGGTATCTGTTTACTCTTTTATTTTACCTTTTGTTTCTTGAATTAAGTTTAAAGTGATTCCGCAGATGGTGGTGGCTGCGTTATTTGCTCGGAACTCTCCCAAAAGACCCGTGTTGCTTACTCTGCAATATCGTGGAGGAGGTTAACAGTTTTGGTGTAAAGCTTTGTAGGTAGGCGAACCTTGTCTTTTTTGTAGTTTCGGTAAAGTATCAACAATATTCATGAGTCTTTAGTTATCTTTATAGTAAGTATCACGGTAAGTAACGGTGGTAAGGCCACGCAGCAGTTGCACGAATGGGCAGGCCCGTCCGGGTAAGTACCACGACCTCACAGAAGATCAGCGTAAAGTGGAAGTATGACTAATACTTTCGCGTTTCGTCTGGTTAGCCGGAGCCCAATTTTCAAAAGGTTGTCAACGCATCTGTAACCCTCCGGTGTGGCTGATGTCCATTGGCGGTGCTATTCACTTAACATCAGGTAAACCGTCTGCTCGTTTGACAACTTTCCGCATAAAAAAAATATCAGAATTAGGTCAGGTCAGGTCAGGTTAGGTTTAAACCTTCTTTTAGATACATTGTCTAATTTAATTCAAGTTCCATGGTAAATATAGAAACTGAGTGCTACCGCTAGTGCAATTGATCAATCATCACTTAACATCAGGTGAACCGCCAGCTCATTCGTCACCTTCTCACATAAAGAATGCATTGCTGTAAATAACGCGTAACATAGAGGTAGTTTTCGCGTAATTTATAGCCTATAAAACAGGCTTTTAGTATCGCGTACTGTTATGAACAATAGTTACTTTTAAATAAAATTCCTCTAAACTGCATTTTATTTAATCACATCTCATTCGGTTGATACAATCACAGATGCGACACCCCCAAGTGTCCGGGAATCTATTGCGCCCAATGTTTCAATGATTTGGGGCAACTATGCACCATTTGCTTGAACCCGATCGACTACGGCGATCTGAGCGACATAAGTTTGGAGAAGTGAGTGAATCTATAATAATTTTTAAAAACTTTAAATCTAATTGAAATATTAATATGTCCAAATGGTTAGAGCGGGCAAGATTGAGTAAACATAACTACCGAACCTTCTAAATTTATTTGTATTGATATAAGATTTTGAATTAAACAAAAACTAACTGAAGCAAATTGTAGCATATTCTAGGCATTCTTAAAAAAGAATAGGCTTACTTTTGCCACTGCTGACTGCAAACCGTAACATTAGCAGCACTACTATGTTTGATAGTGAGCACTTTGCATGGTACTGAAACTTTCTCGTCTTAAGAACGGCGTACGTACGTACGTGTTGCATTTTGAGAAAAGAGATCGGTGTAATTATTTTCATTAAACCACACCATTGTGTAATACCACGGAATACTACCAAAGAAAATACCCGACAAATTAAGTAAGAAACACGTGTTTGATTCAAACCAAGGAGTTGGTGTTTATAGGCCGTATAACTTAATTTATTTGTAATTTTTGACCAATATGGTCCACAATCTTTGTTTTGTTTTTAAATAGATATGCTTTGAGGTTTTTGGACATCACGGCACTATAATGTAGTGACGTTGTGATGCCGTCGGAGTATATTGATCTCTGGATCTACCCAGAATAACATAAAAAAAAAAAGTAAAGTAACAGCCTATACATGTCCCACTGCTGGGCAAAGGCCTCCTCTATACAGAGGGTATCAGGGCATAGTCCACCACGCGGCCCCACTGCGGATTGGCGGACTTCACATATCTTCGAAATATATTTTTTTTTTTTTTTTTATTATTTCGAAAATATGCAGGTTTCCTCACGATGTTTTCCTTCACCGCGGAGCACGTGATAAGTCAGCACATAATTGCCCATAAATATAATAATGAAATTTTATTTGCTTATTCGTTTGTTTCCTTTTTTCGTTAGAGGCTCTTCTGAGGACAGCAGTAGCGATAACCAGGATTTCGAAGATCAAATCGAACCAGAAGAGGATGAGTATTCTAAACTTATTGTAAGCACATCTCGTATAAGCATCTTTTCACGTTTCTCAATTCTTTCTTGATGTATAATTAAAAAAGTTCTATTAAGTAAACTTTACTGAATTGAATTGATAAAATACTGATTGTTTATGACTGTATATGTAAAATTAAGGCAAGTACAAAAGATCTTTACGGAGACTTAGCAGTACATTATTAATAATTTTTACATTGATAAGAAGCGGGGAACAAGTAATGTAGCGCTACATGCAAACATAATCCTGATAAATATTACAGCTAAGACCGATTTAACATATCTTAATAAATAAAAATGAATGTTGGTAAGCGCATAACTGAAGAATGGCTGGACCAATTAGGCTAATTTATTTTTTTGTATTTTCCTTAAGGTCCAAAAAAAAACGAAGTCCATGTCCGGGCAGTTAGTGTTGAATAAATAACTCGCAGTTTACTGTCCTTAATACCAAAAAAAATAGTTCCTTTTGATTTTAGTTTAGTTTTACCTTTTTTTAAGTTCTAGTTATAATTTAGCACTAAATTTAATCCGCGACATGTTTCCCCTTTTATAACAACAATTTTTATCTTTTTCAGCAAACCTATTTTGATAAACCTGATGTTCAAAACTTTACACTAATGCCCGAGAGACAAAATGAATCACAAAATGAATGGTTACTTTTTCAAACTAAAAGTAAATACTTTGAAGAGATTCTGCCGATCCTAAAATATACAGATAGAGAGGGTGCAGATCTCAAAACAAACAATGGCTTTCGTAGAAAGGCAAACTTTATTAGAAGTCTCAAACATTACAATACTCACAGACAAGTTATCACTGATAACTTGAAAACAATACCGCAAGGAAAGATCAATGAAAGATTAAGCATTTCGTACACTCATTGCCACAGAAAAGTAGGCAATGAAATGTTTGATAGCAAATTTAAATTTCATATACATAAACGTGATTCTTTTTTACCGAATCACAAAGATGTTTCCATCCATCATATGTGGAAAAATAAAGAAGTACTTGATGTAAAAAGACGATGTTCCAACTTCATTTTCATAGATGATAATTATAAATATAAACGAAAAATGAGAATTAGAAATTTATCCAAGGACACACTGCGACATACCTTGTCTCTAGATGACTGGACAAATGAAATTAGTAAATTGCGGTGTCGTAAAATTAGTTTTTCTTCAATGAACTCGAGATTCAACACGTTACCAATGATCTTACATAGAATTTTAAAAAATGTTATATATAGGAAAATATTTCCATATAATAGGGCAAGAAGTACTTCAAATTTTAGTTTCTATTCCAATTATTATGACATAAAATTGAAAACTCATGATGTTACAATTAGAAGGGTTACTCAGTCTAATTATTTTGACAATGTAGTACGAAAAAATTACGTAAGGTTATTTCAGTGTGAAAGCGGAGATACAACACATACCAATAATCGGAGTTTTACAATTAAAAAGGATTCGTGCAGCCGCAATTTCTTTCAACCACACAAATTCTCCAGTTATTTCAAAGGTTTCTGTTTTACTAAATCCAGTAAATCTACCGACAGTGATTCTAAGCGCCCCTTTAGCGATAAAGAGAAGAGTAGATCCAAGAAAGGGTCGAATAAGGACGATGCACCTGAGAAGGCCGATCCAGACGAAAGTAAGGAAGCTGGGAAAGGTGATGAGCCTAACGAAGACAAGTTGGACAGCAAAAGTGCGTGCTGTTGTATGAAGCGTATACGAAGACTTTGTTGCTGTCGCCACAAAAGTATTAGCATAACACCATGTTCGATATTTAGGAAAATGTTCGGAAAAAGCAGCACTTCGGGCTGTTCTAGTACGGTGAACCATAAACGAAGGAAAAAGCAAGCAAACGAAAACGATCAGGACGGGGCTGACCATAAGCAAATAGAGAACAGCAGAGATGAAGATATTGCTAGAATCTACAGGTTATCTACCTACATCGGTCAGCAGGAGTGGATGAAACGACAGTTCGATAAAAATAATCGCCTCGAATCAAAAAACAATGCATTATTAACACAGTCAGCGAAAAGTTTACATAAACTAAAACTCCATTCAGGTTCAAGAGTTATTGATGTTGAAAAATCGGCTAAAGTAAGCCGAATTGCGATGCTTGATATGATTTTCTTGATATATTAATATTTTATTCGACGTTTGATTTTTAATTAACAACTAATTTTATTTTATAGAGCAAGCAAACGAATAGTAAAAACAAAAACGAAAATGCTAAAGTTGACAATTGTGATCAATTAAAAAAAGGAAGTTTGAAGAAAATAGCAAATTCGGACGAAAATTGTAATGGTTTCATTTAATTTTTTTTTATTATATGTCCGCTCTCACCCCCCTCGCCCATGCGTCTCACATTTTTAAGACACTATTTAATCCTCTGTTATAACTGCTTTAGACAATTTTTGGTAAAAGTTGATAGAATTGAAAGAAGGCTTATGGTCAGTCATCATGGCTAAACGAAATCGACGATTAAGATATTATACCGTAATCGTTTACATTTACAATATAATCTCATGTCTAATTCGTCACAATGGCCGAATACCAACGTAACATTATTAATTTTGCCATTATATATCAGGGTTTCGTCTTGTGAGTGAGGTAGCGAGGGCCCAATTTATTTAAAGATGGCGACGCATTTGCGGGTTGCAGTTAGTAGGGCCACGCAACAGTGTTCGCTGTTGCACGAATGGGCTGGTCCGTCCGGGTAAGTATCGCGATCTAACAGGAGACCGGCGTAACAACGCATTTGCTACGGGTGTTTCTAATGTCCATGGGCGGCGGTTATCACTTAACATTAGTTAAACCACTAGCTCGTTTGCCACTTTAGCCCATAATAAAAAAACATATATATATAGTGGGGTTAATGTTAGGCTATAAATTTTTGGTATATAATATTTTTTTCGAGTTTCTTTGGTGTACAGGGTACGTACCATTATGTTTTGAAGCCATGCGAGCGCGATACTGACTTTAGGAATAATTAAAAAAAAATTAAGCTATCATTGTTTTTTTAATGTTATTATATTACTGCTTATATGACAAGCCAGTACACACGGTCTTCCTTGTTTAAATCAAGTGGGCAAAATTAAATTGTTGGTGAAGTGTCCATTGCACTGTTAAACTGATCGTTATTGTCCATTCTACTATATATGCCCTGGTGCTGTTAACTTTTCTTGTTACTACACATACTCTCAGCAATAAGTCAAGAATTATTGCCGAGAGATATAAACAACAATATAACACTTCTCAACAACATAATTATGAATTGTTGTTAAAGTTCATTATTAAAGATCATAAGAATATTTGCGGTCTGCGATATCCAAATTATCAACGAAGTTAACATAGTGCAGGACGAGTGATACAAATCGATAGAATTTTTAAAACAACTATTTATAGTTTATCAGTAATTATTTATAATTCCCACAGCGTCAAATCAGAAAAATATACTCACACATAAGTGGTTCGATAATTACTACTCCTTGCATCCGAACGCTTCATCGTTCTCTTTGAAAACGATATTGAGGGCGAAGAAAACAGGTGCTTTCTCTTTCTTAACATATCTATTAAATTGTTTTATTTAGTTACATAATTTTTGTAAATCTAATCAGTATTAACGTTATAAGATCTTACCGGCAATTTTAGAATGTTTGTAGAATTTTTCATGAAACGGAAGTCTGTTTTAGCACCCTCCATGTCTACCGATTTCGGCATGTCCAGGAGCTTACGTTATTACTGCTCAATAGGAAACACAGAGTTCGATCAGATCGACTGTCCGTAAGTGCATCTACGTCATTATTATTACCAATTGGTAAGCTAAGCTCAATGGAGCTTAGCCTTAGATTTTAATTATCACTTTCTCTCTTCAATAGGGATCAGTTTAAAGCGGAAGTCCTCACCAGTAAAACGTGGAAAAAGGAAAACATTGCCTTGCTTCCGGTAAGTTTGCGATTGCCATGTAACAAATACGGTAACGGTTTTACATGGTCAAGACTCAATACTAACTTATATTACTCCTTACAAATGAATTTCTACTCAAGTTATAAATAACATATTATTTCATTTATCAAGAAAAAAAAATATTTCTTCTGTTAATAAAAGTATAGTTCTATATTTTAGTCATCAGAGTAGCTCCCTACTTCTTGTTTTTTTATATGTTTACTTTAGAACATTAACATTTAACGATTAGTTTTTTGTAATGATTGTTTGTAGCGTAGATACACTAACATATAGAAGGGTATAACAAAGTTGATTAAAATTCTTCTTAGACATAATTTTTTGAAGCTTTAAGCGAATACACGTTGTAAAACTGCATTGTATATCACTTGTTACAGATAAACGATGACAGTGAGTACTCGCCTTTGAAACGTTGTTACTACAGTTCCGAAGGTTAGAATTATCCACTTATAGATATATTAATATCAACACTATATTATACCGCTCACTTTTATAGGAAATGTATCTACAATCCATCAGTGTTGTAGATCTAAATGAGCGGCAGTAATAGCTTAGCTTCAGTTAAAGCTTCTGCTTGTTTGCCAACCTTCCAAGCTGTACGGTTCCGTTTTAAACATTTTGGATTCGGCAAACTTCTTTTTAGTTATTAAATTGTTTCTCGCAAGTTGTACTAAATGCGTATGTACATATTTTACAAGATGAACTTGCATGAAATTCTTGTGAAAACACATTTCGGAGTGTTTCAATCTTTTATTAATTATTTGAATTTAAATTTTTAATTTTAAACGTAATAAAATAGCATGAGAAAAAAAATTACACAATTTAATTTTACAGACCTTACCAACTGTGGATCAAAAAGATGCAGACGTTTCCCAATTGGCAACGCAGGCAAGAGTACTACTACCTACTACTTACTACTTACCGCATGACGAGAGATTTTCATTCAAAACCGCCTTTTCATTGTAAATTTTCTTTTCAGACTCGTCTGTTGCCTTAAATTTCAAGGCTGAATTTGACCTTCTGTCAAGACCCGTTCGTAATATCAAGATTAAATCGATTAAGCAGTAAGTATCACCTAACGCGATCGAGTATCACGAACATCACCTATTTAATTGCGATAGTCTAGGAGTGTGTTAGCACCCTAATGGCCACAATGTTTTTTTCTGGGATTGTTGGATTATGGGATATAGGCATGACATTTTTCAGGAAAAGATCACTTTCAATGTATACCTTTTGGTAACGTCTAAAATCGCGTCTAATAAGAGTGGTTGATCACAGATTGTGTTAGAAATGCGTAGGAAAGTAGAGAAAAAACAGTTGATATCGAGATGTTTAGAAGCAGGTTCGATTTTAACGGAAATAAGGCTTTATTTTTTGGGTTAATTAAGGTCGAAAGCTAAATATTCAATATATATCAAGTTACTATTTATTTTATTAATCTGGTGGTAAAATAATTTCAATGGTTATATTGTCTATCAAATATTTGTATGTGTATTGAGATCGCGGTAAATCGTACAATATTTATCAAACTAATACTTAAAATTTACGTGAAATCACTTTTTTTACAGTGCCATGTCGGACCGTATCCTTCATTTGAGGTAAGTAAAAGTAAAAATAATATTTGTTGTAATGTAATTTTAACACAGAGACAGAAAATCCTACTTAATTGTTTGGTCATTAAGAGCTCTGTTAAAGCATCAGAGATATAATGTGAACTGCGTAGACCGGTTGTAATCATAAGTCAACTTCTTAGTACCACCCTAAGGTTGACTGGTAGAAAATGGTATCAGCATTAAGTCAGCCTATGTACAGTGTTTTGTGCATAAAGTTTTTTTTTATGTGAAAAGATGCCAAGCGAGCAGACGCTTCACCTTATGTTACGTGAATACCACCGCCCATGAAGATCTGCTAAACCCGAGGGTTCCAGATGCGTTGACAACGTTTTGAAAATTGGGCTCCGGCCACCTCAGTCACCAGACGAAACGCGAAAGTATACTTCCACCTTACGCCGGTCTTCTGTGAGGTCGTGGTAATAAGTAAAATAAAATAACTACCTACGTATTGTCGATTACAATCTCTTTAACGAATATAATTTCAAGGTGCTTTGTCATAAACGTTTAAACAAGTAAAATTTAAAATAACAATTTTTAAAAATAAAATTCGATAAATTGTTTGCATTAAATTATGTTTTAACCATAATGAGATGGAAAAAAGAAAGATAAGAGCAAAAAATCTGTGTTATAAATAAGAAAAATAGAAATAAATATTAAAAAAAACATCAAAATCATCATTATGGACTTTAAGCTACTCTTGTGTGAAATTATTGTCTAGACCACAAACCAGTCTAGAGGAGAGACTGTACAAATAGCTGACGATTGATATCTAAATTTCGTTTTAAATTTACCAATACATCTGATCACCTGATCCAGAAGTCGACGAAAAATTATCTATTATACAACATTATCTATTATAATATGCGAACTTTTTATAGTTAACCCCAACCTTTACATACCTTAATTACAGTGACCTTTGATCAGTCTTTGTTTAGTGATTTTGTACCTCATTAAATGACTTACTAAACCCATTAAATATTGACTTTTAAACTTTACCTTAATTCCACGTTACCTAATATAGTGTAGTAGTTACAGTATTTTTTTTAATTACATTGATTTATTTCTTAATGTTACGGCAAATAATAATGAACGCGAGCCAAAGTACGGTGACAAATGAAAAAGAATAATAAAAATCCATGGAAATAACATATTTAAAAGGTGCGCACAATTTAAAAAGCGGACTATTCAAGTCCCCGCATTAATTAAATATTACATCAAATGTTAAGGTTTTTAATGATAACATTGAAATCAACTTCATGAAGGTTTGATTTGACATAAAACGGAGCTAAAATTTTTCTTACATACTTATGCAAATACTTTGACAAACAGTTTCAAACAAAATGTCAGAACTTGCGTGTCAAAAAACTTTAGGATTGTGGCATAAATATTCGAAATTGTTTTACAGTGTATTAATTATATCTTTTCATTTTCCCGTACATATATTTTACTTGTCCATTCGATTCTGCTGTGAATCGTACGAACTATTAGAATTCTATGTGAAATCGGCAGTGAAATGGATTCTTATTACGAGGTGTCAATTTATTTGATCGTTGTACTTTATTGTAAAGAGAAATTCTCTTGTTACTGAAAATTCGTCATTCTCCTAGTCAAGGTTGCACAAAATCATTTTATACTTTTAGATTTTATTTGGATTTGTGTTAACGATTTCTAACCTATAAGTATAATATTCACACGCATTTACCTTGCTATTATGTATTAGTTACTAACTGTAGTCTAGCGTATTCGTTCGCTGTCTTAAACTTAATAAACGAGTAAAGTTTGTTCAGCAACAATGAGAATCATGTTTTCCTGAAAGTTCAAGAGGTATCTTTCAGCTAGCGATAAACTTAACAAAATGAAAACTTTACTAATTAACGCTATAAACACTTTAGGACAAGATACAAAATAAATGAGTATACAACGTTGAAACCTTGGCAAATCTCGTCGAATATCCGTCAATGTTTGGAGACTAAAGTCTTCTTTAATCAATGTGCCAGTGATGACTACGGAACCGAGACCTGGTCCTTCACAGCTAGCCGTATGAGGAAGCTCATAGTCGCGCAGCTAGCTATTGAGCAGTCTGTGCTCGATATTTCTCTACGTGATACAGTTTGCAACGAAGAAATCTGCAATACAACAAAGATAACTGACATAGCTCAGATTAGTAAGCTGAAGTGGCGATGGGTCGGTCATATAGCTCCTAGAACTGATAACAGATGGGAAAGAAATGTTCTCGAGTGGTAGTCTCGTACTGGCATCGAAGTGTAGGACGACTCCCCCACTAGATGGAGTGACGACCTGTGCAAATGTGCGGGTAGTCAATGGATGCAGGTAGCTCAGGATCGAGCTTCGTGGCAGTCTATGGGGGAGGCCTATGTGCAGCAGTGGGCTCTAATGGCTTGAAATGATGACGATGATACGACGGTATACATTTATGATAGGTTAAATGATTAGTGCATGATGACGGTGGCGAAATTTTAAAACAAGTATTTTTATATGATTGTTCGTATTTTCTATGAGTTATGTTATCAAATATATATGTTACCAAATGAGCGGACGGTGCACCCGATGTTAAGTGAATACTAATGGAGATCTGCTACACTCGAGGGTTTCAGATGTGTTTACAACCTTTTGGAAATTGGGCTCCGGCCACCTCACTCACCAGACCAAACGCGAAAGTATTTTACTTCCACTTTACGCCGGTCTTCTGTGAAATCGTGGTACTTACCCGGACGAGCCTGCCCATTCGTGCAACAGACGAGGCTGCTGCATGGCCCTATCACCTTTAAATTAATTCAAATACATTAATCTTTAGAGCTTTGTTATTCACAGATTACGGAATCCGTTCCCGTTGATGAGAGATTTCTATTCAAGTCTGCTTGATGCGAAAATGCGAAGGACAAACGATAGATGTAAAGATACAAAGAACGGTAATTAATATGCAATCTATTAATACAAAAAAAACCTATGCTTACGGAATGTTGTAAAAACCGATTGATTATCGGTCAATGTCAAAGGAGTACTCGACTTCCAACTAAGGGATGACATGTAGTTATATACTTAGAAACTTTCAGTGCAATGTAAGATTTAGAAATGTTTTATAATACATCTGCATAAGACGTGATATTTTTAACAATATTTGCTGACAGCTCAATTCGAGTAATAATTATGCCACGTGACTATTACTCAAGTTGTTAATATGGGTCGATCAAGTGATCAATATTAAAGCAAAATAAAGAGCGTACAGATGTATTAAGACACATGTGAAAAGTTGTAATAATATTAAATCTGAAAACATCTTGTCTTCTATTGGCTTGTTTATTCCTGGTAAACCATATGGTTAAAGATTTCTTTCTTTATTGGACAACTGTAAAAACGAAATGAAAAATTTCTATTTAAATACAACGTCTTTGAAATTTGTTGATGCATCTTATAGAAGTTATGGTTAATTTTACAGGTAAATGCAAAGCGGTGGCCGTTCGTCCTAAACGTAAAACGGCGTAAGTGTGCAAACTTCATCACATTTTTATATATCTGCATATTCAATATTTTCTCTTTATGAAAAGCCTGCAGCTTTATGACATTATCCTCTATTGTATAGGCGTTCATTGTTGAGCAAATCTCGTTAGAGGTCAGCATAGCTTTTATTGTGAAGAAATCGAGTTTAAGAAGCTAAAAACTAACGCATTAGGTCCTCATATCATTGCCGCTATATATAAAAAAAATGTTTATAATACAATTATTTTTTAATATATAGGCTTTTAGTGGCGATGCGCTTTAACCATACAAGTGGACGTTTATAATTATATGTGACTCTTTACAATAGACCCTGCAGCAACTTTTGCACCATGTATCATCAAGGAACTGAAATGGACAATATAAAAAACAAGTATATTATAAAACTAATTTAAATTTGATACTCTAAGCAAAATTTAAGAATTCTATAAGGTTCTAGAGTTACGCAGCAGTATTTGCTGTTGCACGGTTAGGTTAATAAATTAATCCGCCGCGCAACCGGGTGCGCAGTGGTATCAACGCAACGTCGACATGCACAGCGATTGCAGACTCCCGACGATTCGCGAATATTTTAAAGACCTGACCAAACGGTTCTTCGTTAGAGCCGTACATCACCCCAACCGTAAGCGCAGCAAATTACCAACCCGACACAAACGCAAACGTCAACAAGCGTCGCCCGCGAAACGTCCTTATCGACCCGGTCGAGAAAGGGGACTTAGATACTCCGGACCCACCGCCGGGGGTCCCGCCGGATAACACTACACCCTCAATTAGTGCAACAACAAACATTCTAGTTCGCCCTCGCCTCCGAGCACGGCGAGACCAACACAACGCGTACACAAAGTACACCCGCGTTCCGGGGCGGTTCTCACCGCTCCCAGCCACCGATTAGCCAATTTCACAGTCGACGGCCATCGGGGTTTCGGTCCGAACCGCGACCTCGATGGCCCTTAGATGACACACCATACTTAAACGCACGGAAGAGCACATGCGTGGCCCACCGGTTCTGCGTCAGATGAAGCTTTAATAGTCTCGGGACTGAAAGCACAAACATCAGTTAATACAAGATACAAGACGGTTAGGCTGGCTCATCCCAGCAAGGGTTACAGTTCTGCGTCCCGGCAACGGGGGCTCACTTTAATACAAGTTGGTAACGCATCTCCAACCGTTCGGATTTTTTTAATAGTTCACCTGATGCTAAGAAGTGATACGACAGATCTTCATGAGCGGTGGTTATCCCTTAACATCATCTTGAACCATTACCACTTGCCACCTTATCGTATCTTTACAAACGTGTCGGTCTTGACTCAATTGCTCATTCTCAATTTAATAAATAAGGATCTAATATGATACAATAGAAACGAAGCAGACGATCTTTTAGGCGCCACGAAATTTGCTATGCTCGACAAATCAACAAAACACGACAAACTATGCTCCCAATACGCACTAAAGGTTTTTCGTCTTCCAACAGAATATGCCAATGTGAAGGCTCCCCTGAGAATTTACAAGAAACGAGTAAATGTTTAAAGAAAAAATATTCAGTTACCGGTTATGGTAAGTTGCAATTCTTGGTACATATTGATACATATACATGGCTGTATACGTTTTCCGTCCAATCAGGGAACTGTTGGAATAGTTGTATCGCACTAGTTCCCCGATTTGACGGTGTACACTAATCTCAGATTACTACGACAACACTGATGCTGATCGATGTTGTCCACTTGATCAGAATTTAATAAGGCGCATGTTAGTTTATATGAAAAGTCATCAAGAAGCTGAAAAATTTCTGTCGTGCCATCAATGTACTTATTTTTTTCATTGTCTCAATTCGACTATTTTCTAATAGATTAACCTTCATTATATTTATTTTTTATAATAAGTACATTATATACATTATATTTATTTTACATTATATTTACATACTTAATAAATCTAATTTTCCTAGGAGGGATGACGTCAGGTAGGCGGCCAATCGTAAAAAAATAGCCAAAAAACACAACATGATTCAAATGTTGCGGTGACCCCACCACGGTGGGATAAGAACAAGAGGACGATGATAACTCAATAAATTTAAACCTTACTAACCTAATATTATTTTTCTTTTTCTGTTTCAGACACAGGAGATATAACTATGTTGTAAGTATAATCTTCAAACAAATTAAAGATGCCCCTTTTCGCCTGATTCTTAGTAAACATTCTATACAAATATGTCGCATATCAAAGCAATCTTTAATTCTATTCATATCAAATTTCTCTAGTTTCAACAGTTTACGGTGACGTCACCCCGCTTCGGTGCCTTAACATCAAAGTGTACCCCACAAACCAACCCAACTAGTTTGAGATAAATAAATGTTGAACATTGTTTATCTACATATACAATCATCGTCAAATTTTTAGCCTGTTTTAGTCCACTGCAGGACATTATTTTTATGTGAGGTGGCAAGCGAGCAGGAGGTTCAAGTGATTTTAAGTGATATCCGCCGCCCATAGACATTTGCAACACAGGGTTGCAGATGCATTGCCACCTGGTAATAAACTGGTACCGCAGGAAATCAGCGTGAAGTTTAAGTATTAGTGCATTATACTTTCGCGTTTCGTCTAGCGGTTGAGGTGGATGAGCCCACTTTTTTAAAGGTTGTTAGAGCATCTGCATCTCATCTCTGCATCATTTTAAAGCTTGTCAAAGCATCTACAAGGCATCCGGTGCAAGGCTTGCAGATGTAAACTGAATCGCCTGCTCGTTTGACAAGTTTTGGCACAAAAAAACTTGTATCTTTGCCACATTTGTGTCGCAGAGATTGCGCATGCGAAACCGGCGAGCCGCAGCTCTTGTCCCAATACAAACCCACGCAAGACCAGACGTCGCAGCTGACTTCGCCGAACCAACGGCCCGCGATGCAACCACCGCAGGCGTCCGAAAGAAAACGAGTCAGTTAGTATCGGCACTGGTCCGCTTGTGACCTCTGTAGGACCCTTCTAGACTCTTCAGTGGGAAACAAAAAAAAATTGGAAAGTAAGACCTTCCAATTTTTTTTTCTGTACACAGTGTCACAGCTGTAGACAAGCAGTGTTTTTTGTTTTTAATTTCTAAGGCACTTGCTTTGATGCTTACCAATGGTTAAAATCATAATAACATTCATGGGGCGCGGTAATTACTTAAAATCAAGTGAACCGGCTGATCGCTTGAAAATTTTTCACATTACAAAAGTTGGGTTTAATAATGCTAGTTTAAACCATAAATAAATTAAATAAATATTATTTATTTATTTATGGTTTAAACTAGCGACACGGCTTCGCACGGGTGCAATATATTATGCATAAAACCTTCCTCTTGAATCAGTCTATCTAGTAAAAAAAAACCGCATCCAGATCCGTTGCGTAGTTTAAAAGATCTAAACATACATAGGGATAGACAGACAGCGGGACAACTTTGTTTTATACTATGTAGTGATACTACTTTAAATGATGCTGGAAGTAATCACAGCAAGTTAGCAAATAATCTAGTTGCGAATATTTGTGACCATCAACTTCATAATGTGTCTATTAACTCAATCGAGGAAAGGGACCAAAATGTACTGGTAAAAAATACTCTATAGCTGACCCGTTCTAATCTGCATTCATTTATCCTATAGCTATGAACACTCAGACTACGTTGAACCATAAAACTGCGTCTGGGTAAGTAATTTCAACATATTTTTTTTATTTCATGCAAATTTTTTGTAACTGGCTTTTAATCATCCACCATCCCATTAACCCAGTAAAAACCCATTTACTATTGCCTCGAAAGTGGTGTTGAAATTGTGTGGTATTTATATCATTTGTCAACTGGATTTTATCACGTGTCCATCGGTAAAGGAAAACATCCTGACTAAACCTGCATACTTTTGAAACAATAATAATTTAAAAGAATCTGTCAATCCGCTGTGGGGTCACGTGGTCGTTTCTTAACTAAAAGCCTCTACAAAGGATGCCTTTGCCCAGCAGTAGTATAAGCGTTATTTTACGATTACTGTTAATTAGAACTTTTTCTGTTGTTACTAGCACTGAAATTAATTGTCCCAAGGCAATGCCCCCTTTTACGGTTACACCGCGTCTCCGATGTGAGAGTGCTAATCGGGCTGTGGCTACTTCTTATTCTCTACTTATTCGTAAAACGGAAAGGAGTGAGTATCATTGGTGTTTACGATTATTACATAGATCCGTTATTCTGTCATTATTACTCCTGCAACCGTATAGGCCTGTTTTTTTTTTTTTTTTGACTTGTGACTTTAATTGTGATTCCTCTGATGATGCAAATGTCCACGGGCGACGGTGATCGCTAAACATCTGGTGACTCGCTTGCTCGTTTGCCACCTTTTTTCCATAAAAAAGAAAAATTCAGTAACTATAATCAATTTGGCTTTAAGATGTTACTGTGCTAACAGTAATACAAGGTTGTGTTACCTTATATAGAGTGTTAGTGTTGTATATAGGTTCGATATACATAATTTTTTATGTAAAATTTGACGATTCATAAGAGCGTGCAAGCGTCTATTTGAATAAATGTATTTTTGATTTTGATTTTATTGTTCAAAACCTCTCAATTGTAATCAGATAACCGATTTGAACCCATTGATTGTTTTTACTTTTTACTTACACTATATAGTACTCAATATTTGAAAAAGAAACATACTCAATACTTTCATGTTTTCACCAAAGATTTTAGAGCTATAGAGCGGGCTATGTTCGGTATTTCTCTGCGTGAAAGATATACCGTTCGTACCGAAGACATTACAAGCAGTCAAAGGTAACCGACATAGCTCAAAAGAACAAGCTGAAGTGGCGATGGGCCGGCCATATACCTCGTAGAACCGATAACCGATGGGGAAGAAAGGTTCTCGAGTGGCAGCCTCGTACTGGCATCGCAGTGTAGGACGACACCCCACTAGATGGAGTGACGACCTGTGCAAATGTACGGGTAGTCGATGGATGCAGGTGGCTCAGGATCGCGCTTCGTGACATTCTGTGGGGGAGCCTTATGTTCAACAGTAGGCTCTAATAGGTTGAAATGACTGATGGTGCTGATGATCATAAAGTGAATATATGGTAAAGACTTTAATATTTACTTTTAATTTGCAGTCATCTTGAGCCCAATGATAAATACAACGGATCAGCCGTCGACGTGAGTATCCTTTAAATGTTTTTTGATTTAGCATAATACCTAACAATTTCACAACTCTTATTTCTTTTGGTATCAACAATGTCTACTTGACGCCATCATCACATTTTTAACACAAACCGACAATTCCTAAAAATTTAATTTTAAAGCTAATTTCCTAAAAATATGCACGTAATTTGGTTAGCCGAGAAAATTCCTACTATTTTTAAGGATTGCTTTTGTAATTGGAAACGGTCAGATTTAATCGCTAGATCCTTCTCCAGAGATACATTGCTTTTTCTTATATTTAAATATTATATTTAACCGTGGTAGGGCCACGCCGCAGCATGGATGGGCAGTCTGGCCGTGGAAGCACCGAAGGGAAAGTATTGTACTTTCGCGTTTCGTCTAGCGAGTGAGTTATCCGGGCCACTTTTTAAAAGGTTACACACACCCTTGGGTGTTGCAAATATCTATTGGCCACCGCCCATATTGGCAACCACCTAATAAGGCGAATATAGAATAGGTATATTTCTATAATTACGGCATCGTATCATAATGTATAGCGTTGGCCCGAGCAACATCGTCCAGACAGTTTTTCGACCATCGGAACACGCAAACGAACGAAACCCGATCGACATCGAAATACCTCTGCCAGTTTTCCCTAAGAAGTTTGGAACGCAAGCTAAAAAACTGGAATTTAGTGAGACATTATCAATTTTTAACCTGTTACATTTTTAAGGGTTCCATACCCAAAGGGTAAAACGGGACCCTATTACTAAGACTCCACTGTCTGTCTGTCACCAGACTGTATCGCATGAACCGTGACATTTAGCCAGTTGAAATTTTCACAGATTATGTATTTCTGTTGCCGCTATTACAACTAATATTAAAAAACAGAATAGAAAATATTTAAGTGGGGCTTCCATACAATAAACATGATGATATTGTATAAAGGATGAACTATTGGGCTAAGACCTATCTATAAGGTTTCCTTTCTGCCTCAACGACAAATTCGCTAGATTTCTATGGTCGTTTTTCTATTACCAACGTTGTTTTTCAAGAGAAATAAAAAAAAAACTATTGCTTAATAATGGATAGTTAGCCGTTTCTTTAATACGTTTACATAACATTAATCGAAAGTTTATTAAAATTAAGCTCAGAAACGTGGTATGTCCCGCTAACAAGTCCCACTGCCGAACAAATAAGGCCACGGAATATAAAGAGCTTTTGTAGTACTAAATTGTGTATTGGCGATCATTGATTCATTATTGAAATATCAATTGATCTAAGTTATATGAAGCGAGGGCAGCCACTGCGATTCGTGGCAGGTTGTTAAACGGTTTTATTAAGCTCGACCCGTACGGAATTTGTTTGTTTATTTATTTGGGTCAAAATTAGAAATTGAAATTTAAGCACCTTGCCGTTGTCAGATTGATCTGAAATTTGGTACACACATTTAATTTAGATGACAATACAATATTAACAAAAAAAATTTAACAAAAAAAAAACATGAAATAAAACCGTTTAACTTAAAAGTTTTTTAAAGTAATTATTTTTCAATTGATGTCGATGACATCTTAACTCTTTGTAATATGTATTTTGAAGGTCAAGGGAAAGCGACGTACTCACCGCGGAAAGGTCAAAAGTAAGCTTTTTTTTAATTTTTGCTTTTATTTATTTAATTTTTTTAGAATGAAAATGGTAAAGGAAATGAACAACGGCCAACTTTTAAAACGAAATATGATGCGAACACTGTAGTTTTTTTTACCATTACGCATCTTGATTAAAACTTGTTAACGGTGATTAATCTAAATGATTAAAACAAATGTAACAAGTCTATAGTGTTTAACGAATGATTGTTTACGACTTTCTTACGACTTTTTCACTTACATACCGTAGTGTGTTTTTCTATTTGACGACGGAAACAAAGAGTTTTAAATTTTAATTATATTAATATTAATCTGTATAGTGCAATTTAAATAATTTGCCATTTTTATAATATAACCGTATCGCATTTAAATTTCCTCTGCACAATACATACGTGAAGCAGATTGCGTGACGTTATTTCATAAATGACACTTATTACAAAGATGTTCATGTTTCTCGATTTTCAGTGAAACTATTTTATTTTCTATAAGTTATTGATTAAAATATGTAGAAAAGGTTAAATATATTATTGATTATTGCGCGATGTCCCCTTCTTTAGCAGCCGTATACTGGTCCATTAATCAAAGGCAAGGTCTATCCATAAATTATTGTCTTTTCTTGTTTGAAATTTTCCAACGGCTTATTCAAACCGTAACATTTGCTTTGCATTTGCCGTGCAGCATCGGCAATCGCGAAGTCCACACGAGGCCTTACGTGTTCAGGCCGGGGCACACTGAGGACAATTCGCCCGAAGATCCCACGTTGCCACCGTGCCCGGACATCAAGCCGCTTTCGCCCTGCGCACTGGCCGCGAGGCGAGAGAAAGGTTACTGCCTCTCCTGACCTAATCGTGATCTGATGCGCGTCGGTACAGCCAATGATATTATATAAAAATCCGAGGTAGATAGAACACTAGTGAATTGAAACTGCGGCACTCAAATGACGCCAATTGATGTTATTAGATTGCGATTCAATAGACAGCTATCTCTTTCCCTATCACACGTTCTGAATCATATGTCACATTCACTTATATATGTCGTATAATGTAAAGTGGAACAATTTTTAAACGTCTCGCAGCATGAACGTCATTGGGTACGTCAGTGAGCAGCACAACTGGTGGTAAACAAGCACCACAGTCTAAGATTTACACATTTAAGACATTATCATCACCAGTGTTTTTACTAAGTGCTCTCGTTGTTGTCATGAAAACGCAACTTTTTGAGTCTGTGGCGCTTCCCCAGTCGTACGGGTCCAGACAGACAACAATAACAATAAAAGTAGCTGTGCCAATTTGCCACTGTGTCCTTTAGTGTCTGTAACGTGAATGTCTGCCTGAACCGTTATGAATAATTCTTCACCCTGCAAGTTCAGAAAAAGCTTTTTGCATTTGTATATCTAACACATACCTCATACTGAAGAGTCCAAACATGTGATAGCGCTTGCAGCTGATGTTTAATGACAATTTTTCTCCAGAGAACGAGTTGGATTCGAGGAGATCTTTGAACTTTGATGAACAGCGGACGAACAATGTTGAACGGCGAATGGACGAACCAACGGATACCCCACCACAAATCGAGGATCAATGTATCAATGACGACTTCGACAGGGAGTCGTTGAGCTTCATGCAGGACGAAGAATACAAGCAATCAATCACATCACCGTGAGTTAAAAGACATTTCAATGCTAGATTCCCGCACATCGAAAGGCTTACGGCCTCTTTTACAGCTGGCAGGAAATATCGGACGAATCGCCTGTGCTTTAATTTAACGTGTCCAATTGAACACTTGTCTCGTACTTGTCTTTGTTTTATGGGAGAAGGTGGCTAGCGAGCTGGCGGTTCAGCTGATCTTAAGTATGACCGCCGCCCATAATACATTCACTTCACGCCACTCCTGAAGACCGTAACGATCAATTAAATATTCCAAAGAATTGTAGGTAATATAGATCTTTGTAGATATAAGACAATTAACCAAATACGGCGTGTATTGATACAATATACCTAGTCCGATCATAAGACATAAGATCATAAGCTGTCACAGGTTTATTGTGAAATAATGTTTTTTTTTACAATATCCATTTATATGCCAAAAGGAAACTACTAAAACATAGATTCTTATATTTACCAAGCTTTTTCAAAATGATTCCGGTGGTTTTGACACAAGCCTTTTTTTTTTTTTTTCACGGAGTCACCACTCTGATCGTTCGTGAACATAAAATCCCCTTTCTATCTCCTTGTAGGAAAAGTGGATGAATACCTTTGGTACTATTCTACTACTAATATTATAAATATAACCGCGATCACCAGACTTTTATTTTTCACAGAAAATGTGTCTTCAGGCTGCCTCAGTCAAAGCCAGTCGAACGTCCTCCGCCAGAAGTGGAACCGAAACTGGAAGAGAATGGTAAAAATGCTCTGAAAATATTATTTACGGCCAAAGCTATTTTTAGACAACAAATTTTGAAAATGGTCTCACATCACAGTATAATTAGTTCAGAGTATAAGTATTATTTGGTTGTAACACACCTACCCAGTTACCTCACATAATTTGTCTGTAATCTTATGTCAGAGGTTTGCTGGTAAAGAACTCTTTTTGGGGTTAAGCTCGCCGTTGTTCCTTTTTCTTAACGACAAATTACACTAATGAAAGATAATATTGTTCTACAATAAGGGCAACGTTTTTTTGTAGAAAAGTCAATAAGGTAAAATAATTGAATGCCAAATTTAGATGCCTAATAATAAAATATTTACTGCATCAGTTCAGTAAGGTTTCAGGGGACTAAATTCACCAAGATTGAGTCGATTATCGCATCTGTTCCTAGTATGTTATTTTCAATATTATATATGTAACAAGCATTTTGTTCAACCATATATTATAAGTTATATAAGTACATTAATTGTAAAATAAGTAAAAAAAAGAAAGAGTAAAGTAGTAAAAGAGGAAAAACGAAAGAAAAAAAAAATTGAAAGCGGGTAAGCAGGTCGTCTGATAAACGCATCTGATGAGCGATTACCGCCACCCATAGTCAAAAGTCTAAGCAACACCACTAATATTTCGACGCGTCGATGTTTTCTCGGACCAAAGAAGTTTATTGTAAGTAAAAATAAAGAAAAATAAATTGAAAAATAGAGCTTTCTTCTAATAAAAAAAATACAGTAAAGAACAAGAAAAACGATTATTATTACGATTAATCTAAAAGATAATAAAGAAAAAAATATTGGTGAAACATTATTTTTATAAAAAAATTCAGAAATAATATTTTTTAATAGAAAGTTTAACCACCGTAATTATTTAGAACCGTAATTATTTGAATAAAGATTTTTGATTGATTGAGCAGGCCACGGCACAACTTGATTGTTCTCCACCAAGAGCCATTCTTAGTCCCCCTGGCTGTATGGCAGCGAGCACTGTCATGCATCAGAGTAAAATTTGAGCAAATACTCTGTGAAAATGAAAGAACGTTATGCCAAGAATGTTTTTGACGTAAGAATCAGCGTCTCCGTTGCCATTTATCAAAATGAGTCATCTCCCTGATTCCCGCACAAACTATATGGATACACTTCTGAACACACCTTAGTCGTTCAGTGTCTTCAAGACAGTAGACCCTTATTCGAATCCAGTCTAAACGCATATCACGCATCACATAATAGGATTTTATCACATTACACCTTCAGTCACTGCACACGCTGCCTTCACCACGCTGTGGGCTCGATTTCCATGAGGGATTGGTATCAAATAGCTGATGCCGTACGTGAAGGCCATAGTCGTACAGTCTGTTTCATAAAATTTGGATGCTAAAGTGCTAAACTGGTTTTAAAGTGGTAGCGTGGCCAACAGTCTTCGCTGTTGCATGAATGGGCAGGTCCGTCCGGGTAAGTACCACGACCTCACAGAAGACCGGCGTGAAGTGGAAGTGTTATACTTCTGCGTGTCGTATGATGAGCGAGGTAGCCGGGGCCCACTTTAGTAAATGGTGGAACTCATTTGCAGCTCTACGGTGATGCAACATGCATACGGTGGTTATCACCTAAGTTCCCGTAAACTACCAGCTCATTTGCCACCTTCTCAAAAGTTTTTTTTTAAAAAAAACATAATTTTAATAAATTATTTTATAAAATATTACATATTTTATCGTGTTGCTTAGACTTTTCTGATAGGTACGAGTATGTAATGGTACTATATACCGATCAATTCACGATGGCCTTCTGTGAATCCGTGGCACTTGCTAGGACGGGCGTTTGTCCATTCGTCATGTACAAGAGAAACTGCTGCGTGGTCTTACCCTACAGTTACATTGTTATCTTTTAGACTTTGGTTGATTGGTATACTACAAGCTTAAATTACTTATTGCTGTCGTTAATAACAATATTTTGTTTGATTTTCTCATCTTACCCTCATTTTACAGCATCTGGTTCTATGTCTTTTACAAGAAATCGCTCAATGTAAGTACAAACTATATGCTATTAGTAATTTTTTTAATGTTCGTAAAAATTAAAATTATCATTCAAATGGTAAATAATATACGGTAAACTGATAATGCGACATTAGCTTCTCTAAATTTTTAATTTTTTTTTTGTTATTTAAAACTAGCTGATCCGGCAAACGTTGTTTTTCCATTTAAATTATTTCTAGGGAATTTTTTAATCTGAAAACATAGAAAAAGAAATTTCGGGACGCACGCATAAAATGTTTGACAGGTAGGAACAGTTTGTATGGGAAAATAAAATTGTTGATATTTCTATTTTCCTTGCAATTTTTCCATAATTTCTCGTCGTTTAAACCTTTCCTGGACTGCCACAAATATTTCAAAACCTTTTTTAAACCTTTCCTGGACTGCCACAAATATTTCAAAACCAAAATTAGCCAAATTGTTCCAGCAGTTCTCGAGTATTAGCGAGACTAACGAACAGCAATTTTATATATATAGAAGAAGAAGATTTATTCGTAATCAAGATATGTTTTAAAAATAACAGCTGAAATGTATGAATAATAAACACATTAAAACTTTTTTGACAATATTTCTCCTATCGACTTGGAATATTCATGACCAATATTCTGAAATAATTAAAATTAAAATTATTGATGATTTATCGTATGTATATTAATGGGTTTACCGCGTAAATCTGAGAAATTATTAGCATTCCGTAAAAAGTATCCAGAGCGTATTTTTAATAAAAATTAAAATATTTTAGGCGACACAGAGTGGCTCCTAAGACGGAACAGTCAACGTGTGAGAGAAGATCTCATATCTGCGGTGAGCCATTACAATAATCCCATGTAACTTACTGAAATAAAACCAGTTGAAATGATGTCACATTAATATTTCAGAAGAGGAGGATCAAGCCACGGCGCGCCAGTGTAAACAAGAAAGGCGTGCAATAATGAGACGAGAGGTCCCAGTTAGAGGGGAAAGTCCAAGAGCACCCATGCGGGGTGACTTTCAACGCAGGCGAGACTTACAAGACAAGCGTATACCTCTGGAGAGGCAACAAAACCAAACGCATGAAAAGGGAAGGCAGGAAAACTTGGAGAGGCAGAGACAAGAAATGATTGAAAGGCGGGATTACTTAAAGAGATGTGAAGAACAACTGAAAAAAGAAAGCAACAACAAATTCAAAGTTAAATCGGGGTAAGTGGCACAGTTTAAGAAATGCAAAGATATTGGTGGCGCAGTTACTAAGCTGCTGGCTTATACATGGGGATTACTGGTTCAATTCCCACACGGAACAAGTATTAGGGTGGTGCCGTCAGGTAGGTGGCGATGGTATTAACAAAATAATTGACATGTGTCGACCTCATCTCAGTGGAATAATGGCAGCAAAAAGAAATTACAACCAGCCAAGTGCGAGTCGCACTCGCGCACTACCGGTACCCTACCATTATCTATAAAAAGGCAAAAAAATAATGTCTGCTATATGGGAGCCACACTGAAATATTTTTTATTCTGATTTTTTAGTATTTGTTGGTATAGCGGCAATAGAAATACATCATGTGTGACAATTTTAACTGTCCAACTGTCATGGTTCATGCGATACAAACTGGTAACAGACGGACGGACGGATGGACAGACAGACAGACAGACAGACAACGTAGTCTTATCAATAGGGTATCGTTTTACTCCTTGAGTACGGAACCCTAAAAAAAATTTGCAACCAACTTAATTTCAAGAATCTTAGCGCCGTGATAATGTTTAAAGAATAGACTACAATTTGTACTATTATACTATTAGTCATTGCGTAATGAAAATAGTACATCTTATTTCATGCAGGATTGTTCCTTGCAGTTATGACCGCCATTACTTTAGTATTTAAACCTATTAATGACAAAGTTAGTGTCTCCAGTTTGACTGATTGCAGCTACTGATTATGTACTAAATTATTTAATTTATAATATATTGTGTGTAATGAGGAAAGGAAATAAGCCTATAATATAATATGTGCACAAACTGAATATCAATCCATACTGTTATTTAGCGTCATTTGTGCATTTTTCAGTCGAAAGAATTTGGAGGTACCACACGAAACTCGACCCCAAACTAAAATCGAATGCGAATGCAATAAGGCATGCAGTAAGTTTTTTTTTTTAATTTTTGTCTTTTGTCTCTTTTTTACGTCAACAAGTTTTGTGTGTGTTGTGAAATACGTGTTAATTTTTTTTTTGTTTTATGTCGTAATGTGCCGCAGTTATGAACGCTTTATTAACAAAAAGATTTCTACTATCAACTTCTTTTTTTTAACAATTTTATTACGTCGTAGTCTATACGGGGTTAAAAATATTTAAAACATTAAAATCCATAATAGTAACAACACCTTTAATAACATTAATTATATCATTTTACATTTATTATTTTTGCTTGCTTCGCTCATTTTTCACTGACTAACACAGTCACTTCACTCTTTTAGATACCAAGGGCCACAACGCTCAAAAATCCACGCTCATGTAAGTATACTCACAAGTAGGACATATTAAATAGCATGATCTCAAGTCTTCGACCGTGATGAGTTGTTTAGCTACTTAGTAATTCTCGTAGACTCAACAAGCCCAAAACAAATCCGAATGCCACGGATTGAACCTTTGACCTCAGCTCGCCCCCAACTAGCGTGCTTAAACATTAACTTATTTTCTTAAATCGAGATTCTGTATCATGCATGAATAATATTACTTATGATCGATTTCCCGCGTATACTACGAGATGAGTTTATGCAATTAATTATTCTTTCAACTGTTTCACCAGCGACAACCTATCCGATGCCGACTGTAGGGACAGGCAGAATCAAAGATCCAAAAATGTGACAAGGACGGCGTAAGTGTGCCCTTCTAACTTGATTTCTTGATATATGAAATTATGAAGTACTGTATTATAAGTATTTCTTTCTCCTTTGGCTGGGCCCACGCAGCTTCCACTGTTGCATGAATGAGCTTACTTGTCAAGCGAATGACGTACCTCATAGAGGACCTGCCTAAAATAGTTTTTTCGTACTTTTTCATATGGCCTGGTGGGTGAGATAACCGGGACCCCATTTCTAGTCTGGCAACGCAATTGCACTCGTGAAGTTGTAGTTTTAAGCGGCAGTAGTCTCTCGCACCACTGTTCACTTGACCTACTTTAGATGGATGTAGAATCTAACCATTGGCACTGTTGTTTATTTAGATGACATTGAAAGATTCTCTATTTCAATAAGAAAGACAATATTTTATATTTATGAAACATTGTTTTTTAATTTAATAATTAACTATATAGTTTTGTATGAATTCAAAACCTATTCTGCCCTCTGGTTTTTAATTTCCGTTTCAAAACAGTTAATTTCATTTTAAACAGCCAGTGCCTGTCCTCCAATATATCTGTTTATCGTTTTACTGCACCATTCGACTGTACTATTACTGGCAGTAGCTGCTGATCTTTGTTTAAATCTTGCGGTATCTAACGGTTGCAAAGCTTCGGAATCTTTTCGCCCTTACTGTATTATTCTGTGTAGTAAGGACGTTTTACATACATAAATTTAACTTAGATAAACTCCCAGATCCGAAATCTGTTGTTAATTATCTGTTGGTCACACAAATAGTTGTACCGTGTGGGAATCGAACCAGCCGAATATATATATGCGCAATACCTTGGCAACTGCGCCACGGAGTCCTCTGAATCTTCAGATTTACATGAAAAATAGTTTGCACCTGGCTCATTCTCATTAGTATGAGAAAGAGCCAAGTGCACAATATTTTACAGTACGAATTTGCAGTTTTCAGTTATATTTTTATTTCTTTTTTATCAGTTTCAACCAGTTAAATTGAAATTTCTTAATCGTTATTTTTGCTATTTTATTTTTGCTATATCAGAAACTCAGTACTTAGAACATAAGTTAAAATGTTGACATTCGATAAATATTACACTGTATATAAGAAATACTAGCAAAAAAGGAAATAATATAATTTTTATCCTCACAGTCAACCCCCGACGAGGTCGTTTAGGAATACGAAAAACAAATCAGACATGCGTTGCTCCTCGGGAAATGATAGCGGTGAGTTGCTTTTAAAGTTGAATGACCTTACTTTGTTTCGAAATAATTTAGGTTATTGAATAGCTACCTACCAACACGAATAAACATCATACTTAGATACTTACCTCAATCACTTAACAATGTTATCTAAAATAATGAAAAATAGACAGAATAATTCTTATACATTACATAAATACATTAGTGTGGGAATGGAATGCGAGCGGAGACTGAGTGAAAGAATTAAGAAACGAAATGAATGAGTCGATTGTAGGTTGAATGAGTGATTGATAGTGAATGAATGAGAGGAGGGATAAAAAAGCAAGATGGCGATTCTGTTACGACGCGAGTAAAGACGAGGACGTTCTCTAAATATATATCTGTAATAATCATATTTAGTAACGGTGATTAAAGTTTATATTCTATTGGAAACGAGTCTACTTATTGCTACGAGCACGCTTTCCCACATTAGCATGTAAAACACTTCGATCTTCCCCGTGGGCGGGGATGGTGTACTGTTGGAAACGTTGAGAAATTTAACGACAAATACATGCGTGTACAACTTTTATTTACAAATAAAAGGTAGGCTCAAAAATTTTTCTGAATTATGATTCAACATAAGCGTAATCAAGAATAGATTACAATTCTGCAATAATATAAAAAAAACTGAGTATGGGGTAACACACAATTCTGTAGATGATGCAGCGCAATCGAAGTTCAGCAGAGATTGCAGGACTACTGGCAATGGCAAGCCTTCTGTTAACGGAAGGCCTTCTGCTAATGGCAGAACTATGCTTAATGGCAGACCCTCTCCCAATGGCAGAACTGCTACCAAAATGGTACCTCGATCGGTGCCAAGAGGCTTCCCCAGGGTAAACAGTCGAACCACAATGAGAAATAAATCAGCGTAAGTACACTGAGAGACTTGTACTCTATAAACTTATTAAATTGTCTATATTTTCTTGAGAAAACACTAAAAAAGAAAAAGAAAGAAAAAGTAGAAAAAATAAGTTCTGAAATAGAAATCACAATCACAATTTTTTTCCAATCACTACGATGTGTTTAAATTGTTTTATTTTATGGTTCCTTAATGTTTTATTATTTTATGGAGAGCTTATTGTACCAATCCCTTACAAAACATAACTTAGATATACACAGTTATTGCTGGTTTGTTCGATTGCTATACCAGACACTAACACCAAACGGTTGGCCCTAAATTATTCTATAATCCTACTAAAAAGGACTTGCATTTGCGCAGGACTTGGAACGTTCAGAGCGAAAGCGAAATAGGGGAGGGAGGCACCTATGACGCGTCGCGCAACATTTATACGACCACTTCAAGGTGATTATAGTCCATCAGATCGAACAAGCACATTTTATCTTTTCATATTTTCCCTTACGGGAAGTCTTATAATCTCACACAATCGATCTCGAGAAGAAATATGAGGTCAGCTTAGCTTAGAACTTCGTTGGCTTTCAGTACAATGTGATCAGTTCCATAACATAACATTGATCCGATGTGACCTTTGTTTCAAAGATTCGTTTAGTTACAACATTTTTGTGTCAATGTTATTGGTCATTGGATTTCAGTTAAAATGTTATCATTACATAAATATCACTGAAAGACTTGCACGAGAAGGAACCTCTCCCTATAGTTTCGAGACTGGTTGTACTTTGTGTTTGTAGAACCACTCACTGAGATATACATAAGTCTAAAAACCTCATGGGGAATTTATTTTATATATCTCTTATATATTACTTTCTGTTGTTTTAATTGTGTAGTTTTTGCGGACATCATTATCTATCGCCAGTTGACTTTAAATAGGTTCGAGAAAACACGGCGATATTCAATCTCATTCCAAATGGTAGGGATAGTTTGTTGGGCTTATACTAACTGTGAATCCGAAAATATTAAAAATCTTCATATTCTCTTAGGCACATCGCCACAAAACTTAATTTCAATGAAATGGTATTTATGAACAATAACTTCATTTGTAAATCTCACACAGGACGGTGCTCCCTACGGGCAGACGCAAGCAAACACCGATGAGAAATGAGTGCTGCGGATGTGGTAAGATCTTCATTATCTATAGATAGACGTATCAGTGAAAAAGATCCAATATCAGCAACTTCGTTTCAATCAGACAGTGAATTAGTTGAAAAATTAACAAGGCTGTTCCAAATTATACAAGTATTCTTACAAGGCAAAAATGTACATTCTGATACTGAATATTTGTTAACTTTTTCTTCTTTTTATTTGTTTTAAAAAAATGCCCTTACTTTAGAATGAGATTATCCTTTGTTGTACGGACGTTTTACGTACACAGATTTCACCTGGACAAAACCGAAACAATTATCTGTTGGTCACACAAGTGGTTGTCCCATGTGGGAATCGAACCCGCAACCTAAGTCAAAACCTTTGCAACTGCGCCACGAGTCATCGAGTTAATTGGCCAGTGCTTTTATTTTTCTACTCATAAAATATGTCAACGCAGACTGTGGTGACTTTGGGTCTTGAGCTGTTTCAAAATGAGCTCGTACTTTGTTGTCGTCTTATTTTGAATTCTTTTTGCGGATTAATATTTTGTATGATGTGCTTTTGGAAAGTCAATACTTACTACAACATTTTCGAACATATTCGATGCACTGGAATCTTGAAATAAATGAACTGTAATCGAGGTTGTTTACTAAGTAAATAAGATCCTGCCAGTATTCAAATTATGTAAGCTCTTAGTAAGCTTTGCCCTTAAACATGAAGTACATGAAACAAAAATACTAAGATGGGGTGTCTTGCTTGCATAATGCAAATTGATCTTGCCTGAATCAGGTCCGCTACCTCATATTTTTAATTTTTTACTATCGAATATTACTATCACGTGGCACATAAAACTTCACTCATCGCAGTTTTCACACTCTTCCAGCTGATAGGCCGACGAGGCCGCCGACGCTGAAGCTAATGCCGTCACCGCGTTCTTCTAACATGTCCTGCAGCAAATCTTCGTGAGTGCCTCTTTTTTTTAATGGAAATGGAGACAAACAAAACAACGGGTCACCTGATAGTAAGTGATCACCACCATTTTTAGGTGTTAGGACTACGCAACAGTATTCGCTGTTGCACGAATGGGCATGTCCGTCCGGATTAGTACCACGACCTCACAGAAGACCGGCGTAAAGTACAAGTGTTACACTTCTGCATTTCGTCTGGAGAGTGAGGTAGCCGGGGCCCACATTATTAAAAGGTGGAAACACATCAACCGGTGTTGCAAATGTCCGTGGGCGGCGGTTATCACTTAACATCAGGTGAACGGCCAGCTCGGTTGCCACTTTCTCACATTAAAAAAAATCACCTATGGACACTTGCATACCGCTACCACGATATTAGGGTGTGGTTGTCGGCCTCTCATATTTTCTGATCATTAACTCGCACAATTGTACCCAGTAGAAACTTTTAATATGTGATTCCGTAGCCTTGAGGGACCGAACATCTCTCTTTCAAAACCATGCGAAAGGAAAGTTTTGTTTCTAGTTCTCGTAATACGTCACTCAATTAACCAACTTCTGGTTTCCATCCTCACAAACAAAAATCTGTGTTTCATATATTCTTTTTAACACTAACTGTACTTTTTGCCCGCGGTTTAATAGGTGTAATATCATAGTATTACGTCAAATTCATTCCTTTTTTCGTTTCATGTTTTTAATATAATACGAATATTCATGTTTAATTCATGTATAATATTCATGTAGACTTAAGTCTTTAGTGTTAAGTGATGATAGATTTTATCAGCAAATCTCACGATAGTAGATGATAGCCAAATCAATTGTACAATGTACGATACTAGATTGTGTCCAATGTTTACATTCGTTTGTTGCGTGACTTCCGTACCAATGATGGTTTCGACGTATTTAGATCGAACGTAGTTTGGATACGGCGATAAGTCGGGTCGTAGTTCTGTCGCGGTTTATTGTGAAATAATTGAATCATGTTTGTTGACAGATGTGGTTAACTATTTGAATTCATCATTCTGGTCATTAAGAAGATCATTCTGAATTTTAAAGTTTTTTATAGTGCTAATCTCTACACTTAAGATTGAACATTAAAACATGTAGAAAAAGTGCGAAAAGATTGTCGCCGCTGTGGGAATCGAACCCACGTCTTCGGCATTCGCAACCTGACGCTCTAGCCATTGAGCTAAACGGCTGATAGCCACAGCGACGAAAATCTTAACGCCTTCATTCTACATTGTTATTTAGCATTTGAAGCAATGCTTGGCGATTCCCACAGCGGCGACAATCTTTTCGCACTTTTTATACATGTTTTAAAGATCATTCTGATCAATTCAAAGAGTTTAACAATAATTTTGAAAACTCAAATGACATTTGAAAAGCTATTTGATAGTTGTTAGTTATTTTCTACGATAAATATTGTATCACAAACCGGGCGTAAGTATATATGAGACCCCGCTTGACTTTAAACGAATTTAATTTTACTTATACCCGAATTGACCCTTCCCAGTGGATCTGTTAACGCATTTAGACCAATATACCACTTGTTCGCGTTGCAGATGTTGCACGTGCCCACCCGAGAGGAAACGCAAGCGCCCTAGTGCATTTAGATCTGACCGCGGTAAGAATAAATTAAAAATATATTATTGCCTATAATTTGATTACACCAACCTCTCGGACTGCTATTGAACACCGTGTTATTACGCCAAATATATCGGCCGTTGTCGTGGGTTCGATTCTCACACGGGTCATGTATTTGTGCGACCCACAGTCAATTGTTCCGGATCTGATTGATCATCCTCAACTCAGAATGTGCTCAGACAGACGGCCGGTCGTGAAAAAGTTAGCCAATGCCATCAACACCTATATGCAACACCCCACCTGGGTGTTGCAAATGTCCATGGTGACGTTTATCACTTAACATCAGGTGAACCGTCAGAACGTAAGGAATTATGAAATCAATAGTGTTCAATTTTCATTTATGAAATTATAACAGAATTAACAGATTTGACTCGCAGTTAATACTAAGAAACTGCCTCAGTACTGATTTATCTTTACTATCTTCTACTTTAACGTTTAAAGTTCTCGTTTAAAATTCGATCTGACTACATATTTACATGTGCTTTAGTATATTACACTTTATTTTATTCTCCACCACTTTTTACAGCAAGGAAACGGTCTGCAGCGCGTGCAAGGTAAGGTTCATGCTCTCACTTCGACTTTAAAATCAAATAAAAAATCATAGTTCTTCTGTATGCAGCTACCATTCTAAGGTACAAGTTTCCATCAATACAGTCACAGTTAAGTGTTTTCATCACCGTAGTGGCTTTACTTTACATCCCTCATCACCATAATTATTTCAAACTTTTTAGTCCCTTGCTAGAGGAGTCTATTCCCCACAGACTATCAGGAAGCACGATCTTGAGCCATCATGCATTTGCACTAGTCATCACTCCATCTAGTTGGAAGTCATCGTACGCGCCAGTTGATAATCTAGTAATGGCCTGCTCACTTGACAACTTTTCACTTAAAAAACACAGAATTGGCACCTTACGGTATATATAACGGCACGGTACGGTAAGTATAAGGAAAGATTATGGTATTAACTATGTTATTGCATTTTTATTACAGCAAGACGAAATGTCCACCCCCGCCTAAGTATGTCATGCCCGAAGAGTGGCAGGAGCTGTATGACGAAATGTCGTGAGTACAAACGATTCCGTTACAACGGTAATTTTAAAACGGTTTATGAGTCCGTCTCTGAGGTTAATATTTAAGCAACAGTCATTAAGGCTAAAAGACTTGATTAACATTTTGAAATTAGAAATGACAAGGCAAAGGAGTTTTAATGTAGAAAACTACCGACTAGTGCAATCAGATTATAGCTACGAGTTTCGTTAATAAGTTAAATAAAACCTCTTTGTAGATAGATAGACCCAGTTCATTATAAGAGGAGTAGAGGAATAGAAATGTTACCTAACCTAATTCCGTTTAATGTGGGAACTCGCACTCTTGCCGAATTTGAAAACTTTTTAAGGAGATTTTTTTTAATTATCTTCAGATCCGTACACACCGAATCGGAACAATCGCGCGCGTCTTGCGCCAGATTATCGCAACAGGACCTTCTAGATGACCTAAAGGAAGAACCGTCTCCGTGAGTAAAAATATTGTTTATGTTCACCATAAATTAAAAGTCTAAATAATAATTAAAGTCTAACGTAAGTCAATAATATAACGCAAGTCAAACTTATCTTCTTTATTTTTTTCATCTCAGAAGGTGGCAAGCGAGTGTGTGGTGAGGTGTACCACCTGATGTTTTGTGATAACCACCGCCCATTTGCATTTGATGATGAAGTTATGGGCTTCGGCGTCGGGGTCGTGGGTTCGATTCCCACACGGGACAACTATTTGTGCGACCCACAGATAGTTGTTTCGCATCTGGGTGTTTGTCCTCGTGCAATTTGCGTTTGTAAAACGTCCTTACAACACAGGATAATGTTTAAGTAACCTAAAGTGAGGGCAATGTTTTTATTTATTAATTGCAACACATATGTTTGCAGATGCGTTGCCACCTTTTAATAAAGAGGGCCCCGGCTTCCTCATTCCCCGGACGAAAAGCAGAAGTATGACACTTGCACTTCACGCCGGTATTCTGTGATGTCGAGGTACTTACACGGACGAATTCGTGCCAATGCGAAGACTGTTGGGTGGCCGTACCACCGATAAATATGTTAGTAATATTGTGAATGGCATTGGGTCTTATACGACAAGCCATTCACAATATTACTAAGGCCTGCCTAAGGTCAACCCTCCTTGGGAACTTTCTTACAGAAACAACATCAGTACACTTTATTCCAAACATTTTTGATAAGACACATCTCGTGCGCCAACTACAATGTTTACTAATGCTTAATGAGAACTACAAGAACAGGTGATTAACATTTTGTACAAGCTAATTAAAAGTAGCTATAGAAATCTTTTGAAAATGTTACTCTTATAAAAGAATTAGTCTTCCTGTTAGCGAACAAATTTTTTTTTCCATTTGCTAGTTAGGTACTAATCAATGTTCAACTTTAATTGCTCCAGTTCTTACATCCCAACACGCACTATTAAGCCCCATCGACCGAGCTATCTAAAAAAGAAACAGCAATCGGATGTGTAAGTATTATATTTTTGTATAGTAAGCATTTGTATAAGTTTAGTCTATGGTGAATATTGTAATACCAATGAACCAAGCGCTTTCATTTTTCTCTAGCTGTGGTGTAATAAACCAAGTGATTTCATTCGTACAGAAACATAGAGTAACATGAAATAATGGACTTTTTAAAAGTTTTTACTTAGTTACTTTATTTAGACTTTTTGTGGGACAAGGTAGCCGTGACAGATCAGTGTCCGGGCGCTCGCCTTTAAATCAATATTGTTCAACGCGTGTTTAAAATCCCGGTGCCAGCACCAGTAAATTTTTTTTAAATATTTATTGTTTTTATCACTGAATTACGTACTCAGCAATGAAGGAAAACATCGTGAGACAAGCTGCATATTTTAGAATTAATAAAAAAAACCTTGTGCACAGAGGAGGCCTTTACCCAACAGTGGGTGATATTGAGACATATATAGGCTGGTACTTTACTTTGTGGGACATGTATATATATATATATATATATATATATATATATATATATATAGCGTGTCGTTACCATCGCGACAATAAATGAACACACATATAGGGGATAACTTTTCAAAGTTGTATTAAACATTAAAATTCTTTAAACATCAATATTTACAGAGTTATTAAATTTTCCAAAACAAAGAATTTTAGAACACCCTTACCTATAAAAGCGTAACGTAAAGTTCATTTGTAAAGGTCACAATTCATATGAATGGGTTGAATGAATTTAAAGGAGACAAAACATACTGTTAGAAGGAGAGGTTTGTAATACGACGCTGTGGCGCGAGTTGTGTAGGATGTTACAAATTTTGTTTATTTTTTACTTAATTAGTTTGTTTGAAAAATATTTTTTTTAATTATGGATTTTGTTTAACGTTAATATTTTTTATGATTATTGGCAAGTAGCGTTAGACGTGTGTTCATTTATTGTCGCGATGGTAACAATCAAACTAATAATATTAGCATATATGCTATATCGTTAAAAACGATGCGTTCGTTGCTCAATATTGAATGCCGTATAGTATAAATACAAACGAAATTACCATCATACCGCAGAGACTTTAATCGTCGACCGGGGGACACTAAAAGAGATGGAAGAGGACGTAGATCTCCAACGGAACACAGATCGTACGTAATCACAGATAATACTGAACCCATATGGGATATCGGGCTACTATTAAATTTGGCGTTAATTAAACTAAACTTCATAAATATGGCACATCCATAATAATTATTATATATTTCAATAAATATTATATCATCTTTTAAGATTGTAATTAATATCTACTCGTTCTGAGAGTAGACTAACGACAATCAACAAGGATTCATTAAATGAAACGTTAAATCTGTTACTTAAATGTACAGAGTTACATTTCTTTCTGAGTTGTCATTTAACTAGCTTGATAATAAAATTATAATATTGTTTAAATGGCGATTAGGAATTGCTAATATTTATAAATAAAATGATAGAGGTCTGCCGTTGTGAGTTCATGAAGGAAATTATTCTCATTAACTCATAAATTCGTTAAGATTTATTCCTCGGACACTTGACCCTTATCTTATTATAAGAAATGTTAAGTTATGAATATTTTTAAGAAACGAAGATTTTTATAAGCACTACTTATTCAGTTATGTATGTTTTCTTGCCGTTGAATCGTACAAGCGGTGTAGTTGATAAAATAGTAAGCAACGCAGACGAAGTCGCGGGTAGCAGTTAGTTAAAATAACAAAAAAATGTCTATTTCAAAAATATTTCAATTATGCCAATCCGTAGTGGTGGATCCACAGAGGATGCCTTTGCCTAGCCGTGGGAGATGTCTAGAATGTTACTTCACTTTAACTATAACTTCAATTTGAGATTTATTGATTCTGAAACTTTCACAAATGCTATCACGTTCATTGAAGTAAGCACTTATTGTCTCTTGAGTCCGGCCGTATATGATACAAGTACATTTTTGCGAGTATTATTAACAAAATACAAAATCTATTTCAAATATCTACTCACTACACATTTTCTATTTGTTTTTGACAAGTGCCCCGATGTATCTCCAGATTCTAAGGTCTAACACCAATGAAATTTATATGCTGCCACATGGGAGCTAAACCGAACGCAATGCAAAAATATTTTTTAAAATCTGTTCATAAATGACGGAGGTCTGAGCTAGCAAACATAAAAAAACATACAACCGAATTGATAACCGCCTCCTTTTTTGAAGTCTAAAAACATAAGTATTAATTTTATTGCGTTGCTGGTTTTTAATATTCACATTCCGTAAATCGTGTTACGGAAAATTTAACTGAACTATCTGTAAACAGGGCGAAGCGTGAACTTAGTCTGGATCGTTTGAATGAATTCTGCACACCGAAACTTCCACCAGATCCTACTGTACCGTACGTACCGTATTCGTAATTTCTCCAATATGTCCGCTTCATTTTCCTCTACGAATTTTTTCCATTTATGAAATAGTTTCAGCCTTAGATCGAGACTCTGAGGTTAGAGTTTCACGGTAGTATGTCGTAAAAGCAGGTGACGATGTTGTAGAAAATGACAAACATGGCAATGACTTATCAAAAATGCAATTGTGTTTATAAAATGATACTGCTTTATAAATTGTAATTCAGGGTTATTGTGTACAGCTTAATAAAAGTTATGATCATGAAGAAGATGGCGATGATGATAATGATGAGTGCCGTTATACTGCTAAGGTATTTACTTCAGTTAGGCCTCTATGGCCGTCTCGGCCCTGATTGTACCATCAAAAATCAGTGGTCGTTAATGTGTTGCTATGCTTCCTAAACAAGCATACTACATTTATCCACAAGAGATCAGAGTCGCCCCATTTGGTAGCTTGTTGTTATCTCCGAAAATTTAGGTAATGTTGATAGATCAAGAACTCTGAGTATATAGTGAAATATTTCAGAGAACAGTCTTTGCTACATTTATTAATATTGGAATCACAAGTTCTTTTGAATAGCCGTTTGTGAATCAAAATCTTTCAAATAAAAGATTGCCGGCTTTACTTACATACCTCACTGAGTACCTAAAATAACATCGTAACCTACATAAATTCTGTCAACTGGAATTTATAATTATTGTATTTCACATGAACAGGAGTGATTTTTCACTGCTTGGCTAATAACGGCAGATTTCAATATTCTGTATATCTGTAGGTTTGGTCACTAGCGATAGGTATTTGACATTAACAACTTAATTCTTACGTCAAAATTCTATCTCCAGTAACCAAATCTACGGATAGATAGAATATTGAAATCGGCCGTTAATGATGGCGCTTACCGTCGTGATCTAATAACGGAGATCATATTATATATAATAATAAGAATACGTCACTACTCAGTGAAAGCCCATTCGCGCTTCCTTTGAAGTCACAAGTGATGGTTTGTTTAGTTTAATATACACAGTTTTTGTAACAATCTAAATGCTTGGACAGTAGTTACACAAGACACACAGAGGAACGCTCGCCAAAGCAGCCTCGAAAAAGCAAACGGGAAGAGCAACCTAAAGATTCTCTAGATGATTTGAAGTAAGTGTTATACGACTTTCACCTTCTTTCCTAACGGGGTTCAAAGTCAAAATTAGCCTTAAGCTAGAACTGTTTTAGCTAAAGTCTTCTGTCAAAGGTTAACTTACAAATCAGTTTTCAAAACCTAACAGCGACACTGTCGCGGATATCTGATGGATTCTTTTTAACTGACAAATTAATCATTAATAAAAAGGGTACCCCGGGTTAACTATGACATTCAGACGTTCAACGCCTCAGTCTGTCCCATGTGATGTAACCATGAACACTGAATTGAACACGGGGTTTAAAATTTAAAAAAAACGCGATAAATCCATAATAATAGTTTCATTTAACTTTCTTTATTTGATAATCGTAGGACACAATCACAATGTTTGAATTATTCAAACACACAAATGTATCTCACAGACAATTTTGAATTTTGTAACAGATCGCAGCGCGAATCATCCATGGCACGCCTTAATGAATTCTGTACGCCGAACCCAACAGCCAAGAGTTCGCCGTACGTATTTGTTTATTTATTTTATTTATACTTTATTGCAATTACCTTAATCAAGGATTACAAAAGGCGGACCTAATGCCTTTAGGCATTCTCTCCCAGTCAATCCGGGGCGTGGAGATAAATTACGGTAGGTGCAATAAAAAAAAAAAAACAAGTACATTAATAATGTGAATGAAGTATACAATGTATGGAATATACACACGCTTAAATAAATATAAATACTTACATGCATATACAAAGAATATATATATATATATACAAATATACACATACATGTATTTAATATTTTCTCTTCGAAATCACTTCACACTCCCCGCCCTACCAGCCCCTTAAGAGAAGTATCGTATGAGGGATTTGAGATTTGACATATTAGGAGGAGTTTCATGTTTGACAGTGGACCTATTCTGGCTGATAATGATTATGAAGAGTGTATTATAAAAAAATGCAAAGCATGATTTTCAGGGCTTCACAGGTTGTAACTGCTGCCACATTTCACATGTATGTGGTAATTATTGCAAGCTTTGCTGAATACTACAATAATAAAATATCATTTATGAATTGTTCATTTTGTGCTTACTGAACATAATATTTATTAAACACAGTATTACGTTATAATATGAAGTTTGACAGATTAATAATATAATTGATTAATAATTTAATATATTTACATAAAATAACAAATATATAATTTTAATTATCAGTTCCACGAAAGACGCAGAAGAACGTCAGCCCAAGCATCGTCGAAGAAATAAACGTTTGCCGTTAGATGTTCCTCAGCCTGATGCCACGGAGTAAGTAGTTAATATGAAATACTGCTTTTTAAACACGAAATTAAGCTATTCTATATAGAAACAGTTGGTATGATCTTATCGCATTTCATTGAATAAGCTCTTATTTAAAAGCTATCAAACGACCAGGCCATTATTTCATTTCAAGGGCCGTCTTAACCAAAAACCTAGCCTTAGTCTCCCCACAATGTTAAAATCAGTTGTGTGGCTCTACCACATTAGATTACTTAAAGGTGGCAAGTAGTAACGGTGTTGTGATTAGAAACTCGAGAATTGATTTTTATACGTGCTGCACCTAAATTCATTTAAATTAAAGCTGACTATTCAATATTTTCTTTTTTTTAAAAAGTTCAGCAAATCAACGTTTGGAAATACTATTTAATAACTTCAGATTTTTGCTTTAGCTTCCGTGTATATCGCTGTATATGATCAATTAGGCTTATGTATTTCAATTATAAATATATAATGATATGTGATTTTGATTCCAACAAGTTCGCTGGCATAATAATAAGCCAAACCATTTCATCCTGTTCGTGCTGTAGGAGGCGAATAAGGGATTTGCATTAAAGGGATATCAAACATCTAGTAGCCGATACATAGTGGGATAACCGTCTCTAATTTCCAGACCCTAAATACTCAATCTAGAGAAAACTGCGATATCCAACCCGCTCGCCAGACGTGGCAATTACTGCAAAAGCCTATGTTGATATTATGATGATAATAATGAGTCACATTTTGACAAAAACCTTTCCCTCTTACAATTAGAGGCCAGGCTAAGCGACAACCCAGGCGTGCGCAAGGGGCCGACCATTTTACACCCGAAGATCTGCTAATAATAGCTGAAGGTTCAAAGTAAGTACCGAAATAAAACAAGTGCGAGTCGGACTCACGCACTAAGGATTCCGTACTATTATCTATAATATGGCAAACATCCATCTATATCATCTGTGAAAGTTTCAACTGTCTTACTATCATGGTTCAAAAGATATAGCCTGGTGGCACACTGACAGACAGTCAAACAGACAGACAGACAGCGGAGTCTTACTAATGGTGCCGTTTTACCCTTTAGGTACAGAACCCTAAAAAGGTAACTTTTGAATTTTATCAACATTGCGGAAATTAACAAAATACATAAAACACCATTCTAATAATGAATTTAATAAAGAGAAATATTATAGAGAATAACAAAGCAACATTATAAATTTGATATATTTTAAATTATTAAACAGCAAGCCGAAGGACGCAGAAGAACGTCAAGCCAAACACCGTCGAAGGAATAAACGTGAACCAAAGGGTCTTTTTCAGTCCGATCCCTTGGAGTAAGTATTTTCTATGATGTCCAATATGAGTTCAAAATAATAGTACATTTGAATGATTTATCGTTAATCATTTTCAGGGCAAGTCATAAGCCCTACTACACAGTCGTACCAAAATGAGGCGAGATCATGTGTAACAAAATTAATATTTTCTCCACCATTGTTAGAGTGCTTGTACCTTGGTTGAAACCAGTTAATTCTAGTTGTTACAAAGGCTTTAGTTAAAACTAGAGAAAACGTGTTCAAACAAAGAACGGGTTTTAACTGTAACACATATATTGTTACAAACTATGGGTTCGGGATTGGAGTGAAACGCAGGTGGTCAAACCTACTCTTTTACAACTTTAAACGTGTGCAGCGGCCCTCTTGATACCAAACGAATCCTTCTTTTTACTACAACAGGTGTAACAGCCCATTAGTTACGTACCAGCATGTACTTCACGATCACAGGTGTGTGCGATACCTCTCCCGTTGCTCGCCTCGAACGTTCCAGAAGCGAGTTGAATTTTGGTCGCCTTTTGCAAACAATTTTCTGTAATCAGGTCCCGAATTTCGAGCGGCATAGAAAAAACATGCCAAGACAGACCGTGTATATATCTATGGCTATGAACAACAACCTAGGCGAATTGTGCCTGTGAATTCCACCAGCCACATTTTAACAAAAACCTTTTTCTCTTATAATTAGAGGCGTTTGTAAGCAACCGCCCAGAAAAACCGAAAGCACCGAGCTTATAACACCTGATCAGCACCTAAGATTGGCTGACGGCTTACAGTAAGTACTGAAAAAAAGATGAACGTCACTGATAACAGTTTTTAGTGACATCGATAATATATACAAGGTGATTTTATAGACGACGGACATATTAACAGAGCATAATATGCAGAATTTGATTCTAAATCAGAATCTGTCTATCGTCTAAAAATTATCCTGTATATATACTGTTGAAGTCACCAATGTCATATTATGTATTAGCATTTGGAGGGTGGTTGAGAAATAATTATTAAAACAGTCTTAACGCAGCGCTCGTCTTTGACTCACGTTCCCTGTGCCCCTACAACACATAACATGGCGCAGTCGGTAGGATTAAGAAATTAATAGTAATATAATATATTTAATGTAATAAAATAAATAAAGCTACGTTTTCTCGGTGGTAGAGGTCACGTAACAGCCTACGCTATTGCACGAATGGGCAGGTCCATCCGGGTAAGTACCATGACGTCACAGAAGACCGTGAAGTGGAAGTGTTACACTTCTGCGTTTTGTCTGGTGAGTGAGGTAACCGGAGCCCACATTATTAAAAGGTTTAATTACCACATTAGTAAACGCGTTTATAACCTTACGGGTGTTGCAAATGTAAATGAACGGGTGGTAATCACTTAACATCAGGTGAACCGTCGGCTCATTTACATAAAAAATAATGCAATAAAATAAATTTGATATAATTTAAAATCTTGACCAGTAGCTCAAGAGATTCTACGGAACGTTTTACCGGCCAGCCTCGAAGAAATAAACGTGATGTGATAGATGTTCCTCAGTGTAATACAATGGAGTAAGTACTTTATTTGATATCAGATCAGAGCTTTCTTCTCTTTAGACCGTTCACAGAGTAGACGCAGATAGTTGATGTCACATTTTACTGAGCTCGATACTTCTTCATAAGTTTGCAAACGAGCTCTAACTATTATCGATTACCTTACCGTAGACTTTTCGTGATGTACCTTACCGTACCTTATGGAAACTGGCATAACTACGCTGAAAATCAACACGTGACAATTTGTGACCACAGGATCAATTTTAATAACGATATGGTTTCATTTCGCCAAAATTTGATCTAAACAGACCTTAGAAATTTACAGTTTAGAAATGCAACATTTCCAAATCAAATTTATTTCACTTCAGTTTGAACAATATAACGCTTTATATGAACAAAGTATTATTATGTGAATTTGTATTCGATTAGTCACATTTTGAAAAAGTTTTCCTTTTTACAATTAGAGGCAACTCCAAGCGACCACCGAGAAAAGCCCAAGGAACCGAGCATCTAACCTCCAATGACTTACTAAGAATAGCTGAAGATGTAAAGTAAGTTGAGGTTAAAATTGATACCATAAAGTTTCCGCACAAAATTACCTTCACTTTATTTGGTATCGGTTCGCCAGAGGTTTAATACACGCGTAATGATGAAATTATAATAATGATAAAAATGAGTATATAAAAGATAAAAAAACTTGGGAATCAGCTTCAAACATCTCTGAATACGAAAGTTTCTTGTATATAATACCTTCTCCGACCTCAGATGAGGCTCGGATATGGCCAAGGATTGTCGATGTTGGTTAAAGAAAAACTTCATTACATTAAAGGTTTTAATTTACAAAGTTGTCTTGATTACAATATCTTTTGTAAACCTTGTGGGTGATATTATCGCACGGCCATAAAGCTCTGTCATAATAATAAAAAAAGTCTACTGAAAACAATCTGAATACCCACCGAGCGGGATACCTTAGAAAGTTCATTACTTTTAGATTTTTTTGTGTATATTCCATATGTATTCTATATATTTGCATTTTATCTAATAAACCTAATCCACGCGGCATGGTGCCAAGAACGCTAGCTGCATTTCCTCGCTGAATAGTTATGCTTAACCTTTGAGCGAGAAAAGAACCAGCTCTCTTGTCACCAACCGCGGCGTTAAGCCTAGGACATAAACTCGGACCCCACGGACCTAAACTTTCAACAGCAAATGGCACAAATACCTAATCTAAACATAAAGACTCATATTTGCGCCATTTACTTACTTAGTATGTAATTTTAGATAGATTTAATCTTGTAAATATTAGATCAATAAAGTTTTTTCAAAAGTTTGCATTTTAAGTACATTTTTATTTTATGCGTACTCGTAGCAGAATTAGATTTCAGCATTAAAGATTTTTATTAAGGCCGTTTGGATGCCTGCCAAGCCTAATTACTCACAATCACACACAAACGCGCGAATTGATCCGGCGCAAGCATCAACGTCTTTTAATCCTTAACGGATAGACAATGATTTGTCATCGCAGTTTCTCAGCTTCATCAATTTCGAACAATGATATAAGCACGTGTACAAAACCGATATCAATCGGCGCAGTTAGTTTATCTGTGTATTTTGAGAGCATTATGATTGATTTATCTGATATCTTTGTCTTCAAAATAGTTGCATCGACCAGCGTCCGACTAGAGAGCCGAGAAAAACTGATTCCGGTGAGAAAGGATACTATGTAGATAATACGGAGTGAGTATTCTCTTTGGTCTACCCCCTCATATCATCCTTATCAGTATCACAGTTACTATAATTTCGGTAAACAGAGCGCTGTATCCGACAGTCAGCGAGATGATCCGGTGATATTGCTTAATCTGGCATCATTCACTTACGGTAGAGATATAGATACAGATTATAATACTAATGTGAACATTTGTGTCGTGGCCGTAACTTTCGACAATTAATAAAGAACAGCTAAAGAACAGAATTATACTAATGTTATACATAGTACTATAATCAGTAGAACATATATTTCTACCAATCTAATATGCCTATAGTACTGTATGCTTTACCGGCGGTCATTCAGAACCGTTATTGTAACCGTTTTTACAATATGAATTCATAGTATTTTACTTATTTTGTATTACCACCTAAGCATCGCTGCTTATCATCTGGGGGATGGTAATCTTTGTTATTAGGTGCGAAGGTGACAAACCGGCAATCGGTTCATTTGAAGTCAAGTGATTACCGCCACCCGTGGATATCGGTAATACCTGTGAGGCTGCAGATGTGTTTCCAACGTGTTGAAAAGTGGTTGGATATGTGGTTGTTTAAGTGGACCCCAGAACCTCAGTCACCAGACGAAGCGCAGAACCATAAATCTTCCACATTACAGTAATCAGACGATATAAATTAATCATTAAAATTAAGTGAACCGTTGCAATTGTATAATCTTATTCAATTTTGAAATCACACCGCACAAAAGTCTCAGGAATCGCAAAAAGATCAATTTTTTTGCTAATACATATGCTAAAGTTTATATTAGATGGTTTTTATACAGTTGCACACGTCAGCGAACTGAGCAGACGCAAAGGTCTGAAACCGCGGCTAAGCCACTGGGCATGGATAAGTGAGTCTAATATGTTATCATGTTACATACATAATACGTTAAAGCTCACACACACCCTTAACAAGAAAGTTAAGGCATTATTAGTGGCAACGAACGAACTGGTGATCTACCTGATGTCAAGTGATAGCCGCCGCCCATGGACATTTGCAACACACGTATGATTGCCTACTTTTAATAAATTTATAATTAAATAAAAGTTCCTGAAAACTGTCATTTTAAAAGCAGGTTACCATGTTTAAAAGCATTTTTATCAAAGTAACTGTGCTTAAATTGGTATTATATCGAATTGTTGAAAGCATCTTTTCAAAACATGGATTTACAGTCTGTTCGGAGTTACGCAACCGAACAGCCCGACATTGTCCTTTTGTGCATCATAGGCACATTACACTCGCGTACATACATACGTAGTACGTTGTATGTCTAATTTAAGGCAGTATGCGCCTCGCCACCATCGAACCAATACCACACCATTTATTTATACCGCGAATTCTAACCATATAACCTGTAATTAGTGATGACTGCTTCATACCATTTATACCATTATACATAACTGTTAATTTACCATATATGTGTTAATAAACCATTAACCAGATTTTCTATAAAACCTCTCTCCCTCTACAACATTCTTCACAGTCTGTTCAAAAACTAAGACCAGTATACAAAAGGTTCCTTTAATAAGGGAATGGATTTTAATATAGTATTTATAAATTAAATATAACCATCATATCACCCAATAACAACATACTCACTGGTCACTTTGTTTAATTGTTCGATTACAACAATTATTGCGATGGTTTGCTATATTTTGTGATCATTTTGCAAATACAGTTGCATTATTTTTTATCGTTTCACCAGAGATGGACGACAGAGTTCGTTACTCCATTGTGTCCTTTTTAACTTTCTTGCTCTTATAAATTTATTAAAATTAAAAAAAGTTCGTTGTTGTATATACTTGTATCCCAATGCTACTTGAGGCTAACATTAAGACGTACAACATCGCAGTCTATCCAGTGATCATAGAATTTAAAACTGGAACGATGATCAAGTGTTCGAAAAGTTAAAAAAAAATTAGTAAATCGTACCTAAATGTAAAAACTTCTGTGGAGACGAAGAGATCCCTCTGTTTGTGGCAAACATGATAGAGAAACAAAATATTTTCAACGCGAATTCGAAATACAAGAAAGGCCCAAAAATAAACAGAGACTTAAGAAAGAGGGATCCATGAATATTTCGATTAAAATCCTCATAGCTTGAGTTTAATTGGACTGGACAACTCCAATGTGTCTGACGAAAAATTCTTAAGGTTTGGCGCTGGCGATTAAGACAAATTATGTCAATTTGGTTTATGTTAATATTCAGTGGAGCCATCAAGCAGCCATCACCGAAAACCACTGAAAACAAACCCGAGAAAGAAGAGAAGAAAGAAAAGAGGAAAGAAAAGAAGAGAGAAGCGAAGAAAGTAGAAATTCCAGAACCTCCCAAAATTGAGAAGTGAGTAGTACATTCTTACATTTCGTACATATTACAATAGTACATTTCGCATCTATATGTGCCACTGCTTATAAATGTGCCATGATAGCTCAGTGTCCGGATGCTCTCCTTTAATTGATATTATACTCGAGCAACCTGAGTTTGATCGACGGTGGCGGAACCAATGATATTATTAATTTTAAGTGCAAACCTATCACGTTCTCAGCGCTGAAGGAAAACATCGTGAGGAAACCTGCATATTTTCGGAATAATAATAAAAAAATTGTTTCGAAAATATGTGAAGTCCGCCAATCTGCAGTGGGACCGCGTGGCGGACTATGACCCTCTGTACAGAGGAGGCCTTTGACCAGCGGTAGGGCATGTATAGACTGTTACTTTACTTTACTGTGCCACTGCGTACCTGCTGTCAGAAAAAAACATACACACTTGAAGGGTTTGCTAGATAATAATATTTCTTCTCTACTGACTTATGTATTGTGTGCTAAGCAGAGTAGAGCCGAATTCACGTCGTTGGCCGGGGAAGTGTAAGCTACACAGAGGCGTGACACGAAGTGACTAGAAGTGATAGGACCAAAGGCTTGAAAACCCTTAACGCAGCAGCACGCTCTTCTAGTTGCAATGCAAAAGCGATGTTAGCTTACCATTGGGCAAGTCGTCAGCCCCTACTCCGCAAAAGGTCGCTCGGCGAAACTCGTCTTAAAGCCCAAGCTTTAGAGGCGGTATTCGCCTGTGTCTGCCTCCAGAGTCGATGCGGCGGCCCAGCCAAGCCTCGGGGATTTGCTAGCTCTGCAGCCGCCATCGACAGACTGCAGCAAATGCATGGACGACGAACTGGGGAATCGCGGCTCGAAGCCGGGTGCTTGGTGCAAGGACTGTCGATGCAGTGAGTGGACTTGTGGCTTTATTTCTCAAATTTAAATTCAAAATATCATTATTCAAATAGTAGCTAGCGCGTTCTTATGAATCGTCGAATTTTACATAAAAATTATAGGTTCGTAAGGTACCACCACTAACCGTAACACACGGCATGTCACGTTACATACCGCAGATACCGTCTGCACGCATATACGCACTAGCCGAGCAAGTAACTTGGTGGTGTGAATAATTATTTTCCATGAGATCCCCACATCTCTTTAATTGTAAATCCTCACATCTCTAATTGTACAAGTATGTAATTTTCTTTATTTTTAAAATTTTTGTAGAATACCGCTCCCTTTAATAACCTACAAAACGTCTGGTGGTCATCACCAGACATTGAAAGCCAGGAAAATATTGCACTAGTCTTTCCACAAAAATATCTCATAACAACAAGAAAACATAATTATCGTTTCATTATATAATTGTTAATATATTCTTTATGAAAATGTAGAGAAAAATATTTGTTTTGATTATCTTATTTTAGATTATAATGTGTTTATTTTTGTATTACAGAAAAGCGAACTTTTTTGGATCAAGAATCTCTGTAAGCAACCTTTTCAAGCATTTCACCTTAATAACGACAAATTAACCACCTAAATATAACTCATATAGCGGGGTGGAGGACCACTGTTGTACTTGAAAACAGGGAATCAAGGCAAAGTTCGCTACACGACTCAAAGGCTGATTGAAATATTTTACTTGCACAGGTTTCCTTTGGAAGTTTTCCTTTAACGCGTATGATATTGTAAACCGTTCCTATCCTCGAAATTTTTAACGTATTCGTGTACATGAACGAAACCTGGCTTCATCGTCATATCCCAAAACCATAGCAAAAACTGGAAATAGCGGAGCGGACCTACCATAGTTTTTAGGAGTACTAAGAGTTTTACTACGGTGGCGTATGTAGCAAAAAGCGTTTATATAAATTTGATTTTTTAATTTAAAGTACACAGACATGCTAAAACAACTCCTTTCACAAATATTTATTTCCTTTTCTCAGAGAAAAACAAAAACAGTGGCTGGCGCATTGGACAAAAGAGATCGAGAGCCACGAGATCAAACGGTATCTTCGATCTCTTTGCCGGAATTGTCATTGCGGTGAGTTTAATTAATTACTTGGAAATTATCCCATGTTGGAGATATGGCTGTAAAAAGCCGTACATGAACACTTAAATAGCTAAGCTAAAAATCAGAATCAGAATCAAATTAGGAGGGATCGTGAGTCAGTGATGGCAGACTGGAAAAAAAGGTACTGGGCCCCCGGTTGCATGGCCTAAAGCCATTATTTTTTTAATGTGAAAAGTTGCCAAGCGAGCAGGCGGCTCACCTGATGTTAAGTGAATACCGCCGCCCATGGACATCTGCTACAGCAGAGGGTCGCAGATGCGTTGGACAACCTTTTGAAAATTGGGCTCCGGCCACCTCACTCACCAGACGAAACGCGGAAGTATTATACTTCCACTTTACGCCGGTCTTCTGTGAGGTCGTGGTACTTACCCGGACGAGCCTGCCCATTCGTACAACAGCCAAGGCTGCTGCGTGGCTCTACCACCGTTAAAATTAATAGTTAACGCTTAGATCAAACTTGACACGATGACTATTGCATCATCCTTGATTTCAGACAAAACTATCTGTTTGGATTCTAATTCTCAGTAAGTTTTTATTCTTTTTTTTAATCACATGTCATTTCTTACTGATCCCAATATATGATAAAAAATACGATCTATGAAACGGTGGCCAAAGAACAGTCTTTTCATCATAATACTATGATGAAGAATAGGTCCCCCTGTATCGTGTTCGAAATTATAAAACAACTTAATAAGAACTTAGTCATTAAAAAATTATTATTAATTAAATGTGTCCTCATCCATCGATTGCCTACTGTCCGTTGCCTATTGTGTTCGTCACGTTGTCTTTGAAACGTAACATTCAAGTTATTATAACCTGAAAGTTAAGTCTGAAAGATCACATAACGAAATACTGCTGTTCTACGTTACTATGACTTTGGTCCGATCATAAAATCTATACCATTTTTTTTTATTTTTGCTAGTAACACTCAAACCCAATGTGCTAAAGCATCTATGACTGAATCCAACGAACTGAGAGGATATTTGCAGTCTACTTGGCGCACTTGTCATTGTGGTAAGTTATGATCAGTTAAAACGGGAATAGAAATAATAAATAGGAATAGAAGTAGAAACTAACTTGGGTAATCTTAAACTTTACTTAGCTTACTAACTTACTTTGAAACTTTATATTTTATTCAACCTTTGCAAATTTGAAGGACCATCATTGTGTTTCACCGATGATTTTTTTTTCACCGATGATTTTTTTTTGGACGACTTTGTAGTGAAGGTGGCAAACAAGCTGGCGGTTCACCTGATGTTAAGTGATAACCGCCTGCCCATGGACATTTGCAAAACCCGTAGGGTTGTAGATGTTTTGCCACCTCTTAATAAAGTGGGCCCCGGCTACCTCACACACCAGAGGAAACGCAAAAGTGCAACACTTCTACTTTACGCCGGTCTTCTGTAAGGTCGTAATACCAACCCGGACGGATCTGCCCACTAGTGCAATACTGCAACCGTCCCTAATACCGTTAAAGATTTCATCCGTATTTAGGTATTGTTTTATTGATCACATATTTTGTATTTATAATCAGAATATTTATAATCAAAATACATACTGTATTCTGATTATAAATATAAGAGACAACACCTGAGAGAATATAACAGAGAGAATATAAGATATATCTATTGATATATTGGTTTTTATTATAGTAGGCACTCTAAGCAGAACGAATTCATTTATTCCAGGTAAACCCAAGCCGTTGAAAGACAACGTCCTTATGAGGTAAGTTATTTTGTTGCTTTTATAACTGTTCGCTGACCCTAAAATAATAAACAAGGATATTGGTCCGTTAGGAATCGACATGGCCTGTCAAACGTAATGTAACTGAAAAAGCCTCGTCACGGATAAACTTCATTTTGTAATTATGCCCCGAATCGTTAAAGTTGTTTAGAAGAATAAAAAAAAATTTATTCAAATTATCAAATGAATTTTCTCGACAGCACGAACCAGGGGCAAGTAGTTCAAAATCAACACACTACGGTTGGGGCGGTGGACATTAACAGAAGCTTACTATCAGTGTGCAGGAACTGCCAATGTGGTGAGTTCCTAAACATCGTTTTCAAGTTAGTCAATAAAATCAAGTGCAAATAATATACTGAGTATTGAATTTATATAGTTTATTTTAGCGATATAAAATATGATACAAAACTGAAAACTCTACCTTTAACGATTCTGATGAATCTGTGATACGTTATGATTTTATTTATCTCTTTTTCTTTTCCAGTGAAAAAGAAGTTACTTCTGGAGAGCAGCTCCGAGTGAGTAACCATTTATTTTTGAATTATTAATAGCTAAAAGATCGATATAACCACTCGAGAACAAAACACGAGACTCGACTTCCATGCTAGCTACGTTAATGTGCATGATTGACGCCCTAAATAGTTTATACGCATTCTATCTTGCCTACTTCATTACACATTCAAAACAAATGATCTGGACGCCATATGGTCTTAGACCACAAATAACACTTACAATTAGTTCGTCGCTGATCGATATTTGTGACAGTGACAAGGCTCTCCAACGTTCACGGCCGATTGTCATTGGGATTATTTAGGCTCACCAAAGCAGAGCATTAGCTTCGTCCATCTAGCCCTTTGACAAAAACAAAAAAAATGTATAAGTGAGCTATTTGCTGTATCTCAAAGCCTATGCCTCTATTTCGTTAGGAATATCTGTGAGTTGTACATAAGATGGATACAATTAAATTTTTAACAGCTTTCACCAAAGAATCTCATTCACCAACAATTCCGAGGTCAAGAACCCGAGGCGTGGTTTGCAGATTCTGAACAATCTCGATACGGACCAGGATTGCGGTAAGACTCTTTAAATGAATTTAAAAACATTAGACAGCTGGTAGATGTTGATGCTGGTATAAATAGTTCTTCGCAGTGCAGGTTTCCACATAAAGTTTTCTATCAAAGCTATTAGATAATTTACTTTGAACCAGCACTTGGGGTTTAAGTACAAGATCGAGTGTTGAGGTTCTCTTTTATACTTCCTTTCATGAAGTTTAAAATTTAAAGTAGTTTTAAAGGGTAAAAAAAGATCTCGATTGCTTCTTAATGTTCCACTAACTAGCTGATCTACATTCAAGACAAGTACATGGTCGATGCTAAAATATTGGTGACAATTTTTGCCTACTTGACGTTCGTCTAGTAATTCGTCCTTCGATCAGAATGACAGATGAATTATCAAATCAGAATAGAACATTATCAAAAGATGAATGACACCTTGCGGCAAATTCATACACTAGGAAAAATCTGATAAGGAACTACGTGTGATATACTAATCTTATTGTAAGTCACCATGCTGATGATGCCGTAGATTGTTATGTTATGAATGAATGAATATTCTTTATTGCACACACCATGGTAAAAAGAATAAATTAAAAATAACAGATGTAAGGGTTGTACAATGGGCGGCCTTATTACTTAAAGCAATGTTAACCATGGACATGGATGGTTGTTTGGTTCGTAATGATCTCCTTATATTCACGCACTTAACACATTAGTATTCTGGTGTAAAGTGAACTATAATAAACTTTAAACATCTATATGAATTTAGAATAGCATCACTCGTTAAAATTTTTTATAGATGTATGTTCTTTGTAAGGCATTTCATAGTTTAGGATATAAACACTAGACTCAAAAATTGCTAAAAATCCAATGGTAGATTCTAAAATCCAAAGAGCGTAGATAAATTTTGAGTTTTTCGCGCCATAAGGTTTTCGACCGCTTATTTGGTAAAGCGTCTGTGCGCCATAACGGAATATGCAGTTTCGCATCCCGCAGCGCCGAAAGTTTTTTTTCTTCATTTATCTTAACGTTTTGAATAGAGTCACTTTTCTCTTTGACTTTTAAATTATCTTGCAATTATTCACAGGCGGCAATAAGTTGCGTCTGCTACATGCAACCTCGTGAGTATGAATATACAATATTATTAATATACGCTATATATATGATGTAATATATGATAGATACAAAAAAATATCATATATTGGTGTGTCGCGTCAGTGTCGTGTTTTACGTTTTACTGTCAGCCTGAACGAAGACAATATGGCGGACAGAATTCACAAAAATAGGAAAATTATTTTCCGTGTATAGAAACGCACATTTAAATGCGAACCAACCGACTTGTTACTAATGCCGTTAAAGTTCATTATAACAAATTTTCCATATTAATCCTGTTTCAAACATGTAAATTATAATACTTAAACTTTAACATATAAATTAAATAACAAATATGTTGTCCTTCATATGCGTGCCTATTTTTAAATATCCGCCTCTCCATACACATTACAGTATCCATTTTTATTTATTTTTTTATTTTTTTTTTAAAAAATTGCCAAACGAGCAGACGGTTCACCTGATGTTCAGTGAATACCGCCGCCCATGGACATCCGCTACACTCGAGGGTTCCAGATGTGTTGACAATCTTTTGGTAATTGGGCTCCGGCCACCTACCTCACTCACCAGACGAAACGCGAAAGCATTATACTTCCACTTTACGCCGGTCTTCTGTGAGGTCGTGGTACTAACCCGGACGAGCCTGCCCATTCGTGCAACAGCCAAGGCTGCTGCGTGGCCCTACCACCCCTTGTAATACTTTATAGCTAAAACTTATAACATATTGATCTTGTTACAAATAAAACCTGTTGACTTTAGTGCGTAACTAGATTATGTAATTAACGATGCAAAATTACATTACACTTGTTACATTTCAGAGATGATGCTGAACCTTCAATCAATCTGTCTTTAAATGACGTCAGCATATCAGATTGCCGTAAGTTATTGTTTTTTCTACTTTGTATCGAGCACAAAGTGATAGGTGGTGTACACTGTAATAAAGATTTGTATGTAACTCTAATTTTTGAGACTCCAATGCTATGCGTGGCACCACGGTGCTTATTAATACCATATGGAAGATGCCAATTTGAACTTTCTCTTTCCAGGCCCGAGTAGATCTTGTCCAGAAACACCATCCCTGTAAGTAGACAAGCCTATTTCATCTTTAAAATTGACAGCATCATCAAAGCATTTGTGTACCTCACAGATATTTGCTACGTATCTATAGATCTAATTATCGCTGGTGGCCGGTCGTAATAAACTTAGACAACATTAACGACATGATCGACTTGTTTTACTAACTCTACTTGGATGGGAAGGGAAGACCCCTCGGTGGATATTGTCAGAGGCTTTAGTATCGGAGATTTTGGCGGACGCTTGGGCTGCAAAATAGGTCCATGAAGATCATTTTGTATTCATTTAGATAATCCTAAGTAACTCTGAATTGTATCTAAATATACTCTTTCCTTTTTCTACGTACAGGGTCAATGAAATTGAAAAGCTGGGCTTACTGGACTCATCGATATATCAGAAAGCTGTATCCAGTGAGTATATTTTTTTATATAACAAGTCTTTCCTTGTTCCAAAGGTGAAAGGAAACGTTAGCTGTTATCGTCTCAATAATGGGTAATAAAAATTTGTGCCCAGTCATCATACAATAGTGATCTTGACTTTAAAAATAAAGATATGATAATGACTAAAAAGATTAAACACAGAGCAAATGTGTGATTTCAGATTTAGTCTGTAAACGTTCTGAAGGCTGCACAGCTCGTCGTGACATAAGTTTATCTCCCTTCCCCGAGGGAGATCTGATTATATGCTAGATATGAAACTATATGACTCCTTTTCATCATCATTTCGGCGGTCCACCGGTGAACATAGGCCTACCCCATAGGCTGCCACTTCCATCTAGGTTACTTAATTTTAACTAATACCAAAGTTTAATGTGAAATTACAAGAACAGAAGTAACCAATAGGCTATCATTCATCTCCATGCTATAATGGTCTCCAACCAAATGGACTGTAGAATGGCGGGAAAAAACCAAGTATAATTCCTTAGTAAATTTGTTCATAAACCTTTTGGTTCATAAAACTTCATTTATTTAATTATTTGTCAGATATCGACAAGGACTGCGAGGATCCATTGACCACGTAAGTACTTAAACATGTAAATTTATTCTGTAACGTTATCTGTATCGGCTTCATGAGAAAAGTCCCTTATTTTATCTGGTGGTAAACTGTTGAACAGTTTAGCATAATAAATATAACTTATGACTTCGATAAATATCAATCTAATATATAAAATTCTCGTGTCACGTTGTTTGTAATTGAACTCCTCCGAAATAGCTCGACCGATTTTCGTGAAATTTTGTGTGCATATCGGCCAGGATGGAGAATCGGACATCTATTTTTCATCCCCCTAAATGTTAAGGGTGATCCACCCCAAACATTTCTTAATTTGTATGGCAAAACAATGTTTGCCGGGTCAGCTAGTAATAAATAAAATAATGCAGAAAATTATTATCGGATGGCAGTACTTCCAGTACGCTCTTGCAGGCTTACCAATCGAATAAATCAAGTGTTCAAGTTATAATCTGGGGACGTGGGTTCGATACCCAGAAACTTACAACGATGCAAGTTTTTCAGATTTCTTTTTGCGTGCACGAATCACCATTTAACACTACGACTAAATATGGATGAAACTAGCTATATCTGGCTGAATTACTTGGTTTATTAACTTGTTAATTAGCAATATAGTGATAAGTACACAGTAGTTGTATTAAGTATCGCAAGCTTCAACTTGTAGTGCAAGGCGGTAGCATTATTTCATTTTTAAATTATTACGAAATATTTCGAGATAAGCATATAGCTCGGTCAAAATGATAAAATATATATGGTGGTAAAAAAAATTAAACAGATAATAATAATATAAATTATTAATTGCAGTGAGAATCTCCTCCCCAAAGCGAGTGTCTCGTTCACATCGCCAACGAAAGAAAACGAAAATGATACGCAAGATAATGCGATGAATTGTACACAGGCGACATCTAAGAAGCAACCGTCCAGTAAGATGAGCTACTAGATATGATGTAGTCACAATAAGTACTGACATATATTGATGACACACAAAAAAAATTAAAAGCTGGATATAATTACGAAACCATACAAATGCATAACGTAGTTAAGAGTAAGGAAATATGCATAATATAATAAATGCAAATCTGTAAAGGTTTTCGGTTTGGGTGATTGTATTGACTGAAAAGCTGCTTTTTCATTCGAGTCTTTGCAACAGATTTTACTGCGTTATCTAATATTTCTTGTGATCAAACATAAAGGAGCACAAGTATAATTTTTAACAAAAAAAAACGACTTCAATGCGAAAATTAAAAAACATTGTTAATACCTATAACATTCAATGATGGCCTTCGATTTCTCTGGGATGCCATCATCAAATCCGGGTTTCCTTCGTAGTACCACCCTTGGGATATCTCCTTTCCGACAAAAAAAGAATCATCAAAATCGGTGCATAACCGACGAAGTTATCAACGAACACATTAAAAAATATATACGGTCGAATTGAGAAACCTCCTCCTTTTTTGAAGTCGGTTAAAAACAGTGCACCAAACCTATAAGAACTAGCACATAACACACCTTCCATACATGACAAGCCGACCTAGATCGCCCCATATTCTAATCTCCCTGGACTGAACTAATAATCGGTTCATTACATAATAAAGAACTGTAAAACCCAACGTCCCAGTATAATTCACTATTGGATAACTGATGTTACGAACTATTCAACACGATATATGTGTAACTTAGTTGGAGGTTTATGTTCGAACATAATAATTCAAATGCGCCGATAATAGCATGGATGATGGTTTGATTTGGTTTGGTTGTTCCCCTCAATCGTGATGAACAGCTTTAAAAATTTATTTGCAGAGACGAACAAACGAGTATCGACAAGAACGACTAGAAAATCTAAGTAAGTACGAAAATTAAATAGTTCAAAGTTTCACAATCAATTTTATTTCTCATTTAAACATTGCTCTAAATTTTAAGGTTGCGGTATTTAATAATTTCTGTTGACAAGTATATATTTAAAATAAACCTAAAAATATCATGTTTTAAAGTTGCCTCAATTTTTTTCGACCATCTATCGCATGTCGCATTACAGCCTCCCACGGAGTAGGGATAAATTGAAGAGTACTCAGCAGAGCAGCCAAGACCAATATGGCGGCGCCCATGGCTCATGGCGCATATAAATGCTATACAGCTAACTGTGTAGCATTTCTATTAAAGTTAAATTAAGAATTATTGTATAATTAATAGTTAATATTTAACTGAAAATTTTCTTGCATCGTCATTTTATAAAACCACACGATATTTAGTTTTTTTAAGTGCTATGTGATTTTACGCAGGAGCGATTAATATGTTTTTTTTTGCAATCATATAGATTTCTCTAGTTACTTACGTCGACATTATTGGTAAAACAAACAGACTAATAATCTTACCAATTTCCATTTGAATATTCCACAATTAAGTTTCCATTTGAAATTAAACCTTTACATACAAACAAGAGCAAAATATGATGAAAGCAAAAACGTTTATACTCGCCAACCTTAGGTATAACAGTTCAATGCGTGACGCCATACACGTTCCCGCGACTGAAGCCTGCCGCTCCAGCGAAGAGCTGCGGAGGAACAGGCCATCAAGTCAGAGGCAGAATGATCAACCCAAGCCCGACTCATGCATCAGGATTCGGCCTAAAAACGTCGCGGACCAGTCCCAGATATTCCCGGAGAAGCTCTCTTGCGGTACGTGCTTATCATCATCTCTACCCTGCTACAGTCTAGTGTTCTACATACAAGAGCGGATCCAGGGGGGGGGGGGGTCATGGGGGTCATGACCCCCCCCCCCCTGGGCTTGGTCCAGGACCTAGGTGGACCACTAACTAAATTTGTTAAACATGTTTTTATATATTTTTAGCCACAACATAGATTTTATGTAAATACCTTCAATATTTAATTAAATTAATATTTTTAACCGACTTCAAAAGGAGGAGTATCTCAATTCGATTGGTATATTTTTTTCGACGTATGTACACCGATTACGTTGAGATTTATGATCCGATTTACGTGATTCTTCTTTAGTTTGATGCAAAATAGTTTCCATTTGGTCCCATAAAAATTTACCATAGTTTGGCCAAGTAGTTTTCATTTTATGAACATTTTTACAATACTTTAATGTTAAATCATCAAATCAAATCTTGCAAATTAAATTTGATTAACTTCCCGGTTACCGGTTGAGCTGAAATTTTGTATACATATGTAAATCGCGAGACAATGCAATTTTTTTATGACATGGTGCTGATCTGATGATGAAGCTGGAAGGAAGGCCAAAGGAACTTCGAAATGAAACGACAGAGCCTTATCGCATTTGGGTACATGTGAAGCGTAGGGACGAGTAGTTTGTCTTATGACAGAGCTGGGATGTGGCCATAGGCACTCAGTAATTAAGGAACACAACCGCGTCGAGTTTGATCCGTCTTAATGGGTGGACCGTTTTTGATGGATGTCGAGATGTGGTGCTCTAGTGGACGTGAGTATGCGAGACCATCTTTGGGAAATAAAGTTTGTTCGTTCAGTTCGTTATGAATGTGTATTCTGTCTTTGATTAGATGGACTAGAAGCGCTGAATATTATGAATGAATGAATGAATAAATATGTTTTTTTGTTGTTTATGAACATTTTTTATTGTCGGCGATGTAATTTTATTTTATGTACGGCTATTTTAGGAGTTTCTATTAGGTTGATTATAGATTATTATACCCGTGTCCTGATAGTCCCGTCTTAGGCTACTTGTCATTGAAGTGGAGCCAGCGTGCGGAGTAGAGGAATAGAGAATATTATAACCAATACGACTAAATTTTTAAAGTTTTTTTATAGTGCTAATCACTGCACTTAAGATTGAACATTAAAACATGTAGAAAAAGTACGAAAAGATTGTCGCTGGTGTGGGAATCGAACCCACGTCTTCGGCATTCGCGGCCTGACGCTCTAGCCACTGAGCTAACGGCTGATAGCAACAAACAATTTCGAATATCGTTTTACAACGATAATTCGAACGAGAGATGTCGCCATTGCTTTTTATAAATTTTTAAAGTTTTTTTATAGTGCTAATCACTGCACTTAAGATTGAACATTAAAACGTGTAGAAAACGAACCCGACCCACGTCGCTCGACGATCGACGAACCCACGTCTTCGGCATTCGCGGCCTGACGCTCTAGCCACTGAGCTAATTCGATTCCCACAGCGGCGACAATCTTTTCGTACTTTTTCTACATGTTTTAATGTCCAATACGACTACATAAAATCTAGCAACGAAGAAATAAATAAAAGGAATTCCAAAAATAAGTAAGCCTAGCAATAGCTACTTAAAAAAATACTATACCGGGAGGCTTTTCTAAGTGTATCCATTTTTTTTTAATTCTAAACATAAATAAAGTTATTTAAAAATGATAAATATTTAAAATCACTCGTAATTAATTAATTACTTTTATTTGAACTTATCTCAGAAAGTGCGTGATTTATGAGCAACTCATTTATTTTACGCGCGATCATTCATAACTAACACGCACACATATTCGTTTCAAAAGTGTACGACGCATTTATGAATGACTACCGCATTCTTAACAAGTTTGTTGTTATTTTTAGGGAATAGAATGCCATTTTTTTTTAAAAAAAGTGTGTTTTTATTTCAATAAACGATAATACTACCGAGTCTAAACCTCCTGTGTGAATTTGGGCACCTTTATAAAAGCCGCCCTGTATAATATATGATAATAAAAAGCAACGAAATATTATGAACAAAAAAGAATTTTGCAAATCCGTCTATATATGACGAAGGTATACCCGAACATACCTACATAAAAAAAACAAACATCCGAATCAACCTCCTTCTTTTTGAAGTCGGTTAAAAATAAGTACCTACTTTTTACTTCTATCTATGATTATAAAAATTAAATTATAACTTCTTATCACTTGACCACGACTACGTGACCCCCCCCCCCCCCTGGCACCAAAGCTGGATCCGCCCTTGTCTACATAGAGATCATTGGGCTAATCCAAGTTGCGTCAACAGACTTTATAATATTTAGTTCTGCGCGCAGCAGCTGGATCTCTCCCGCTCACGGATCTTTTCTCCTTTCAATAACGGCTAATTTATTGACCATGAAAATCTCGTGACACACTTTCAGAAATATGGTTTTCATCGCTAATATTGCAGCGCTCTTTTTTTGGGCAAGGCTTCATGCGTCCTAATTTCGAGTATTTTGGAATATGTATAGATGCAGTGACATCATCTTTGCAGAATATTGTAATTCAATGTATTTTCCAGGTGTTAGCGGTGACGAAAGCCCAGATTTTCGGACTAAACCCAGGTACAAATTTTGCTTTTCTATCAATATACATTAGTCTCACTTACAACGTGCACCAAAAACTATATCGAATCGTGTAGTAATTGAAAGCTCTAAACCAAAAAGCGTGGGCAGAAGGAGACTGCTTATCTCGGTAGACGTTCGTGTTGATTCACTAACGGCCGTTTTCAATATTCTATCTACAGATAGATTTGATTACTAGCTTTAGCTTATAGGTATTTGACATTAGCTCCATAATACTTATGTCAAAATTCTATCTTCAGTGACCAATAATCTATCTGTTAATTGAATATTAATACTGGTCGTAAAACAATTTGTTGCACATTATATTCACAGGTATTTAACTTGTGCCAAAAATGCCAAAAGTGGTAATTTATCTCCAGTTGGATGCTTATTAACCTCCACTTTGCTGCCATATAGTACAAACATGATTTTACATTTGCAAAGGTATTTACCACGTACAAAGCTCTATTGATCAAAAATATACGTAACTGATATATATGAAAACAACGGTGTACATAGCACATAACCTATATGTTTTATGTGCAGAAGAAAATATATCAAAAACATAAGTATATAATATATAAGTACATTAAATGAAGATATCATAATTTTTTACATAAATCATCATTTCAGCCTGTTTGAGTCCACTGCTGAACATAGGCCTCTCCCATAGACATAGTTGGGGAAGAAAGGTTCTCGAGTGGCAGCCTCGTACTGGCCATCGCAGTGTGGGACGACCCCCCTCTAGATGGAGTTACGACCTGTGCAAATGTGCGGGAAGTCGATGGATGCAGGTGGCTCAGGATCGTACTTCGTGGCAGTCTATGGGAGAGGCCTATGTTTACATAAATAAACAAATAAAATTATTAAAACTTTCGTGAGACATTATTAATGTGAGTGCAGCCGTCTTAATATTCATAAATAAATAAAATTTAGAAGAATTATTTGAAATCTATTCGTAGTTGATGCACGCGACACTTAGAAAAAATTACACTATCTGCTCTTTAAAATAAGGTGTTGATTTAGAATTTAATGAATCCAGTCTTTTGACTGGATTCATCACTGCTGTGAAAAATGTTCACATCGGAATTTTTTTGTTCATTGCATTCACGGACTTTATCCTTTCTTTAGCAACAGAACGGGCGAAAACTACTACAAGCCGACCTGCATAAAGATCCCGAAGTGCACCAAAGACAAGCCCGAAAAGAAGCCCGCGCCGACTCCCAGCGTCTGTCAGCCAGAGCAGAAGAGAACATATCAACCTCCGACGGAGCCACCCGAAATCCTGGCTAAGGGCAAAGGTGCGTTTAGCCCTGTAGTCCGGGGCTCTAGAATAGGACTAAGGTATCTCCTGCCTGTCGTAAAAGGCGATTAAAAGGGGACTAGCACTGACTGGCAGTAGCTCGAAGTGGCCTCGAGCTGCTGCAAGATGGCGAGGGTTGAATCGGTGCGTTTTGTAGGAGATCCTCCAAACGTCCAGAAGGTAGCCACCGAAGGGGCTTTAGTGGGTAAGAACCCTGTCATGATCATAATGACAAAGTATCTTATGTAGATGTTAAGTTTCTATATAACTTTAGTAGGATCATGAAGCAACTTCTGCTGTAGCATGAATGGTCAGTTAACTATGGTAGGGCCTCGTAACAGCTTCTGGTTTGTGTTTGATAATTAAATTTTAGATGTTACATATAGTGTACCTCATGCCTCGGTAAAAGTATAAAGGAAAGTTACAGCCTATACGTGTCCCACTGCTGGGCGAAGGCTTCCTCTACACAGAGGGTATCAGAGCATAGTCAACCACGCGGCCCCGCTACAGATTGGTGGACATATGGTATTGGATCTTTAGCTCCGGATATACTTAAGGAAATCCTGAAAATCAATTACAAAATGAATACAGAGCGGGAAATTTGAAATCGGTTTCGTTTTTCGTTAATAAAAATAGTTCATTTTTTATATTACCAATGAAATTAATATGGGACCACATGGGAAGCACCAGCTTTCAAATAAAAGGAGAATCATTAAAATCGATTCACTCAGTTCTGAGCTAACACACAGCTGAAAAAAGTACAGTCGAATTGGGAACCTACTCCGTTTTCGAAGTCGGTTGAAAATGGACTTGCATTATCGTGTATAGGCAAAGTTATATGATTTTGCCATATGTTTTGAACGAGAAGGGAGTGAGTATTACAGGTTTATGGATATGAATGAGGCGAAATAAAATCTGCCTAATCTACTGATGCAAGAGTGTTTGTTTCTTTATATCTGTATCGAAAAACAATGTTAATATTTAAATTAATTACAGCGTTTAGTTTTAACAAAAAATATGAAATACAAGTTACGTTAAACTTGACTAATTAACTAAATCTTTTCTTTCAGCAAACGAGAAACGCGTGACTGTCGCCCCAAAAGCGAACAAAATGTAAGTTACATTAACAAATATCGCATATTGAAAGTCTTTATTATTAAAACTCATCGTTCAGATCCAATTTTGCAAAAGAATCGTCACTAGTAAGCTGTTAAAATTTCTATATAATATCACAAGATATATATAATAAAACATCTATAGCCGCAAACTGTAGTGGTTAGCGGGGCCACATCGAGATCTCCCTTAAACCTTATTATACGACATTCATTATCAAACCTTCGCATTATCATATTGTGCATCAGTTTCAATTAATAATGATAATTATGAAGTAGTATGATGGGTTGGAAAAGTAAAAAGCAAGGCAACAAATTTTTGAGTTGAAGAATTGTGCTGTTTATCTGTCTTTCCGTCTCTCACCAGGCAGTATCATGACTGTGATAGTAATAAGTTGAAATTTAAAAAACAATAAAAAATATTTTAATGGGCCTTCCATACAACAGACATGATTTTTTTAACGACCAAATATTTTTTTTCTGTTGTTTAGTATTTATTGTTATAGCGGCAACAGAAATACATCATCTGTTAAAATTTCAACTAACTATCACGGTCCATGAGAAACAGCCTGGTGACGGACGGACAGACAAACAGACAGACACCGGAGTCTCAGTATTAGGGTCCCGTTTCACCCTTTGGGTACTGAACCCTAAAAAGGTAAAACGAAAGAAATTCCACCAGGGAAATGTTTGTGTTTGTCACGATAGAGACTCTTCGGAACGATGTCTGCCGCCTGCACCGCGAAACTCCAACGACCATCCATCGCAGGCCATTTCAACTTTAAGTAAGATAGCTTCTTATTTCTTAAATAAGGAAGTACAATTCATTTTACATTCAGGAACATCATCACAGATGTTTTGTAGACATTTTGCACCTGAAGGCGCTAAACACGAAACGAAATTAGAGCGTCGACAAAAAAAAATACTTAACAAAAAAGTTTCATATCATTAGAACTATGTACAGTTTCATGAGTATATGTTGCTAGATAAGGCTGTAGTAACATTATTATTAGTTAGCTTAAAATAGCGTTCTCGTTGTTATTTATTATTTTAATGTTATTATTATTGGGGATATTTATTTGCTTTTTCGTCTCGTGGTTGGGTTTATTAATAAAAATAAGCATATAATTATAAATATTGTGTATAACACATAAATGAATAGGACCCAAGCAGACGGAAGCCCTCGGCAGGGGGGGCCAAACGGCCGAAGGTCTAACCTTAGGTTAGACGTTACGGACAGTATCGAGGAGCATCGCATTCTGCATTTGAGCTTAGAGCGGTCCGTCCCGGAGTTCCCAGTCGCCTCAGATGTTCGGAGAAGCTGACCGGGATTAACCTATTCGCAGAAACGGCCATCGGGACAATTTCAGTTGACACACCGCCCCACATGTAGGTCACCTCGTGAGTCAGGTCCAGATATTTTGTCTTCTTATCTGTTTTGGCTTTCACGAGGTTCTCGTCATAATGGTGATGTCAACCAAAAATACCCGCGTCTGTGCCCGATCCAGATTTGTTCGCTAGAATCGTCCTGTCCGTGATGATAGGCCGGTCCCAATTGAGCCTGGCGTGGTCGATTTTCGAGCACGGCCTCCGCTTAGTACTTATAGTAGGTACAGCAGATTCCGATCCACGATGCCGTATTTCATAGCGAGCTCCTAGTGTAGAATTCTGGCTACTAGGAGTTCAAAAAACGCTTATAATACATAATGTTATTTTTTATTATTACCCTTTTCATTATTTGGCGTCCGAATTCTATGAGTATAACAATAAACACCGTTCGCATTACAGTTAAAAAAATTAAAAATGATAAAAATAAAATGATGGACTATGATCACTTTTATATGTTCTAACTAGCTATTTAACAGCTTAAAGAACTTAGATCTATATCTAAATGTATATATTGTCTATTGTCTTTGTTAGTCTACTAAAAAAAGGTTTTCCTTCGAAATTTATCTATTAGCAGTATTTATTAGCCACATATGTTTAATATGTTTATTTATTCGTAACTATACCTGAAGATAGACATACGAATAAATAAAGACTATACCAAAGTAAATGTTGATACACACGTATGTGAGACTAGAAGATAATATATGATTTAATTCAATTATAAAATACCCCTTTAATTTTAAACTATACCACACAATCAAGTTTCAATAAAAACTTACTATACTAAAATTATGAATATAACATGAATTTTATGAATATTCTTCGAGCATGTTCATCATTGTTTAATTATATCTTTCAGAAACGAAGATAGTTAGTGTTAAACCGGCCGAGTCAAGAACCAAACAGTGAGTTTTATTTTATTTATTATTATTTATTATTGGGCAATGGCATAAAACTAAACATGGCAACTAAGTCATTAATAAATTACACATAAAATGAATATAACATCAGGAAAGGTATCTGTAGTATTCTCTTTTGTAGTCAATTTAGAGATTTCAATATTACACATACACACACATGTGTCTCGTAACTGTCATCAATTATGATATGATTTTTTTTTAAATATACTCACAGGCGTTGTGTGTCGTTTAAAGTTTTCCCCTATTAACCGTTCGCTCAAATCGTGCAGAGAATGCGGCTGCTGCCCGTTACCGATTTGCGAAACCGATGACCTGAAAGACAAGATCAATAGACTCGAGAAGATCCTGTCGCCCGAGAAGTTTGAGCGGCGGAAGGAGAGGGACCTGGATTCGAGCACGAGGATGCGACAACCGGTCAAAGAACCACCAAACAACAGGATAACCACCACGCTGGGTGAAAAGAAACACGCGCAAGAGAAGTGCTGCTCAGACGGTAGGCGCCCACGACCACCTCTGGAGGAAGACAAAAGTCAACCACCGCAGAAGTTGAAATCTGGCGTGGGCGCGACAGTGCCGCCCAAGCAGCCCCTTAGATCATCGTCGAGTGACAGCCAACTCTCGAGGCAGCTGTTCCCGTTACCCGATAGAAACAATCAGACAAACGTCCGTAACAGGTCCGCGCCAGAAAAACTACCGCCGCCCGAACCTAAGCCGATCTCAAAGCCGCCTTACAAAAGGCCCGTTAGCAAACCCGACAAAGTGGAGGACGTTGACGGCGGCACAGTGTGTAAGCCTCCAGACCACGATAAAAAATTGCCCGACGAGAGACAGAAAAAGACAGAAAAGAGACCAACGCGTAATGCCGATGTTAAAGAAATAAAGCCAGAGGACCTAAAGTGTCCGAAAGTGCCGTGTAAAAATCCAAACGTTAAGTGCGAAGAGGTGAGAGAGGCGAGAGACGCGAATAAACAAGAAGTGCAAAAGAAAGTTGAGACGCGCGGTAAGAATTCAATTTCTTGACTGTATTATGTTTTTAAAAGACAAATAGTCATAAAGGGCAATATTGTTCATTTATTCCCTTCTATCTTCTCTGCTAAAGAAACTCGTGCAATATTCTATCGAATAATAGTTTCCCTTCAAGTATTCAATTATTGAGCTATGTAAACAAATTATTATTGGGCTGTGTAAACTGAACAACAGTTTCTATCAACTTTTTTCTGGAGCCCTGATAGCTTAGTGACCGGGCGCTTGCTTTTAATTCAATATACTTGGGCAACCTGAGTTCAAAATGATGAAGATATGAGCCTTGCTATTGGAAATATGTTGAGAGAAGATATGATTGTCCTTTACAGATGCCGCTGTAGACATCAGGTGCCCTATCTGCACGTGCGCGACTCAATGCCACGGCAAAAACTGCTTTAGAAACAGAGACGTAATCGGTAAAAACTCGAGAGGTAAACCAAACTAGTCGTCCTAGCGGAGGAAGGTGAAAAAGTACTATATTCATAGGATGCATATTTGCAACAAATCAATATCAATCAACCAATATCATCATATCGCCATCCATTGCTGAACGTAAGCCTTCCCTAAAGTGCGACAACCTGCAAAGTCCTAGGCAGCCCGCATCCATCCACTGCCCGCCACCTTTTCTTAAGGCGTCAGTCCATCGTGCTGCTTGCAGGCTGTCTGACACTACGTTTTCCTAACCGGTTGTGCCGCTGGTCACAAGATCACATGACTATTGGACATAATTTTCGTCTTGTCAAGATTCATACCGAGACCCACTTGTCTCGAAGAATCAATCAGGCTGTTGAGTATAGCGTCTAGATCTTGCAGAGTTTCTGCCGTGGTGACAATGTCGTCAGCGTATCGCAAGTGTGTTATCAATTGGACATTAATATTAAAGCACAATCCGTTGCAATCCAGCGTCTTAAAGACGTCCTCCAATAATCCATTGGTATACCTACAGTTTCGGGGAAATCTCATTCCATGGTCTTACAACACAGTGCAATTGGCCTTGTGCTTTGACCTTCTACTTGGATGGGCATTGTTCCGGTCTCGTATAGACGTCTCTTGGATGTAACGACAGTCAATCAGGCATCTCTGCGTGCGACTGTTGAGTGAGGTAGCCGGAAGCCCACGTTATTAAAAGGTGGCAAGGCGTCTACTACCCACCTACGGGTGATTCAAATGGCATCAAGGGATATCACTTGACATCGGGTCAGCTGCCAGCTCGTTTGTCACGTTCTCACGTAAAAAAATCAAGCTAACCGAGTCGCGTGTGCAAACAGAGAACATCTACGAGGAGATCTTCACCACCGACTACACGCTGGATGACGGCACAGTGTTCAGCAGCTTCACAAGCGAGGATGACAGCGAGGACGCTGGCCCGCCACCCGCACCCTCCAGGAGCCGGGTGGCGATCGCCTTCTGCGATAGGCTGCCCAAGGTCAGGAGGGTGTGCGACACGTGCTTTAAGCCAATCGCGCGACGCCCTTCCTTGAAGCGGACCAATCAGGGCACGATAACGGAGCGCGCCAGGCTCAGGGACGTGAGCACCGTGACGAGGGGCTGGCGCGCTGGCCACTTCGAGAGGAAGCGCAGGAAAAGGGGGGAGAGGGGGGAGAGGAGGGAGAGGGGGGAGAGGGGGGAGAGGTGGGGCGAGGGGGGAGAGGAGGCGCGCGGGCAAGACGTGCGACAAGTCCATCTGCACAGACGGCAAGCTGGTCAAGTTCATGAGCCGCACCCAAGTGATACCGCCACGTGAGTTGTGCACTTGCAATTTTGACGGTTTCACGTTTTAAAATCATGTAGAAGGGAGCGCGATAAAGATTCGCCTCTGTGGGAATCGAGCCCGCGTCCCCCCGGGTTTTGCGCTTGGCGCTTAAACAATAAGATAAACGGCTGATTGCCGTTTAATTTTCTATTTTCGACCGACTTCGAACTGGTGAAATGTATTTGGTAAACAAAAACCGATATCTCACTCGCTATACGTTTTCTTCAACAACAACAAGATATTTCTCCACAGCCCTAGGTCACATAGCGATAAAAATAGGAACCACCATTCTTTAACAAGTAGCTCATAACACGTCACATCACATCTAATTTGATTATTACAGCCCTTTTTCAACTGACCTAAACAAAAGGAGGCGGGTCTTGGATCGGTTCTATTTGTTTTATGTTTATTACCTCGGAACTCCGTCATTTATGAACCGATTTTAAAAATTCTTTTTGCAATAAATTCGATTTGGCTCCCCTGCGGTCCCATGTTAATTTCGTTGGTAACGAACCTTGGTATTCGAAGATAAATCAGGGGACTCCTCGAATTCAAATAGGAAATGGATAAGTGAGTGAGATATTAAAAGTTGGTTTTGCTTTTTGTTACCAAAAAAGTACAAAGTCTTAAAGAATTCGCATTGAACGAACCGTCGTAACTCTGCCTTGCCTTTAATTTCGTAACTCTGCAAATGCTGTGCTAGATGGCACAGGTGCTAAGATTCGGCGCCAGGGGTCCCGCACGGGACAAGTCATTGTGAGCCACAAATACTTGTTACGGATCAGCGTGTTTGACCTCATTATAATTTGTGTATTATAAGCATGGTATGCAAACTGAAGACAGGCCATGCGGCCAGAGAATTTGTCTTTATGAGATTAAAAACTGACTTCTGTTTTAACCTTAAGCGACAAAACACAAACTCGGCTCTTTCTTTACCGATAGAGTTATTTTTTACCAATAAAACAACCCTTAATAATAGTTAATTTATGAGAATGGAAAATGATGCTTGATCACTTTTTTATTTAGCTCTTTTGGTCCAAGGCTGCGATGTCTTGTCTCCATCCAGATACCTTCTAGAGGTGAGAACGTAAAAAAATTTTGACTTATATCTATCTATTTATTTTTGCTCATAAGTTTAACTAAAGAGTTCGTTTAAAAAAAATTGAAAAAGATTTAACTTTCGTTTCCAGTCCCAAAGACAATTAAACGAGATGTTCCAGTCGAAGCTTGTTCCGAGCACCGTTTATCCGGCGTTTGTGGTTCGTTAAAATATTTAATATAATGGGGACTTTACGCACACGCATTAGCTAAATGGAAAATAATTTAATTAACACGAAAAATGTTTTCACATTATTTATATCCATCATCCCCACACTAGGCAAGCTGTATGATGTGATGATTTATTATTAAAAAGTACCTGGTGGGTCGGTTTGTTTTTTATTTTGTAAATCGTATATTTTGGAAATTACATTTAGATACAAATTACCGAGTAATGAAATATGCATAATATTTTTCGATCTTACCGACCTAATAATAAGAAAATATGAAGTGGTGTTTTTCACAAAAGAAACAACTTAAAAAAAAGTGAAAAAAGAACAAAATCATCTGAATCAACAAAAAATAAAAAACAAAGCAATGATCTGGAATTAAAAAAAAGTAAAAAAAAAAGAGTGTGTAAATCGTCGTGACACGAACCACGGCCGTCTGTTTTGGGGCCGCCCGATTACCGACCGAGCTATTATAACATTTTTATTTGCGGTGAAATTTACCGTCATGTTCGAATGATATTTTTCATTCCCTGAAAACAGGGATAAAAGGACATTTTCTAAAATTGAAACCTAGCTAGAACGATTTTTCACCCCCGAATCTACGCACATACTAAATTTCATGAAAATCGCTGGAGCCGTTTCCCAGATTCCGATTATATATATATATATATATATATACAAGAATTGCTTGTTTAAAGGATAAGATAACAGTTTTCGCTCGGTCTACATCTTAGACAGAAATATAACATAATGGAGCTTAAGTTCTATGTAATGTTTTAAATATTTAAGTAAACATGTGCATACTGTATGTATCGTCTAAAACGTTAGTTCATTCCATTATATATGTATATATATATAAATCAATTACAATCATTGTATGTATATATATATATATATATATATATATATATATATACATATACAGCGTGTCGTTACCATCACGACAATAAATGAACACACTATTTGCCAATAATCAAAAAAAAATACTAACGTTAAACAAAATCCATAATTAAAAAAAATATTTTTCAAACAAACTAATTAAGTAAAAAAGAAACAAAATTTGGAACATCATATACAACTCGCGCCACAGAGTCGCACTACAAGCCTCTCCTTCTAACAGTATGTTTTGTCTTTTTTAAATTCATTCAACCCATTCATATGCTTTGTGACCTTTACAAATGAACTTTACGTTACAGTTTTATACGTAAGGGTGTTCTAAAATTTTTTGTTTTGGAAAATTTAATAACTCTGTAAATATTGATGGTTGAAGAATGTAAATGTTTAATACAATTTTAAAATTTATCCTTTATATGTGTGTTCATTTATTGTCGCGTTGGTAACGACACGCTCTTATATATATATATATATATATATATATATATATATATATATATATATATAGGGTATACACGTATAAAATGTTGCGTGTTTGTACGTGTCGTCAGCAAAGGACCTCTATCCATTTATACTGATTAAAAATATATTGGCTACATTTTTAAATGTATTATAGATCTTTAGTTAATATTATGTAATGGTCTGTCTTTAATCACATTTTAATAATGTACAGTATCATCATCGACCCGGTGGATTCTGCGCGTCCAAGATCAGACGTAACTCGCAGAGAGGTGAGCTTTTACAAGTGTTGAATTTTTGAGGTGAAAGTTTGTGCTTTTTACCGTTTGACTCGTATGTATGTATGTCCGTCCTTATGTTCCTGCGACGGATCCAATTTATATGTTTGATATTATATCGTTATATAGGTACGTTATTATTGCGAGAGTCACCGAGTATATAAAAATTATAACATAAAACAGTCACATTTATGGCGCCAAAATGTGTTTCGTATTTTTTTTCCTACCTACTGTAGTTTTAATTTTATAATTATTGACTTGTTAGCTTACGACTATTTATACTTTAACATAATGAATATAATCATTCACCCGCATCTTTTCTCGGAAAAATGGGATTCGTACAGTAAGTATGCTTAGAGATTAGTATTGCTACTAGAGCTAATAACTAGGCAATTTTCGAAAGCTTGTTTCGTCACTAATTAATAGCATCTTTTACTACTACAAATAAGGTTTTCGTGATAGGTAATTGTTTAATTTTTACTAAAGTACGTAATATGTTCGTAATCTATTCTGTCTACTGCAGTACTCTGCGAAAAATATTGCACATAGCCCTTAGGAAAAAGACAATCGACTTTTTTTTTGTAGAGCGTTATCTCTGTCGCACATTCGTACAGCGACAGACAAACGTCACAAGGGTAGCCCAATTCGGAAATGCTGTAATTACCATGCACAATTATTCATTCCGTACCGGTTCAAAACCCATTGCGTACAATGCTGCTGATGTGTCGTACTTTAAGCGCTCATATATACACACTTATAAACTGGTAAAAAGTAAGGTAACATTCTATGTCCCACAGCTGGGCAAAGGCCTCCTCTGTACAGGTACACAGAGGTTATTAGGGCATAGTCCACCACGCGACCCCACTGTGGATTCGCGGACTTCTAGCTTCCCGTAATAAAATATTTGCACGTTTTCTATAGCTGCAAACTAAATTAAAAATAATATGAAAATTTAAATTGTAACTAAGCCCCTGACCCACCGAAAGAAATAACTCAAATTATAGGTAAGATTCATCTCCAGTTTTTTTTATGTGACCATGACGTCAGCTGTCAAACAAAAAAAAACAGGACCATAATCGCCACAGACAGACGTACAGATACTCAGACGGACACGTCCAACATATTATAACAACCCTCTTTATATTTCGGGGGTTTAAAACAGTGAACCTTAGGTGAAATGCCACAAGAATATTATCCTACACATTTCTTATGTAACTTACTCGTTCTAGCCGCATGATTCTGATGTTAGAATAACTAATTTTGAATCACTTTTGGACAGTAATGTCTCGTAAATAAGGCCTTATTATAGTGAACGCAATCGATTACAGGCCACCTGGCGCGAAGGATGGAAGAACATTCGTCGAGGCGACAGGTAAAGTCTTATAAAACATTTAGTACTTTAACACCATTCATTTAAGTAAAAAATCTTTGAATGTTTTTTTAAATATATTTTGTTACTATTTCGTAAATATGCACGTTTCCTCACTGTTTTCCTTCATCATTCAGCACGTGATATTAAGTCAGCACATAAAATAAACAATTTCTGCTAGCATCTGGATTAGAACTCGGGTTCCTCGACTGTATTAAATTACAGGGGAGCGCCCGAACACTGGACTATCACGGCTCAGCATTCATCAAGCACACATTTTAAATTGCATTTTAAGTACGCTTACTAGCCATACCATTTATCCGTAGTAGTTCAATTAAGGCAACGGTATATACTATAGCATGTCTACACCAAAACATTTCTCAAAATGTGTAATAAGACTCGCAAAATTCCACTGCTGCCAAAATTCGAACCTGCGGTTGCGCGTCTAAACGCTCTAGCCACTAAGCTAAGCGATCGAAATCCTTCTTCTTCATATTAGCTGCAGAGACGGGCAGTTCAAAATTTTAACGTGCCTTGATTATAAAGACAGACAGTAGACGCGCAGATTCTCAAACTATTTTGGACTACATTTTTTTAGGTGAGAAGGCGGCGACCGGGCTGGCGGTCCACCTGATGCTAATTGATGGTTATCAACCATGGACATGGACCATGGCCCATGGACATTTTCAACACCCGTTGTAGGGTTACAGATGTGTTGCCGCTTTTTAATAAAGTGGGCCCTGGTTACCTCGCTCACCAGACGAAACGCAGAAGTATAACACTTCCACCTCACGCCGGTCTTCTGTGAGGTCGTTTTTTTTTTAATGTGAAATGTTGCCAGACGAGCAGACGGTTCACCTGATGTTAAGTGAATACCGCCGCCCATGGACATCTGCTACACTCGAGGGTTCCAGATGTGTTGACAACCTTTTGGAAATTGAGCTCCGGCCAGCTCACACACCAGACGAAACGCGAAAGTATAATACTTCCACTTTACGCCGGTCTTCTGTGAGGTCGTGGTACTTCCCCTGACGGACCTACCCATTCGTAAATCAGCGAATACTGTTGGCACAACCACTGTTACATAATATAATTCCTTCAATATCGTGCGATTGTTGATAGAAGCTGAGCCCGAGACATTACGAGGACTGTTCAAGATCTGACGATACCACACGAGCCGCATTGAAGTACCTGAAAAGAATGAGACGACAGAGAGCTAAGTACGTCTATACTCTGTACCATTATTAAAAACGAAACCGCAAACAAACATAAGTGGTAAATTGAAAAAATACAAGATGTATTTGATGACGAAATCGTCAAACAATTGGCTTAATTAAACTTACCTCGGGGATGAAATGTTTCCGAAATTTCGCTTTCTCTCTGGCAGTTAACTGCTCTATAATGCCACTGTTGATCTCCTTCCCCACCGCGTTAACGCCTCGCTTCAAAACCAACCGTAACCAAAATAAACTTGTAATAACAATGGTCGCACGTAGAAATATTTCAATCATGAGATTTACATATCATATGTAACTAAAATTACCTAGACGTATTTAAAAAAGTGTATCATTTCAAATATTAGAATGTCACCGTTTTACAGAGCCGAAGCGAATTTAAACGCAGCTAAGAAACAGAGGAGATGTCACGGACATGCAACTACCGACACAGAAGACAAACTTTCGACCGTTAGTCATTTTTTTTAAACTAAAATAGGGTTTTGTTTTAATTTCACAATTCGTTGTGTATATGGCATGTCCAAAAAGATCAATTTTCATTTTCACGTTTTAGTAACCTATAAAATGATTTCTCAGCAAATACTCCTACCATAATTTTGTAAACGATTTTGTACAAAATTGGTTAACACACCATAAAAAAAAATAATACTCCTTTACTATGTGTTTTTTTATTATGTGATTAAAGTTACTGACATATACTGACAATCGACTCGATTTTTGATGTAGTTTGTCTTTTTATCTTAATAATAATGTTTATTATTTTGTTATATTTTTTATCTGTGGTCATACAATTTTAGTGCGGGAGATCTGCTTGCCCTATACATACTTTAGAACATGAAATAAAATAGTTACTTTTTTTATACATGTTGAACTGAGGCCATACCATCTAATTTTTTTTTTCATATTTTTTGATTTTTGTCTCACCGGTCCTAATTCCCGCATCCTAAAATCACGCAATTCGTTTGGCCGTGACAATAACGACATTCAGCCAGTGGCGGACTAAGGCCTTAAGGAGGCCCGGGGCGCTAAAGCTGAATGAGAGCCCTAGTTTAAGGAATTCATCTAATTAAACTAGCTTTTTATTCACTTCACATTTTTATGTATAAGTGTTTGTTTATTTAGGTAAAATCTTGTAAGTGTAATTTAAATTGGACTTAAATAGTATACGAATACGATAAAATACGAATCGATCAACAAAAAAAAACTAAATAGTAAAAATAAATTAATAGGTAGTTTTTATTTCCAATAATTTTTTGGAACTAAAAAAATAGACATTATTAAGATTAGCAGCAGTGGCGAAGATTGCCTTAGACTTGCCCTCAAATCCAAATGTATCGGCCCTAATGAAGAGTTAACATTTTCCACCAAAGAAACAAAAATCTCGATTTGAATGAGTATACACTTTTCGGAAAATTTATTTGTTAAATCATCCATAGCGAAGACGACTTCACTTTTTCTAGATTTTCTACCGCTATGTAAAATAGTAATTTATCTGATATCCGTTCCTGTCCCATAGAAATCTTAAGATTTATCAGTTTTAATTAGGAAAAACTAATTTTCATCTGTTGTAACCAGAAGGGCTAAAAATTGAAGCCATGCTGCTATTACCTCATAGAAACGATTCAATTTCATCCGAAATAATTTCATGAGCTCTATAATGGAATGAATTTACACATTTTCAGGGTTTAAACACTTTTTATATATAAATTGTTCTTACAGATCAACTGATATGTCGTGACTGTTATAGCAGACAGTTGTGTTTTTCTACATCTTTTTTTATTATTTCGTGAAAAGAATTCTTAGTAAAATATTAATTTTCAGTCATTACTTTCATGTTTTAGAGCTGCTGCTTTTTTCTTCACTATTAGTCACCATTACTGATTACTAATAGTGAAGAAAAAAGACGACAAGCATTATTAACAAATTCTCTGCGTGTTAACTATATTTTTACTATCGTTACGTTCGCTTTTCTCGTGAAAATTAATTTGTTGCTACAAAATTTTCATTATTAATTAATAATTTTTCCTTAAAGCGTCGATTCTCGAACATCTCGCAGGACAAGCTTTTTTAAGGTTATCTAATTTTATATTTTTGAGATGTATATAATATTATAGATAAAAAAGTATACATTTTTTCCAAATTATCCATTATGATATTTGTAATATGATACATTTTCGACATGTCTCTTCTGTATCCGAAATAATCGCCATAAATTCGGCTTTTTTATTATTTACGACAATATTTTTCTCTAACTGCGCTAATCGGCCTAACCAAATTAACAATTTCATTTTGAATCATCCAGATACAGAATAATTGCCTGTTAAAGGTAGATTACATGATGTGATGATGCTAAAGTAATTATAATATTACATCAGGCCATTACTGGGCAAACATGGTCAAAACTCATGTATGTGATGACTTTATTGTTCATGTAGAAGATTGAGTCCATAGATGATATTGTATAAGTTATTATTTATTTTTCCCAGGACGACTTAAAAATTTAAGTTATTGTGGAATTTTTCCTTTCACCCGTTCGGGGCCTATAGATGCCATTTACTCGGGGGCCCCGTATCATTGATACGACTGACACAGCGTTAGTTTCGCCCCGATTATAATATTTTACTAGCTGCGCCCGCGACTTTGTCTGTGTGGAATTTAAAATAAATAAAATTTCTAAAATAAAAGTAGCCTAAGTAACTCCTCATTTCAGCAGCCATTTGACAGTGAAAATCCCGTCCAAATCGGTCCAGCCGTTTTAGAGATTAGCCGTAACAAACAGACAGGCAGACAGACAAAAATTGTAAAAAATTTTATTTTGGTATATGTGCCGTGTGTACATCCATATCCATTTAGTAAATAGCGGTTATTTGAATATTACAAACAGACAGTCCAATTTTATTTATCTGTATTTCTGATTTACATGTTTTTATCTGAACGAAATAATATTTTTGGGACCTCCAAACTCCAATTTTTTAGATAAGTACTACGCATATTTTTAAGCCTTGTTTTTGGTGGCCCCCCAGGACCTGGGGCCCGGGGCGGACCGCCCCTTCCGCCCCACGGTTAGTCCGCCACTGCATTATAAGTATTTTTAGTACATACCTATGCATAATAAGTATTTTTCCATTCAGGAATGGCGACGAAATTTACACGTATACACCAACCCTGCAGAAGACAGTGAGTATCGTATTGAAAATTTTCACTACGCATCTTTTCTTTCTCTTAAACATAATAAGTTCAAGCCTCAAAACTCTTCTTTTTAGTGTCCTTATCCCACCTAGGTGGGGTCATCACGACGTGTGAGCCATGTACTGTTTATGGTATCTTGTTATGTTATGGAAATAAACACCCGGATCGGGAACAATCATTTGTTGGAAACAATTCAAAAAGAGAACAAATACACGTGTTTCGAGTGGCAATCGAACTCACGGCTCCCAAAACTAAACAACGCTTGTACTTTGGGTACTAGATAACTGATAAACATACTTTTTTTGTAAATAAATACATATAATACATATATAAGCACCCAGACACTAGAAAAACACTATGTTCATCACACAATACTTTTCAAGTAGTGGGGATCGAACCCACACCCTCTTACGCAGGAGGCAGGTACACTACCCACTACGTCATTCGGGTCACCAGTGCCACCGAGTCGCGATGAAAAACTTGTAAACAAAAAAATGTATAAATAGGTCAGTTATAAACACATTCAACGAATACCTAAGACGAATAAACGAATAACTAGCTAAGATCTGAGAAACTGAGATAAAATCTTTAGCTGAGAGTGAGACTACAAACGTTTCATTTTCGCACATACTAATTTAACATTTTTTTTGTTTCAGAAACGAGTTTAGCAGCTAGATGTTCTGCAAGTAGTTTTTGATTAACAATTGTTTTGTAGTGCTTGTTGGTTTTTGTTCCGTTTTATGGCATTAGCAATAAACACATTTTGTTTTGTTATAATATTTTTTGTTTTATTTATTTTACTAGTTCCAAAACCTCTTCAAACCTATTCCTTTTGTTCACATGGTAAAAACTGCATTACACCAAGACGCGTAACATACCGTGCATTCTGGATCTCGATTACAAAACATCAATGTTAATTTTCATATAACAGTCGTCACCAAATTTGTATATAATTTTCTCCGCCTCGTATATAATAATAATATCGCAATACGTAATTACGGGTGCGATCATTAATTTCAATACAATTTTACTTGATAAAGGATTAGTCCTGTGATTGCATAGCATAGTACAACTCTTACTTATCTCGAGATAAGTAAGAGGTGTATTTAGCTACATCAGTAGAACAAGTGACTATTTTATTATGAGTTGTGTACGATTAAAATTTGTAGAAAAAAATAGACGATGAGTATTTCGCTGCTGCGGGAATTGAACCCACGTTTTTCGGATTCACATACAGACGCTATCCACTGAGCTAAACGGCTGATTATGACGATAATTATGATATTCTTAATAAAGCGTACATTTTCAAATATTATTTTACAACGGTAATTTAGAACGACAGATTTCACCATAGCTATTTGAAATTATTTTTTTTATTACGGCTAAAACAATACGAGTATATAAAAATTAAACTATGTACGACTTCGTGCCAATTATGGCCGGGTTTTCATCGATCCTTGACTAAAGAAATATTTGCTAAATATTCTTTATTCTATTTGGACTCAACGTTTGTAGATTCGTTTTGAATATATTGGTATGTCTTACTGAGGGACGTCAATTTTTTTAAAACGATAAATATGGTTCATTTCATTCGGTACATTTTTTGTATAAATTAGTTTCTTTTATATATAAAAATCGCCATTAATATTAATATATAAAATTATTATTCCTTCTTCATTTGAAAGAATCGCCACACACCACAACACTAACAATACTATCCACAAAATTTACGTCACTAGCGCCAAAGTTGTTTTGTTTATGTGTCATTTGATTTGCCATTCGTGTAGAATTTTGCATAAGGTTTCCATGATAAAATGTGTGATATAAACGACAATCCAATTAAATTAAGTGTTAAATGGAACGGCAAAGAGTACGATATACCGGAGCTATCGCCTTCAGACTCCGTAGCAATGCTGAAAATTGCCATCGAAAATGCCACGGGTGTTCGACCGGAAAGACAAAAACTTCTCAACGTTAAGTTTCAGGGTAAATCCAATTAAACTTTCTTTCACAAAAACGTTTATATTACTCGTGGATGGAAATTATGTGTAGGTTTAATAGTGATAAAGTTATAGAAATAAAGGCAAGTCGCCAACACACCATACCTTGGTTGCTGTTGAAATAACGGGACTTTTAAAGATGCTAATTCTTCTTCATTAATCTTGAAATATTTATTTTGAGCTATTCTCAATCGTATTTCACAAGATGAAAACTATTAAAAAATATTAATAATATGATATGTGAATGCCAACAGTTTTTATAACACTCTCAATTTCTAGTAGATATCAATAAAATAAATTCTCTAACGTAACCTATAAGACATATTTCTCCGTCATAACACCAATGACGTTATTCTAAGAAACACTTTATTTTAATAAAAGTATGATGGTTCTTTAGCAAGGATAAAGACATGAAATAAATTCCATGCAGAGTAGTTTATGTTGTCAGCACTATTTTTCTTTGATGGAATATGTTTTGGGAATTAAATTTTCTTCATTAGGTAAAGTGGCAAAAGACAACTGCACATTATTGGATTTAAATCTGAAACCAAATTTGAAGATCATGATGATGGGATCACTTGAAGAGGCTATAGAAGGTGCTCGGACAAAGCCTGATGTTGGAGATGAGGTTGTAAATGATTTAGATATTGAAGAAGAAGAAGTTGATGTAGAAAATCAAGAGGTCAGTAAAGTTCTTTCATTTGTGTTGAACAAAGTATAGCTTTATAGGTTTCCATAACCAAAGGGTAAAACGGGACCCTTAAAAGCGACTGTCTGTCTATCCGTCTGTCACCAGACTGTAGCTCATTAACCGTGACATGACAGACAGTTGAAATTATCACAAATGATGTATTTTTGTTGTTGCTATAACAACAAATAATAAAAAACAAAAAAAATATTTAAGTGGGGCTCCCATACAACAAAAATGATTGTTTTTGCCATATTTATAAATAGATGATATGAACCCTTCATGCCGGAGTCCGACTCACACTTGGTTTACTCTTTTCTATTTATTACATTATAATGGTAACTAAAAGCTTTGTCTACTTTCTCCGGTCTCTACACCACATATTTGGGATTTGCACAATATTTAAATCATATTGTTAATGGTATTGGCTAGGTTTTTTATGACTTGCCATCAATGCCTTGTGTCTACACCCTCCTCAACAAACATCTAGATCTAGACAATATGTCTATATCACAAAAATGCTCATCCCATGTAGTAATCAAATGCGTGAAAAATGAGCAGGAGCCAATAGCTCAATAATTACACCACCATTTCATCAATGCTAACTTAAAGCAAGTTTGAAACTAACTCATCATCATCCTCCTGCCCTCATCTCACCTAGGTGGGGTTGACAACTTACAACATGTGAATCATGTTGTAATTTGTTATGGGTATGCTTTTACGACTGGCCGCCTGCCTGATGTCAACCCTCCTTCGGAAAAAGCACTCAGATCGGAAACAATTATCTTTGGTTTTCACAAATACCAAAATATATATGGTACTATTTATTGTATCTAATTATCTATTTATTAACATTTCACGAGCCTTAATATAACCGAAAACCTAAATTAAATTTAACTTAATAAACCTACCATAGCTTACCGTATACCATATTTTCCAGAGCTTAAATTAATTATTTACTTAAATATTTAAGTGAATATTCTCCATGAAACAAAAAAATAAATTATCATGAAATTATTTTCAGGTTTACCTAGCAAAAATAAACAAACGAGTGAGGGATTACAAAATTAATATCTTTAATCAACCAAGACCCGGAAAAAAGTTACTTGTGTTGGACATAGACTATACTTTGTTTGATCATAGATCTGTTGCTGAAACTGGTATGTTGATTGTCTAGACTATTTTATCTATATTCTAATATATAAAATAGTGTCATGGTGTTTGTAATAGAACTCCTCTGAAATGCCTCGACCGATTTTCGTGAAATTTTGTGTGCATATCGGCCAGGGTGGAGGACCGGATAACATGTATTTTTCATCCCCCAAAATGTTAAGGGTGGACCACCCCAAACATTTTTTTAATGTAATATCTCTGGAACCATAAGGTGTTAAGACTTGAAAATTGGTAGGAATATTCCTTTCGCCGAGTAGAGGTCAGCTGTTGGTGTACCCAAGGCCTTAAGCTGCTACAAATATTCTTAATTTTTACATTATTTAATAAACCGCTGTTATTTTTTATAATTATGATGTATTAACGCTTATGAAGAAATATTTTTTTAAATCAAGTGAATCTTTAAACATACCCAGCTCACTGTTTGTTACAGACAAATACTTGTACTTACACCAAATTCATGAAAGTGGTTGATTAGTACTTAATTGGTATGACATGGTGGAATGCTAGCATGTCTAAGATATTCATAGGGCTCTAAAAGGCTTCTTCTTTTTCTCAAGTATTGTGTTGTTATAATTATTTCTAGCTACACATATTGAAATATTTAACAATTAATCTTTATCAATGATTTTGAAAGAAATAAGGGCAAGGTGTTGTTTGCAAATACACTGGTTACTTTCCACAAAAGCTTTCTACAAGCCATTGGAGCAAATTCTAGGTGTGAATGCATATAACTGTTGTAATAAAATGGTTTCATACTTATTTGTTAGAAGCTTTGAGAATTTCAATTTATAAAATAAGAATAATAATAGAAATCTGAACCATATAGAAACACCATTTTACTATATTATTTAAAATGTCTCGAATAAATTGTACAACATTGGCTCAATGGCTCATATCCCTTTATGGCCAACCGCTCCCCTGGGAGAAAAAGGTCAAATACTTAGGAGTCACTTTCGACTCGCGACATACGCGATTTACTACGCACATTAATAACGTTCGCAATAGAGCCGCGTTCGTCTCCGGCCGGCTACACAATTTAACTAACGCTAAAAGTATAATGCTCTTAAGGCACAAATTATTATTATATAAGACCTGCGTACGACCTATTATGTCTTACGCATGCATGACCTTCGCCCACACGCACCCTACTCGCTTGTACAAGTTGCAAATAGTACAAAATAAGTTCATCCGCCGCGCAACCGGTGCGCAGTGGTATCAACGCAACGTCGACCTGCACAGCGATTGCAGACTCACGACGATTCGCGAATATTTTAAAGACCTGACCAAACGGTTCTTCGATAGAGCCGAACATCATCCCAACCCTCTGGTGGTAAGCGCGGCAAATTACCAACCCGACACAAACGCGAACGTCGTCAACAAGCGTCGCCCGAGAAACGTCCTAATCGACCCCGTCGAGGAAGGGGACTTAGATACGCCGGACCCACCGCCGGGGGTCCCGTCGGACAACACTACACCCACAGTTAGTGCAACAACAAACACACTAGTTCGCCCTCGCCTCCGAGCACTGCGAGACCAACACAACGCGTACACAAGGTACACCCGCGTTCCGGGGCGGTTCTCACCGCTCCCAGCCACCGATTAGCTAATTGCACAGTCGACGGCCATCGGGGTTTCGGTCCGAACCGCGACCTCGATGGCCCTTAGATGACACACCATAGTTAAACGCACGCATGAGCATGCGTGGCCCTACCCACAGCGGAGGGCCCAAACCCGTGGGTTCTGGCTAGCCCACCGGTTCTGCGTCAGATGAAGCTTTAATAGTCTCGGGACTGAAAGCAAAAACATCAGTTAATACAAAATACAAGATACAATGGCTCTATAAATTTTTAAAGGCAAATCAGAAGAAAGAGAGATTCTGCTTTAGTTTGTCTGGACGAATGTCATTAATAAACAAGAGAAATAAATTTTGACCTAAATTAAAACCTTACAGATTACCTTTTATATATTTTAAAAGAAATTAAAAATATATATATTTTTGATTCAATTTTAAAATTGTGTAGGGCTATATGTATTTTTCTATTATTTATATGCTACATGTATTTTTTAGATGCTATATGTATTTTTTTTTTATTTATATGCTATGTGTATTTTTCAATCACAGCAGATTTTATCCTCTGTTTAATCCTATATTAACATGATCTAATATTGTTAATGCTGTAACACTTTTCAGGCTATGAGCTAATGAGACCATTCCTACATGAATTCCTCACCTCTGCGTATCAGGATTACGACATAGTTATATGGTCAGCTACCGGGATGAAGTGGATAGAAGAGAAAATGAGGCTACTGGGAGTATCCACACATCAAGACTATAAGATAATGTTCTATCTGGACTATCTGGCTATGATCACAGTCCATACAGCCAAATATGGAACAATAGATGTGAGTTAAACAGTAACAATTTTATGCCTGCTATTTTTTAATGGATAGCACCGACATAAATAATTAAGAAGTTCGTAGGGTTGAGTTTTCTGAAACATTTTTGCTTTCTGTTTAGTTATAAAAAAATAGGTTCTATAATATTCTACATGTGCTATGCAACCACTGATCATTTTAGACTCTACTGGCTGTCTGGCTGTCCATCTGTCACCAAGCTGTATCTCACGAACCGTGATAGTTAGACAGCTGACATTTTCACACATTGTCATGATGTATTTCTGTTGCGGCTATAACAAGAAATACTAAAAAACAGAATAAAAGATGATCAAGTGAGGTCCCCATACAATAGACATGATTTTTCGGGTATATCGACAATAGGCAGATTCGTTCGGGTAAATACCACGACCTCACAGAAGACCAGCGTAAAGTAGAAGTGTTACACTTCTGCGATTCGACTGGTGAGTGAGGTAGCCGGGGCCCGCTTTATTTAAAGACGGCAACGGATTTTTAACCCTACGGGTATTGCAAATTTCCATGGACGGGGCGGTCATCACTTAACATCAGCTCGCTTGTCACTTTTTCACATAAAAAAAGCGATTAACATCAGGTGAACCGCCAGCTCGTTTTCCACTTTCATGAAACCATTCATGGAACCCTACATGGGCGAATCCGACTCGCACTTGGCCAGTTTTTACAATGACATGTGTTCATTTACTAATTTTATAACTAACAACATTGACTCTAGTACTTTATGTTAAAACATAGCTTAATAATGTACTAGAGACAATTTATGTCTTTTTTATACTTGTTTTTACTTATAATTCTTTTAAATGAACTTATTCCTTATTAATTTTATTTATATTCCATTTTTGATTCAAAAACTAGTTTCTTAAAATTAGCTCAATAGTCTTATCCTATCATACTAACAAGATACTTCTTTTAAGTCTGGTTTACTCTAAACCTGGTACCTCTATTTGCCACCAGTGCCATCTTTCTCTGCAAAATTTAAACCCAGTAACCCCCGGAAAAGCTTAAAAATATGTTTTATTACAGTAAAGATAACCAACTTGTTCACACTGCAAATATATCATTTTTCATTTGTATTTGGGACTAAATAGTGTCCACCACACAGATCCCTTCCACATGTGATATATCATTAAAAATTCTATTTTTCATACATAAATATAACCAGATACTCTAGTATTCTCTCAATGTCACATGCAACTATAAGGACATTATAAATCAAAAATTACAATTCATTGGTAGTCATTAGAAATTGGATATAGGCAATATTTATTGGGATTTGAAACCTCAATCTTAAATAAGTTCGACATTTCAGCTAATAGGACTCTCTATCCTTACAATACAAAGCTTTTGTTTGCGTAGTATTAAAAACAGATAAATTAACTTAACAATAGATCAGTGCCTAAAGACTTCTCCGATTGCAGCAACTTTTGGCTATTTTGCTTGTGTGTGATTGATATATTCTTAATTATTTATTTGCTTTCTATATTATCTATATAAATATTAGAGTGTCATGAATGATATAAATATTCAAGTCAATTACGTCATGAATAGTAAACATTGCAGGTCAAACCGCTTGGTGTGATCTGGGGCAAATATCCACAGTACAGCTCCAAGAACACGATAATGTTCGACGACATACGCCGCAACTTCATCATGAACCCAAAGAGCGGGCTAAAAATCCGACCGTTCAGACAGGCCCATCTCAACCGGGATAGGGACAGGGAGCTCCTACACTTGTCCACGTACTTGAGGGACATCGCCCAGAGCTGCGAGGACTTTGACCAGCTGAACCACAAGAAGTGGGAGAAGTACAAGCCGGAGAAGAACAGAACTCAGCATGCGGGCAGCAAAAGGAAAGCCGAAGACAGTGCACCCTCCACGACGAAGGAATGACGATAGACTTAGAGTTCAGCGCTGACACCTCCATCCCCATAACAGGGTAGCTGTCGGCGTCATGTCGCCTTACCGCTTAGAAGACTGCAATTTTTATACAAGGGTCGCATAGCGTGAACCGTTGTTCGTAATAAAATAGTTATTGTTGATATATATTTAGTATGCTGCTAGTTCAATTTATAGTCACAATGCGTTTGTGAGTTCTTGATAGTTGGGGTGTTTGATTGATATTTTATTTATTTAATAATCACCGGCAACAGCCTCTGCCTTCCACCTTGATAGTGATTTAATAAGTAAGTGTGGAGGGAGATAAATAAAAAGATGCCTTATGTAATGTACTTGGATTGAGTAATTAGCCTTTTTTGTCCTTAAAGTTGAATTCTATTAACTGGGCTGATCCTTAAACCATCCTGAAGTGATTCTAATTCAGTACAAATATAGTAATTTTGATATGAATATAGATGTGGTAACAACTTTTAATTAATAAACACAATTCAACAGAAAAAAATCAAAGGCACTGAAAAATCATTTAAAACTTCAACTTTTATTCTTTTTTACTTTAAGCAAGCTCCTGTGAGTGCAAAAGTTTGCAATTTCAAACTATTTCAGCAATAAATCAACATAATTAAACAAATTTTCTATAAACCCTCAATAAGTGCATTGATAAATCAAGACATGTGTAAAAGCCAAAAGCCACAAAATTACTGGAAATTATGCTCCTAAGATCTGTAGTTTTGAAGTAACGTCTTTTATTACATTAAAAAACTTGATGTAATATGTAAAAGTTACTATTTTGTGGAGTATATCGAATAAGTTTTCTTACATAAACATTTATTATATCTATATGTGAAGTAAAAACTTTGTACACCTTTTTACGAAAATTTCGCGGACAAAGGAGTATGAAGATTCCCACTTATAATTAATATTGAGAAAGAGTGAAAATATAATTATTTTGCTAATATTTCTTTTAATTATGCATAAAAAATACATTAAATCTGACATAAAGCTGACAGGACCATGTTGCCACAATATTTAAAATAATTTTAAATTTTCCTGTTCTGGTCACTTCATAATTTAGCAAATCTTAATATTTTAAATATAGAACAACCCATTCAATATCAAATTTCTTCTAAAACCTATTATTTCAATGACTTACAATGACTTTCATTTTTCAATTAAATTTCATTTCAGAATGTATCAATTGGTAGAGAAAAATTAAAGTCTTATCATTTTTAATGACTGCTGCACTTCTAGGAACTTAAATAGAAACTTAGCAAGCCATTGGTTTAATTAAATGAAACTAAACAATTAAACCAGCACGTATATAAAATGCAGGTTACTTGGATCAGTATTGCAATAAGTAAAAGACAATTTTTTGGAATTCGATTGAAATTTTTATAGTGTTGTCTCAACTCTCAAGTCATATGGAAATTATCTTTTATATGACATTAAAATTATAATACTTTAACAAATCTTATGCATTATATTTATATTGTGATGCTGATGTTTATCTATTTAGAACTGAAATTGTATAATTAAAAAGCAAATTTTGTGAAGGGAAATTCTGCCTCTACTCATGTGGCACTGTGTAAAATGTTGTCTCAAGTATGACAACTTAAACTAGGTATAATAAAACTTAGTTTCTTCTCTCTAAACTAAATTAACAATTTCATACAATGTGTGGAATGGTTTTATTTTAACTAAAATTACTTATCATTTTCAATATTGGCCCCACATTATTACAAAATAAAACTTCATTTAATGATGTAATCCTTACTAATATTATAAACGCGAAAGTTTTTATGTATGGATGGATGTTTGTTACTCTTTCACGCAAATACTACTGAATGGATTTAATGAAACCTTACAATAATATAGCATATTCATCAGAATAAGACATACAATTTATATACATATTTTATGTATATTTGTCTTTCTGTATGAATGTTACGCTTTCAGCCTATTTTACGCAGACATAGTCGCGGGCAGAAGCTAGTAAACAATAATATCAAGAAATCTAAAACTGACTTAAATAAAATTATATTAAAACTATTGCGCGTATTGAATTTGTGTATTTTTGATTGTTTAGTAGGTATATAAAAGTCTATATAAAAGTATTTTTGAGATGAATTTAGGCTTTACTTGTGTGAGTTTATGTAATTTTAAAGCGTTAAGGTGAATGTTAAGACAGGCTTTAGCGGAGAATTCTAATAAATCTAGGCCATTCGCATTTAATGCATTGTATTTAATTTGTATTGATATTACAACCAATATTATTTAGTATAATGCTCCCTGTACATAAATTGATAGTGTACGATGATTAAAATAGGATAAAGCTATTTATAAACAATTTAAATAATAAAAATTAAAGTGCAAATGCTGCTTATTTTTGTAAATACATAAATATCCGAATAGTGGATGAATCTTCTTTCGAAAGTGATTGTGTTTTTTTTTATCAGGATTTTGAGGTTTTCTTATTTGGATATGTCAACTCTATTGTGACCGTCTCATTTCTATACTTAAGAATAAACTATATAGTAGCCATTGTGAGAACACATATGCAGCACAACATAATTTTTTGCATCATCTGATATTGGCAGCGATAAGATTGACTCCGCTATTCCTAAGTTGTGTGTTCCTCTCTTATCTGTTCTAATCTCCTATTTGTTCTTGACACATTCCATTGAAACTTGTACGTCCTCGTCAACTCCACACAGATTACGATTCGGAGTTTTCTTCATAATGTATGCAAATTTGTTTGATGGAATATATACAGATAGTATTTAATCTTAAAAATATTTTTATAATTTTCTTATTATAATTACATTGTGAAAACTACGGTATATGAACAGACTCAGATTGCAGTTTTATACCGGATTCCATTTATTTAAAAGTTTTCATTAAAATATTCTTTCCAGTTCTTGTAATTTTGTATTTTAAATTTGTGTAATATTTCTGTATGACCAGGTTGGATATTAATTTCAGCTCTTGGGAAGAGCCTGCTTTGGCCAGTCTGTCTGCTACTTCATTACCGTGTATTCCAAAATGAGCAGCAATCCATTGCAATTTCAGTATCCCCACTTTTTCGTCCAATTGATATATTTTTTCAACACCTGAAACATTGACTGTTGTTTTGATATATTTTGTCAACGCATTGGTAACCCTCAGGTGTAGCAGTACTTGGGCGGCGGTATTCACTTATTATGTAAGATCAGGTGAACCCTCGGCAGTATCTGTCAGTCAACCTTAGAGTGGTCCCAGGGAAGTTTAGGTTGGTGCAATGATGTTAACATTAAAAAAAAGAAATCATTAAAATTTTGAAATATCTGTATTACACATTTATATTATATACCGGACTCATAATACTATACTAGTAATATTAAATTTATTAAAAATGATACTATATACAATATTAATATTAAATGAAGTAAACATATTTAAAATACAAAATGCATACACATAAATATGTATACTTTTATATTCAGTGTTCCAGACAATCTGCTGGCAGTGTTTTGAGCTCAGACCAATAAAAAGTATAGACGGAGCGTCGTAAACAACCGAGAACAATCGTAATCAATCGATTTGCATGTGTGCTAAAGGAAAATGTTGAAGAGATTATATATTTATTTCGCTGAAATGTATTATTATTAAAAAAAATAGTTTACCAAGTATAAAAGTAAAGTACAAGCCCATATATGGCCCAGTGCTGGGCAAAGGCCTCCTCTGTACAGAAGGTATCAGGGCTTAGACCACGCGCCCCTCTGCGGATTGGCGGACTTCACACACCTTCGAAATATTTTTTTTTTATTAATTGTTTCAACAATATGCAAGTTTTATCGGGACGTTTTCCTTCACCGCTGAGCACGTGATAATTCAGCACTTAAAATTAACAAATTAACTGGGGCACCGGGAATCGAACTCGTGTTGCTCGCTTACCAAGTATTATTACACAATAATTGGCCATCGACCTAAGCCATGTAGATAATTTTTAAGAAACTACCCAAGTCTTGAAAACATTGAGCACTACTGATCTTAAAACTAATGTAAAGTCTAGTTGGAGACAGCATATTACATTATATTAGATGCTTTGAAAGAGTACAATTTTTCTTCACTGTTAAAATGATTAATTTAATCTGATTTATTGAATGTGTAATAAAAGTCTAGGCTTTTATAATTATACGAATAATTTTATTTGTATTAACATAACGAATCTAATTTAAAAAATCTTGAGCAATGATATTATATAAAAATATGTGGTAGATATGACTAGCGCACCGAAACTGAGGCACTCAAATTACATGAGTTTGTATTTGTTTTGTGTATTTATTAGATTTCAATTTTAAAGGCTGAATTCAATTCTAAAAACCGCCTGCTCAGCGTCCGGACATAGCTCCGTGCGATTATTAGCTATTCCCAAATCTAAAAAGATTGCTTGGAGAACATTTTTGACAAATGAGGATTGCATCGCAGGTTTATATATACGGCTATTTTGAAGACCTCGACAAAACGTATTTTTTGGAGGGGATAAATAATTGGAAACTCCCTGAAACAAGTGTTTGGCCCTCAAAGGAGACTATGTTGAGAAATAAATGTAAATTGTTAAAAAAAATATTCTTTTTACTTTTTAAAACGACTTCTTTTTTTTTAGTATTTGAAGCAATGCTTGGCGTATCGATTTACTTATATCCTTTACTTATAGTTGTACTTGTATCTTATTCCAGCATACAAACAATTTCGAAAAGGAAATGGCGACATCTCTCGTTCGAATTATCGTTGTAAAACTAAGTAAATTCGAAATTGTTTGTATGCTGGAAAGGGTTTATCAATGGATGAGCGAAAAATATTTTTTCATTGCTTTAAATGCTAAAAAATAAAATTTAGATAAGAGACGTCAAGATTTTCGTCGGTTTGGCAATCAGCCGTTTAGTTCAGTGGCTAAAGCGTCGGGCCGTGAATGCCGAAGACGGCATTGAAGTTGTGAACCATAGAGACACTTG